AGGAAACACTTCCTTAAAGAGGCAGATTCCTCGAGCAGAACCAGACTGAAGATGAACAGCCGTCTGCCGAAACTGAAACTGTTTGGATATGAAACACAGTCATCGTCTTCATCAGTTTGAGAAAACGGACAAAAACGAGCCTCTCCCTCATGGCTTCGAGTAGTTTTATTAGGTTTCTATCCATGCGTAAAGAAATGCACTTCCATGCATTGGACGCTAGGAGGCGTCATCTGTATATCAACGGATCTACGGACACCAGTCACATTCATAATCATAAGTGGATATGAGCAGTGGTGTAGTGGTGCCTGAAGAAGTGGGTGTACTCTTAATTTTCCCGCCAAATGTTTTTCTTTAAGTGGCCCGTCCAGCAGAGGATAAATTTAATCTGTTTTAATTATCGTTTCTGTTACATACACTAATGTTCCACAATCTCTGCAGGAAACAACAAAATAAAGTCACTGTTAAAACGTGCTAATAAAATATTTAATGTTTCTGAGGCCTTGAGTCTTCTCTTCTCTTGCAGGCTCCCTTTTTCTTTTTCTTCCTCTCACTTTCCTTTACAGTTTTCTTATTTCCTTTGGAAGCCTCCTCTATAGCTTTCATTGCCTTGTCCTTCTATTCTTTTATCCTTTACCTCCTTGTTTTGTTCCCAACATCAACTCTAGCGTGAGCTTTCCTTCCTTACCTCCTCATTCCTTTCCTACTTTTTATTTCCTTCACTTAAACTGCCTATTGCACTTCCTTCTCCTAACCCTTTCTACCATTTCACTTCCTTTCCAAACACCTGCACACCTCTTTCCCTTCCTCCTCCTTTTTGTACCCCACTTCCTCTTTTCCATTCCCCTTCTTTCTCTCCTCCTACTTTCTTTCCTTTTAATAAATAATAATAATGTAATTTTACATCTTATCAACGCTCCTCTAACTTTTCTACCAGCTGTATCTCTGCTTCTTTTCCTCCAGTTGAAGATGTTTTTTCTATAGTGTTTGCAGATAAAGAAAACGTGTGCTTGGATTTCTTTTTCAAAAAAACTTTAGACACAAACTTGAACCAAACTCAGGCGTAAAAAAAAGTCAAAGTTTTCAGTGCAAAGAACGTCTGTAACGTTAGTTCTGCATGTTAAGTAGGATGTTGCATCAGTGTGCAGCATCACACTGTTGGGGTTTTTAAACTCACTGCCTCTTGTTGGTGGATTTCCTGCTCTTAGATCAGCTAATGGATCAATAACACGCTGAGAGAATCCTCTTTATTAAAGTCTATGCTGATAACAAACTCAATGTATCATTCAGCTCAAATACAAAAAAAGGTTTGATGGAAGTAAAGTCCCTGACAACAGCCATATTTATCAGAATCAAGTTAAGTGTAGCTGTAAACATGTGATCAATGTGGAGAGACAGCCGTGTAGTTAAAGGTGCATAATTCCCTGCAAACTATTCTGACATGCAGAACTTTGAATCTGTGAGCCGAGAATGACACCTGGTGGTCAAAAGCAGTAGTGCAGTCTAATATTTCTCCTCACACTGAAAGCTATCATTGATATTTTCTTTGACCAGGAGAACCCACTGAGACTCTTTTCCAGAGATGCCATTTCAGCAATACAAAATATACATATGAAACACGGATCATGAACACACACTGACTGTTGCAAACCCCTGCTCTCCGCAATCCAAAATAAACTGTCCTCTTTTGTTTTTATTTTATTGTACACCTTTCTTTTTTTTGTCCTTCTTACAAGTTGTTTTAAAATAAACTTTGATGCACTGTAAAACTTTTATTTACTTTAGTGAGCCTGCCTTTATTTGTGACAGGCTTCGATCTGAGAAAAGCCATTATTTATTTTCAAACTAAACTTGTGCACGGCAAGGATAGGGAAGACTATATGAAATATTGTAGTTACACCAGAAAAATATAATTGAACGTTGAGATGAAGGGCCCAATTACGTAATTGAGACCCGATTTAGATTAAAAAAAACTTTTCACATGTTTAAAGCTATATTCTTGCAACATATTTAGCGTGCTGGGAGACACATTGCTGATTTTACTTGAGGTCAGGCTCTTAAGATGGATTCAGAGCTCAGATTTAGGCATAAAGTTTAAATGTTTCACAATAAAACATACTGAGCGTTGTGTTGTTCAAACATTTGAGTTAGTGTGATCCAGTTACACTTGTTTGTTCTTCGTGTGTATCTTTCCCTTTCTCTCTGGAGCTGTTGTGTTTGTTTGTGTTTCCCTGTGCAGGTATTTGTGTTATTCCATTCACCCCTGTGTGTTTCTAACATGCTGATTTAATATAAAATGACCTCATATTTATTATTTCACATGTTTACTTTTGTCAGCTTCCTTTTATTGTGTTTCTTTAGCACTTTCTCTCAACCCTCAGGGGGACCTTCAGCACAGTTCAAAACGCACCCTGCTGATGTCATGATGATGTCATCCACTCAGCGGCTGCTGTGAGCAAACACTGAACTGACCCACACAAATGTTTGTCAGTGCCTGACACGTTTTCTTTTCAAACTGTGGTGACAGATGAAGTTCAGGCTGCCTGAAGCCCAAACTAGTTCAATATGACTCGAACGTACTTGGTCCAAAGAGTATTTTTTTTTTAGCTGTTAAAAGAGAGTTCTGCTTTCGCTCTGAGCCAAATGGGCTTCATCAGGCCCGGATCATCTTTCCCCTGAGGTAGACCTCCTGCAGAGTCCTGCTGCGGCCCCCTGCAGAGCTGCTGCGGTCCCCACCCTGTCCCTGCTTTCTGCTGGCACATTGGTCGATCCTTGTTTTCTGACTCTTTCTGACACACAAATGAAGCTCACTACCACACTATTGTCAAATGAATTGCTAAACTGATGAAGTGTTAAGCTTCGGTTAAACCACCGACGCCGAATCAACATGTCGAATCGGCCAAAAAACGGGTGGCCGACAGGAAGCGACAGAGCTGGACAAACTGCCAAAAACTAGGGCGACGACTGCTCACCTACGGTCTAACTAGGACAGACAGCCGACCAACGGCCTTTTTCGTCTTCCTATTTTTTTTCTTCTCCCTCAAAGGAAATTCCTCTTCATTTTCCTTCAATGTCATTGACAAACTTAATTTTTCATAGCAAAAATGCATGCAATTTTTAGCAGAGCGTGGAGAGTGAGTGCCGTCAGATGGGGCCTCCTTAGGGATGTTTCCTACAGTCATTGTACAATTTCCTCATTTTGAGCCACTGCTGTGGTTTCAGGTTTGTAAAGTACTGGCCTGCACGGGGCCCAGCTCTCTTCTGGCTATTCTCTGGCACTTTTCTGTGGCTGATAACTTTGACGGGTCTTTCCAGCTATCTTTTGGCCTTGCTACCTTCTGACTCTGATCTGGTCCGTCCCAGAAATCATCTTGCTCTTTTCTGGCTTATGGTTTTTTTTATGGATCATTCCAGACTATTATCTGTTTATACATTCTTGCTCTTTACTGGCTTAAACCCTGGATATAAATTCATAGTTATAGCTATAGTTCTTTCTCTTCTTCGTGTTGGCTATTTTCTGGCTCTTAAGTAATTCAATCTTGGCCACTATCCTCTGTCTGTGTCATTTTCTAATTCTCGATTATCTCTGGCCTTGTCCTGGTTTTCTTCCTTTATTTTCTGCATCAGTCTCTGCATCGTCTTCCTCCAGTCTGACTCTTCTCCGCTGTGTTACACTATCAAAGTGACCCTTCGTTCCCCTTCGTTCCCCTACTTCAGCTCCCTCCAGCTCTGTCCGAGTTCAGTTAGTTTAAACCCCCTGAAGTGTAGCACTCGATCGTGTTACAAAGAGAATGGAGGGTCTGTGTTTTCTGTGTGGTCCAGGGGGTCTCAGATTTGGATCTGCAGCGAGCCTCAGCTTTCTGCAGAGCTGGGCGTTTGGTCAGTGTCGAGCAGGATACGTTTTTATGGATCACTGAGGGGGATTATGAGTGATTGCAGGCTCAAAGAAAACAAATGACAAACCGATGTGTACTTTGGATGGACACAGGCTGCAGGGGTCTATCTATCTATCTATCTATCTATCTATCTATCTATCTATCTATTATCTATCTATCTATCTATCTATCTATCTATCTCTATCTATCTATCTATCTATCTATCTATCTATATCCTAGTGGTTAGTGTGCATGCTCCATGTGTGGAGGCTGTAGTCCTCCAAGCGGCTGGCATGGGTTTGAATCTGACCTGCATCTCATTCCCCCACTTCCTCTCTCCTTCATTCTGACCCTATCCACTGTCCTGTCTCTAATATACGAGCATAAAAAGCCCCAGAAAACTGTAACATGTTGTTTAATTATCTCTCTCTTTATTCGGCTAAAGTCTTGTAAACACTAAACCAAACTGAAAACCACTAAATAATTGTAGATACATTTTTAAATTAAATTAAAACCAGGTTTGTCCCATTGAGTTTTAGATTAAGAGCGTCATCTCCAAAGGACACGTGGCCATGAGACCTCAACTTCAACTTTCAACTTTATTGTGCCCGAGGGGAAATTTGTTTCGCAGCCAGGAGAGAACAATATGAAAAAAAAATTCAACACATATAGAAACACAGGCACATAGACTCAGACAACATCAGGTAACTGAGAATGTCTTAAAACGTCTATAAAACCAGAATATAAACCCATTATCAGTCATCAGGGTCATCATTGGAGTTCAGAAACTTGATGGCTTGAGTAACACAATAATTTTATAACCTTTTGGATTTGGGCTTTTGACAATCTGTATCTCCTGCCTGAATGCAGAAGCTCAAACTCACCAAAGTACAAATACTTTGAAATGAATCCTTTGGTATACGTGTAAACATAATATTATATTACAAACATATTTACAGTCTATGGTGGAGACCAGCAGTACAATTTAACTACCTAAGAAAAGTACCAATAACTCACAGTGCAGCGTCACCGCCACAGGGTGTCGCCTTTTCTCTTCCTGTTGTTCAATCCAACGAAAACAAAAACATTCGCTTTCCATTCTGAGGTTTTATCTTCAGCGGCCACCGTAGTTAGAGTATCAACATGGCGTCCGACAGTGACAGCGACGAGGATTTTGTGACTTATGGGACTCCGTTGGAGCCCCTTGAAGAAGGTTAAGATAATTTTAAACCCTCCCTTTTTATCTGCCCCCTTTCCTTTTAACCACACAGTTGTTTCTTGGGGTGAATAAAAACCATAAAGGTCGATTTAGGCTGCTTAGCTAACGAGCAGCTAGGTAGCTATCATCAACCCTCCAGTTTGTGAACCAGACTTTAACATTTTGTGTGTTTATTTATTCTGCACAGCGACTGAGGAGAAGTCTGAGTGTGTTTCTTTTTCACAGCTGTAATGAAGCTACACTTTGCACTGCAGAGAGATTCTCAAACCAGTTTATGATTTAATTCAAATTGTCTTTTTTTCTCTGCATCTAAATAGTTAAGTTAAAATGTTTATATTAGATGTTTGTGTCCACGCTGACATCCAGGATCATGGGCGGTTCTAGGCAGGGGCCAACAGGGGCCAACAGGGGCCAGTGTCCCTGTAACACTGAGCCCCCCTGTGGCCACCCCTCCAAAAGGAAGAGCCCCCCCCTCAAAACACATACACAGTAACTCAACAACAGGACTCACAAGTATTAAATACTGTTACTGAAATAAATATAAATCATGGGCGCTATAATTTGGCATAATATATATTATATATTTTTTAAAAGCGATCATCTTTTCTATTTTTCACCTGGGTTTAATGTTCCCCTCTGACAGAACAACTGGCCCCAGTTTGGCCCCCTCAGTGAAAGTGGTCTAGAACCGCCGCTGCTCAGGATACTCTCCAATACGGCCTGATAAAATGAAAACATTATTATCTGATCCACCACAAACACCCTGAGACTACATCAAAAACAAAGTCTTTGCTGTAAACGAGAGCGCAAATGATCAACGTGGGTTTCCTATCTGAACAGGTTATATAAGTGTATACTAACCTGTAGGAGCTGAACAGGTTATATAAGTGTATACTAAACCTGTAGGATCTGAACAGGTTGTATAAGTGTATACTAAACCTGTAGGAGCTGCACAGGTTGTATAAGTGTATACTAAACCTGTAGGAGCTGAACAGGTTGTATAAGTGTATACTAAACCTGTAGGAGCTGCACAGGTTGTATAAGTGTATACTAAACCTGTAGGAGCTGACAGGTTATATAAGTGTATACTAAACCTGTAGGAGCTGCACAGGTTATATAAGTGTATACTAAACCTTTAGGAGCTGCACAGGTTGTATAAGTGTATACTAAACCTGTAGGAGCTGAACAGGTTGTATAAGTGTATACTAAACCTTTAGGAGCTGACAGGTTATATAAGTGTATACTAAACCTTAGGATCTGAACAGGTTGTATAAGTGTATACTAAACCTGTAGGAGCTGAACAGGTTATATAAGTGTATACTAAACCTTTAGGATCTGAACAGGTTATATAAGTGTATATTAAACCTGTAGGAGCTGCACAGGTTATATAAGTGTATACTAAACCTTAGGATGCACAGGTTGTATAAGTGTATACTAAACCTGTAGGAGCTGCACAGGTTATATAAGTGTATATTAAACCTGTAGGAGCTGCACAGGTTATATAAGTGTATACTAAACCTGTAGGATCTGAACAGGTTATATAAGTGTATACTAAACCTGTAGGAGCTGAACAGGTTGTATAAGTGTATACTAAACCTGTAGGAGCTGCACAGGTTATATAAGTGTATACTAAACCTGTAGGATCTGAACAGGTTATATAAGTGTATACTAAACCTGTAGGATCTGAACAGGTTGTATAAGTGTATACTAAACCTGTAGGAGCTAACAGGTTATATAAGTGTATACTAACCTGTAGGAGCTGAACAGGTTATATAAGTGTATACTAAACCTGTAGGAGCTGAACAGGTTGTATAAGTGTATACTAAACCTGTAGGAGCTGCACAGGTTATATAAGTGTATACTAAACCTGTAGGATCTGAACAGGTTGTATAAGTGTATACTAAACCTTAGGAGCTGCACAGGTTGTATAAGTGTATACTAAACCTTAGGAGCTGCACAGGTTGTATAAGTGTATACTAAACCTTTAGGAGCTGCACAGGTTATATAAGTGTATACTAAACCTGTAGGAGCTGAACAGGTTGTATAAGTGTATACTAAACCTGTAGGAGCTGCACAGGTTATATAAGTGTATACTAAACCTGTAGGAGCTGCACAGGTTGTATAAGTGTATACTAAACCTGTAGGAGCTGCACAGGTTGTATAAGTGTATACTAAACCTGTAGGAGCTGCACAGGTTGTATAAGTGTATACTAAACCTGTAGGAGCTGCACAGGTTGTATAAGTGTATACTAAACCTGTAGGAGCTGCACAGGTTGTATAAGTGTATACTAAACCTGTAGGAGCTGAACAGGTTGTATAAGTGTATACTAAACCTTTAGGATCTGAACAGGTTGTATAAGTGTATACTAAACCTGTAGGAGCTGCACAGGTTGTATAAGTGTATACTAAACCTGCAGGAGCTGCACAGGTTGTATAAGTGTATACTAAACCTTTAGGAGCTGTTGTATAAGTGTATACTAAACCTGTAGGAGCTGAACAGGTTATATAAGTGTATACTAAACCTGTAGGAGCTGAACAGGTTGTATAAGTGTATACTAAACCTGTAGGAGCTGCACAGGTTGTATAAGTGTATACTAAACCTTTAGGAGCTGTTGTATAAGTGTATACTAAACCTGTAGGAGCTGAACAGGTTATATAAGTGTATACTAAACCTGTAGGAGCTGCACAGGTTATATAAGTGTATACTAAACCTTTAGGAGCTGTTGTATGAGTGTATACTAAACCTGTAGGATCTGAACAGGTTATATAAGTGTATATTAAACCTGTAGGAGCTGCACAGGTTATATAAGTGTATACTAAACCTGTAGGAGCTGCACAGGTTATATAAGTGTATACTAAACCTGTAGGAGCTGAACAGGTTGTATAAGTGTATACTAAATCTCTAGGATCTGAACAGGTTATATAAGTGTATACTAAACCTGTAGGATCTGAACAGGTTATATAAGTGTATATTAAACCTGTAGGAGCTGCACAGGTTATATAAGTGTATATTAAACCTGTAGGATCTGAACAGGTTATATAAGTGTATACTAAACCTGTAGGATCTGAACAGGTTATATAAGTGTATATTAAACCTGTAGGAGCTGCACAGGTTATATAAGTGTATATTAAACCTGTAGGATCTGAACAGGTTATATAAGTGTATACTAAACCTGTAGGATCTGAACAGGTTATATAAGTGTATATTAAACCTGTAGGAGCTGCACAGGTTATATAAGTGTATATTAAACCTGTAGGAGCTGCACAGGTTATATAAGTGTATATTAAACCTGTAGGATCTGAACAGGTTATATAAGTGTATATTAAACCTGTAGGATCTGAACAGGTTATATAAGTGTATACTAAACCTGTAGGATCTGAACAGGTTATATAAGTGTATATTAAACCTGTAGGAGCTGAACAGGTTATATAAGTGTATACTAAACCTGTAGGAGCTGAACAGGTTATATAAGTGTATACTAAACCTGTAGGAGCTGCACAGGTTATATAAGTGTATACTAAACCTGTAGGAGCTGAACAGGTTATATAAGTGTATACTAAACCTGTAGGAGCTGAACAGGTTATATAAGTGTATATTAAACCTGTAGGATCCGAACAGGTTGTATAAGTGTATACTAAACCTTTAGGATCTGAACAGGTTGTATAAGTGTATACTAAACCTTTAGGAGCTGCACAGGTTGTATAAGTGTATACTAAACCTGTAGGAGCTGAACAGGTTGTATAAGTGTATACTAAACCTGTAGGAGCTGCACAGGTTGTATAAGTGTATACTAAACCTGTAGGAGCTGCACAGGTTGTATAAGTGTATACTAAACCTGTAGGAGCTGCACAGGTTATATAAGTGTATACTAAACCTGTAGGAGCTGCACAGGTTATATAAGTGTATACTAAACCTGTAGGAGCTGAACAGGTTGTATAAGTGTATACTAAACCTGTAGGAGCTGCACAGGTTATATAAGTGTATACTAAACCTGTAGGAGCTGCACAGGTTGTATAAGTGTATACTAAACCTGTAGGAGCTGAACAGGTTGTATAAGTGTATACTAAACCTGTAGGAGCTGCACAGGTTGTATAAGTGTATACTAAACCTGTAGGAGCTGAACAGGTTGTATAAGTGTATACTAAACCTTTAGGATCTGAACAGGTTGTATAAGTGTATACTAAACCTGTAGGAGCTGCACAGGTTGTATAAGTGTATACTAAACCTGCAGGAGCTGCACAGGTTGTATAAGTGTATACTAAACCTTTAGGAGCTGTTGTATAAGTGTATACTAAACCTGTAGGAGCTGAACAGGTTATATAAGTGTATACTAAACCTGTAGGAGCTGAACAGGTTGTATAAGTGTATACTAAACCTGTAGGAGCTGCACAGGTTGTATAAGTGTATACTATACCTTTAGGAGCTGTTGTATAAGTGTATACTAAACCTGTAGGAGCTGAACAGGTTATATAAGTGTATACTAAACCTTTAGGAGCTGTTGTATAAGTGTATACTAAACCTGTAGGAGCTGAACAGGTTATATAAGTGTATACTAAACCTTTAGGAGCTGTTGTATAAGTGTATACTAAACCTGTAGGAGCTGCACAGGTTATATAAGTGTATACTAAACCTGTAGGAGCTGAACAGGTTGTATGAGTGTATACTAAACCTGTAGGAGCTGCACAGGTTATATAAGTGTATACTAAACCTGTAGGAGCTGCACAGGTTGTATAAGTGTATACTAAACCTGTAGGAGCTGCACAGGTTATATAAGTGTATACTAAACCTGTAGGATCTGAACAGGTTGTATAAGTGTATACTAAACCTGTAGGATCTGAACAGGTTGTATAAGTGTATACTAAACCTGTAGGATCTGAACAGGTTGTATAAGTGTATACTAAACCTTTAGGAGCTGAACAGGTTATATAAGTGTATACTAAACCTGTAGGAGCTGCACAGGTTATATAAGTGTATACTAAACCTGTAGGAGCTGAACAGGTTGATTTTTTTTTTTGCCATGGAGTGTGATCCCTCACAGACTAACGATTCATCACTGTCTCCTCATATTACAGTACATACAGTACAAACGATTATACAAACAGTATAATCTCAGAAATAACAACTCATCATATCATCATCACGGTTTGTCTCTACTTCATATGTGACAATAAACTGGAACATCAGAAAGTACTTTTATTTTGGACATTTGTTTATTTTTTACGCGTCAAGAACTTTCCATACACCTATGCAAGTGACTAAAGGCAAGATAAGAAATGTGGACATTAGATAGTCACTACAGGATGTGTACTGAACATGTGGATCTTTATTTGTGTATTTCTTTCATTTGTGTTTGTTGTAGACGAGCCGCTGAAGAAACCCGTCCCGCTGCACGAGCAGACGGTGAAGGATGAGAAGGGACGGTATCAGAGGTTCCACGGCGCGTTCACTGGAGGGTTCTCAGCCGGTTATTTTAACACAGTCGGCACTAAAGAAGGTCAGTACCGACAAATCATCACACGGTACCTGCTCACCTGCTCACCTATTCTGGCTGGATCAGTGGTGTTCCAACACTCTTATGTACTTTAAACAACTCCTGGAAAGGAGACACATTTTAGAGACTTGCCCTTTAAAACTAACCTTTATTTTAGAGTCAGGACAGAGGATAGAGTCGGAAACAGGAGAGAGAGAGAGTGGGGAATGACATGCAGGAATGGAGCCACAGGTCAGATTTGAACCCGGGACTACAGCCTCTGTACATAAGGCGTGCACCCTAACCACTAGGCTACCAGCGCCCCACTTTGTTTAGTGTTTTTATTGTAGATGTGATTGTATCATCTAGCTTTGACTCCGAACCAGCCCAGCATTCAGCTCATACTATTCTTCTTATATAAATTGTAGAGACACCGACTTTCATCCTGTGATTGTTGTGTTGTTGTGTCCGTCTTCAGGCTGGGCCCCATCGACTTTTGTTTCCTCACGACAACAGAAAGCTGAGAAACAACATGTCCGACCAGAAGATTTCATGGATGACGAGGTACAGCTGCCCTGTCAGATCAAAATCTCTTAAAACTTTTCATGTAGTGCATGTTTAAATGACTATTGCTATATAAGTTGAAAGTTCTGAAAGTTTTGCACCAGTTCTCTCGAAACTCGAATGAGTCTCGCCAATTCTTTAACATTTATTTTACCCCTGAGAGGCGGACTTTGTTTTCCAGCTAAAGTTTGAGTTTACATGATGTCATCAGAGCCTCTAAGGCCCCGTGTTGATTAGCTTCACTGATCTGCAGTAACGTTGATGTACTTTGTGAGTCTGTACTGTTCCTGAGTGTTGATGATTTTTTTTAAATGTGTGCATCAGGACTTCAGTGAGCACGGCATCGCTCCCCGAGAGATCACCACAAGTCAGGAGTTCTCATCCGGTCGCAAAGACGCCGTCAGAGAGAAGGCGCGAGCGGTCAACGCTCAGGCGGCGCTGATCCCCGGAGACACTCTGCTGGAGGAGCTAATCTCACCTGCCAGGTAACTGCAGACACCCCCCACTGAATCGATCCAGAGTCGGAGCACCTCGCCAAGTCTCTTCTGAGGTGTCTTTGTTTTGCGTCTCAGGTTGTCCATCGGGGTGGAGCTGCTGAGGAAGATGGGCTGGAAGGAGGGTCAGGGTGTCGGGCCTCGTGTGAAGAGAAAAGCTCGCCGACAACAGACCAGTACGTCTTTGACTTCCCTTCACAGTTTGACTTCCTGCAGATTTATAAGGGGCTGTAAAATACATGTTGTGTTATCATCTTCCACTACCTCTGTGTTTATTTGTCATTTTAAATGGTCTGAAAAGATTTTGCACCTTTAGATATAATTTAATGATGAGAATTTGTTGGTGTTTATAAAGGGCAATTTTAAAGCGAGGAGTTTTAGGCTTCCAGATTTCAGATTCTCGTTATTGTCCTACAAGGGGAAATGAGTTTTGCAGCAGGAGCAAACACAAGGCAGCAAATACAAAGGCGACATCACCAATCAAATCAGACTCGATGAAAGCTCAGTTTAAAGTGAGACACATAGAGATGGCACAATATAAAAACAGCAACAATAAAATCAGTTAGGAGCTCATACCAAAGTGGAAAAACTTCTCCCAAGTAAAGTGCAATGTGGGGGTTGTGCAATGTGCAATAATAGTGCAAATCTGTTATGATGCAGACTTAATATAAAAACCTCTTTAATAAACCATAAGCAACAAGTTTGAATTTATATAGTCTTTTTTATGTCTGAATCCTTTACTGTAAGGAATAGTTACTATTAACACAAGTACAGAAAATGTGTGCGCAAGATCAGCAAATATAAGAGCTCCCGTTTAATCCACAGGAGTCATCCATGTTTAAAACCAAACTGAAAAGGGTTTGGAGCTAAAAATGTATTTTGAATTTCTTTCAAAACAAAAGTCTTCAATTTGTTTGCCCTCTCACTGTCAATTAATTGAAACAACCTTTTTTTAAATACATTGACAGAGATGTTTCTTGTTGTATCATGAGTCCTGTAACTTTGCAACATTAGTTTTCTCTCTCCTCCTGACAGAAGGAAGTTCCAGAGTTCACGGCGTTGTGCTGCCCCCTGCAGGATCGGAGGACTCAGAGGTCAGTGGACCACCTTGTCACCAGTTGTTCGCTGAAATGGTTTCAGGGCTTTTGGTCTAGCGAGATGAAAACTTGGCCATCAACATATGGTTTCTGGTTCCAAGACTTCCTCCTCCATGTGCTGGTCATCATTTTGTCTGACTCTAATCTTTAGATGGAAGTTGAGAGATGATGGAGAGATTTTTTTAAATAGTCAAAAACAATCATTCATGCAAACTTTGAAGACGTATGAAGCTTCTTCTTAGATAATGTCATGTTACTCTCTTTCTCTGCCCACCAGCAGGAGGAGGATGATGATGATGAAGAGTTTGCTCCAGACAACGTCACCTTTGCACCAAAGGACGTGACTCCGGTGGACTTCAACCCTAAGGTGGGGGTTCAGGGTCTGGGGTACCGCGGTCTGGACCCGGGCCTGGCTCTGCTGGGCGGAGGAGCTGCAGAACACATCGACCTGTTCAGACCGCAGTCTGACACGAGGAGTCGGCTGTTTGGAGGAGCACAGCGGGGCTCGCGGAGAGGAGGAGGTGTGGCCGGGCAGGTGGGCTTGAATCTGCTTTAAATCCAAGTTTTGATGAAAGAAGAAGAAAAGTTTCTGTTGTAATTTTCTGTTGCTGCTGGATTTCTTTAAACTGCAGGCGTTTGGAGTAGGGGCTCTGGAGGATGACGATGATGAAGAGGTTTACCACAGAGACTCCATGTCTCGATACGACACGGTGCTGGGAGGAGAGGAGCCTGGAGACGGCCTGTACGGCTGGACGGCTCCACAGCAGTACAAGAAGAAAGCAGGTAACAGAGCCTGGGGAAAGAGTTCTGGAAAGTCGATTTCAGATCACCAGCAGGACAAAAAACTCTCTGATTATTCAAACGACACAGTGGACCGTCGCTCCCAGCACCTCTCCCTAAACGAACTGATAAACAAAACTAATCTTGTAAACAAAGTAATGAAAACTGGACAGTGATCTTTAAGGTTAAGAACACTTGCTCAAATGCCACAAAAAGTTTTAATTGATCACAACGTTTCGATCAGAGGTATAAGAGGAAACACAGAAAAGAACAATGTGGAGCTGTAGAGGATGAAAAATGAGCTTACAGGAGACATTCTTCTTGAGGCAGTCTTGGCTTTATTTTTAGACATAATATGTTTTACATTTTTAAGGCATTTATTCTTAAAGTCTTCATGAAATGAGAAATTCATTTTCTTAATCCAGCGTGTTTAATGTTCATATATCTGTCTTATATATACCAATAAAGCATGATCTGAGTATTTTTACATCATAATAACTTTTATTTTCTCCTCATGTGAAACATCTCAAATGTCCCATTGCTCATCCTGCACTCTGAAGCGTTAACTCATTTTCTACCAATTAAAAAACTTTGGTGAAGCTAACTATCCAATCATATTCATCCCGATGTTACGTCCCGCCTTCTATCTTTTGATTGGTTTTGTTCAAGTCAGACAAATGTCACAACACAGAAGCTTCATGCTGGACTTTAAATACAACTCAATGTTGTTGCTCTTTCAGGGGAAACTTCTTTTCATTCACCTTTTTAAAAATGTTCTGAAGAAGAGAATACTCACTTTGATTGTTTCTGTTCACAGAGAAAAGTAAAGATGCATCGTATCTCGGCAAAATCCTGGAGGGTTTCACTCTGGCCCAGAAACCAGTCAGGGACAAAACTGTGAGCGACTTAAAATATCTACTCATCCTCCTCTGACAAATGAACTGTGTTACTGACGTTATTCTCTCCATCTGTAGATCTTCCCTCCCCCTGATCTGCCCCGAGACTATCGCCCTGTCCATCGTTTTCGACCGGCAGTCGACGTTAAGAGTCTGTCGGGGGTCAGCCCCGCTCTGGCCGAGGCTCTGAAGACCTCCAGGGGCCACATGGTCAAAGAGGAGCCGGAACAAGGAGGGCGTCACCAGCTGGACTCTGGCCAGAGGAGGGCGCTGCTGGGAGAAGACACACTGCAAGGTAGTGTCACAGTCAGCAAATAAATGGATGATAAAAATATGGACAGACTTCAGTTTAAGAGTTGTAGAAGTTGATGTCGATAAGACCAAGACTACATCAACAATTTTCTCTACTTTGTTGGAAGAAGAAAGATATTTAGTTGTGCAGTAACTCTAACTTGATATGAAGTCCAGTGAGGCAGAAACACTGGGAGTCTATATCCTAAATAAATCTATACTGATGTTTGTATTTGATCCAAAGAAGCCAAAATCAGATCAACTTGTCCTCTTTATCCTAAATCTGGATCAGGTCCCAGTTCAGTCATGGAGCTGCTGAGGCCTGAAGACAGAGAGCGACTGAAAAACCTCCGCAACTCCTCCAACGTTCCCGCCACCAAAGCAGCCCCGACCCCACTCTCCCAGGACGCCTTGAAGTCGGCAGTGACTTTGGCGGGGTCACTGGCAGCGAGGGCCGCTGGCTCCGCCGACCACGGTCACGACCGAGGTCACGACCACGGGCGGCAGCAGGAGGCTCTGGCAGCGTGGAAGGGAATCCAGACCACTTCACAGACCTTCAGACCGTTTGAGAAGAACCCCAGTAAACAGGCGCGCTATGAGATGTACCTGAACCGCCTGAAACAGGGAGACAAAGGTCAGAAACTGGGTCTTACATCCCACATTCTGCAGTCTGCAGTCTGTTCTTCAGACAATTTCCTTCAGTTTAGACTTTCAAAAACAGGGGAAATTACTTTTACACTCTGTTATTGAGACATGCTACACACACATGCACAAACAGAATCCTGTGGACATGCACTAATGGAGAGAGAGAGGGGCTGCACATCAAAGAGCGCCCAAGCAGTTGGGGGTTCGGCGCCCTGCTCAAGGGTACCTTGGCAGTGCTCAGGAAGGGAACCGGTACCTCTCCAGCTACTAGATCAATTTCAGACTTGGTCTGCTCTGGGACTTGAACCAGTGACCCTCCGGTTCCCAACCCAAGTCCCTACAGACTCCTGCAGGCTGCTCCTGCCCAATATTTGGACCCTGTATTGAGATGTTGAAATCTTACTAGTTGAACATATACCTCACCAGGTTGCTCACAAAGGATTGTTTTTAGCATAATCCTCTTTAAATTAATTTAATATAAAAACTATTAAAGCTACATCCACCGTTCGCTCCTCTATGATGTCATGGAATTACATTTGATGTAAAACAGAACAAATTAATCAAAAAAATTACCAGTATTTCTCTTTGAAGATGTTGAAAAGTCAGAAACGGGAAAAATATTTTCCTAAAAACTGTCATTGAAATACCAGATTTAAACCCCTCCTCTGTCTGTGTTCTTAAGACGCCCTGGAGCAGAGTCTGGACTCGGGGGTGACAGAGTGGGAACGAAGCCGGGAGAGGGATGAGTTTGTGCGGGCCTCCATCCTGTACAGACCCAGCTCGTCTTCGCTCTCCTCCCGCTTCACCCGGGCCAAAAAAGAGGAGGACGACAACAGCGTGGAGGTCAGCCGGGACGAGGAGGTAAGACAGGGATACTTTGAGTTTTTACACAGGGAGACATTTAAAGGGATGGTCCACCATTTGACTTCTCTTTTGTAAAGAAGTTGGCAGAATGGTCTAAACCCTAAAATCAGAGGTTGAGATATCCCTTCCCATAATGCACCTGAATAAAGTATTTAATTAGAGCCTATCTGCAGTTCAAAAAGGTGCATGTAAAAATAAACAACACAGCACAAAAGAGATGACTACGAATATAAGAAGCAGAGTGAGACAGCATGAGAGGAAGCCCTGATGACATCACAGTGACATCATCAGGGTCCTTCTCTTCTCCAGAAACACAGAGGAAAATTAAACACAAGAACCTCCGAATGAACATGATTTCTGAGATACTTCATTAGATATTTTTTTTCAGGAGTTTCTCAGCTTGAAAGGTCAAGTTATGTTCAGAGTCTGAGTTTCTTATTTTATGTGTGTGTGTCAGGGCGACGTGGACGACAAACAGGCTGCAGTAAACATGAAGATGTTTGGAAAACTGACCAGAGAGACGTTCGAGTGGTATCCTGACAAACTGCTCTGCAAGAGGTTCAACGTCCCCGACCCGTATCCTGGGTAAATCTCACAGACATCAGATATCAGAGTCCTTTCAGTGAATGCTGTGATCAAACAGAAACTCTGATCCCGACTGAGAGACTTTTTTATGTTCATCTGAATGTATGAGACTTGTTAGACGTCTGAAAGGAGTAACCGACTGTTGTTGGTCCCACAGGTGCGGTATTGTCGGTCTGCCAAAGGTGAAGAGAGACAAGTTTTCAGTCTTCAACTTTCTCACTGTGACCGAGAGCAGAGAGCCTCCAGGTAACTTTTTTCTAACTTCAAGTTTCACCAAATAATCTGTTTTGTAAATGTCCCTTTCTAACGTGATTTATGTTTTTAGACATTGGAGTTATGCTGCCTTCAGAAAGTTAATGACTCTGATGTCAATTGAAGAGACTCCGAGCTAACACATTTCAAAGATCCTCAAAATGACATTTCAGTTCTCATAATTACCTGACTTACAAATGTCTGTCATATTTAGCCTTTCATTGAAATGTGGCATAATTATTTCAGTCTGGTTGACATTCTGTCTGTACTCACATCGTCCTCTTCCTCCTCTCCTCCTCTTCCTCCTCCTCCCCTCTCCTCCTCCTGTCCTCTCCTCTCCTCTCCTCTCCTCTCCTCTCCTCTCCTCTCCTCTCCTCCTCTCCTCCTCCTCCTCTCCTCCTCTCCTCTTCTCTCCTCTCATCCTCCTTCTCCTCCTCCTCAGCTCCTCCAAAGCCTCCAGAGTCTGGGAAGAGATCTCGATGGGACGTCTCGGGCCAAAAAGCAGAAGAGAAGAAGAAGGAGGAGGACCCACTGAGTGAGCTCCTCAGTGCTGCACGAAACCAAACTGAGACCAAACCTGAAAAAACCTTACCCGCCTCCACCAGCACCAACCATCAAACACCAGACAGCAGAACAAAGGAGGTGAGTCCTGAACCTTGTGACCAAACTCACTGTGAAGCTGAAGGACATATTGGAAATCTGAGCTTGTGTTCTCTTCCTTCAGGCAAAGTCGGCCGATCAGGAGAAGGGGAACAAAGATGATCAAGAAGAAGAGGAGGTGGAAGAGGAGGAGAACAGGCCTCCCATGGATCTGTTCAAGGCTATCTTTGCCGGCTCCTCTGATGAGAAATCATCATCTTCATCAGAGGGAGAGAGTGAGGATGAGGAGGAGGAGGTAGGAGACACTAAGAAGGAAGAGGTCCAGGGGGAGCCACAGCTGATTAACCTCTTCAAAGTCCCCTCTTCCTCCTCTTCCTCCTCCGTCACCTCCTCCACAACCACACCCAACACTACGTCTAGCCGGCACACAGGTAGGAACACACAAACGATACAGAAACACATCAGAGGTCCAAAAGATATGTTCAGGAGTTTTCAACCACAACCCGCAGCCTCCTTCAACAAATCAATTCACAGATGCAGGAGGAATCGTTCTGATGTTTCAGGAATTCTCATATAATGTGTTTGCATGTTATTGTCTCCCTAAGGTCTTAAAGGTCTTGATGTTTGGAATATATTTAGTTTTAAAGGTTATTTTTTAGGTTGGGGTTTTGTTTGAATTTGAACATAGTCTGGTGTTTCATCGACATGCTCACTTATGGAAACCTCAGAATTGAAAAGTCCAGTGGTTTAGTCAAAGCTTCAGCATCATTCCTGCAGCAAACTGCCAGGCTGTTGTTTTAAGGAAAACTGTCTGTTATAGTAAAGATATTTAATCACTCTCAAACGTTTAAGAATTGCTCAACTTGGTTTCCTCGGCAGGCAGCTCTATAACAGGTTGTAATGGTTGCAGGATTAACCTCTGGAGCAGGTATGCTAACATTACAGAAAGGATCGCCAAAGAGAACACTTGTGTTACCTGTAAATTGGCCTGTTTGCATAAAAAACAGCCAAAACATCTGTTTCTTCAAAGTCACTGGAATCCATTGAAACCAGAACTTATCCAGAAGAACAGAGAAGTTTCTGGTGTATTGTTTTTTAGTTTGTTGTTGTCTTTATGGGTCTGCTCTTTGACACGCTTGGAAGGCAAAAGCTTTCAGACTGACTGGCTGTTGTCCTTTTTATTTCTGCTGCGTGATATGCTGTTAGATTAATCCACGTCAAATTCCATTTCCATTCTAACTTTTCTTGTTGTTTGTGTTTCTTTAAAGCAGTGGTTTCAACTCAGAACTCGACACAAGTAGAAGAGGAGTTTGGTCCGAAGCTGCCGCCTCCTTCAGCTGCTCTTTGTGAGTCCAGCAACATCTAAACATTCAAATATATATATATATATATATATATATATATATATATATGTATAGTGTGTATAATGCAAAAATAACTATGTTGACTCAGCTGTGCCTGTTGTTCCCTTGTTCAGCCAGAGGAGGCGCCACCTCTATCCGCTCCCCAGCTGAGGAGGAGAAACTTAGCAAGAGGAGCAAAGACAAGAAACACAAGAACAAGAAGCAGCACAAACACAAAAAGGAGAAAAAGGTAGAAAAACCAAACAAAAATAGAGTGACTCTTTCACCTGACTGCTTATTTTTTTCTCTGCTGAATTTACCATCATTTATTTACAGAAGAAGAAACACAAGAAGCACAAACACAAAGGGAAGCAGCAAAAGAAGAGCAAGAAGGAGACGTCGGACAGCAGCTCAGAGGAGGACAGTGACGGTGGAGAACCAGAGCAGGTTTCCACAGAAGAGCTGCTCAAAAGGTAATAGAGTTTTCAAACATTGACGTTATATTAAAACTCATGAGAGAGGTGAAGTGTTTTTACCACTCATGCTGCTGCAGTTTGTGGGTTCCTTGAATAAACAGTAATTAATTGAGTGCAGAGAAATAGTTCATAATGACTGTTGTCAGCTAACAAAGGATAAGTTTAGACAAAGTTATCCGATTATAAATTCCCTGCCTCCAAAAACACAGCTCAACTGTTGTGTGTTTAAAATAAATACACCTCAGAGTGTCTACATGTCTTAATATCTCTTTGTGTGTGTCCTCTCGTTCCAGACTGAAAAGCATGAAGTCACATGAGACCTGGTGAACGAGCTGGAAGAGTCTCCTCCACGAGGACGACCAACATAAAGAAGAAACACCTCAGAGTTCACCCTGCATTCAGCTCATTTGACACAACAGATTTTCTGTTGATTTTTGTTTTAAATAATAAAATGATTTACTGTTATTATTATTTGTTTGTTTCTGTTGACTATTTTACTGATCTGTTGAGTTATATGTTATTTTTACAGCCTATGTATTTGACTCGTTGGAGCATGTAGGAGGAACCATAGTTCGTTTGTATCAGAGAACCATCCTATGACGCGTTTAGATTGTCTGTTGTCCCACATGACCCGAAGGCACCATAACGGGGGTGTTGCTATGGTAACTGTCGCGACGGAGACCTAAAAAGTCTCTTGATCGGCTAACAAACTTTTTACTATTAATTTCTGAAATGACGACCAAGAAACTCGACCCTTTGTCAGTGGAGGAACCTACACATGGAGGAGAAGAGGCGGAGAAGCCTGAGGAGGAGAAAAGAGCCGCAGGTGGAGGAGAGTGGAGCCAGGAGTCCCAGGTAAACAAAGTCAGGAGTACGGTTAGCTCAAAGGTTAGCTCGGTGGCTAAAGTTCACGGTCTGTCTTTAATATTCAAGTTCCTCTTAAAAAAAAATATTAACACCAAAACTGTAAAAGTAGATAATCCATAACAAGTATGCGTCCAAACATTTTAATTTAATTAAGACATAATGTAGCATCAGAAAAAAGGTTAAAAAAAAAAAAAAAACTCAAAATTTGTCAAATTGTCAATTAACTACGAATAACAAACACACAACAGTCTGTTACATAAGTAATGTTGTCAAATTAATGCAGTGAAGGAAGAAGTACAACATTTCACATTGAAGTTTAATGCTTCAAATATGTAATTTAATACAGTTGCTACCATATAGATCAGGGATGGGCAGCTTAGGTCACAGCAAGGGGCCACATTCATTTAATTCTGACTGCCAGGGGGCCAAATTGTAGAATACAAAAATGATTACAGTCAATTATGTCTCCAATTAGCTCAACATATGCCAGTGATCAATTATTATTATGGACATACTTCTGGTTTTCATGATTTCATGGCATATTTAGTCATGTTTTCTTCATGTTCCCAATTAATTGATATGTAAAAATTGACCTGAGGGCCACGTTGAGGGCCGCATGTGGCCCCCGGGCTGCCAGTTGCCCACCCCTGATATAGACTGTTAATATTAGTGCTACATAAGCAAAAGTACTTTGAGAATTCCCTCACTACGGTGGCCCTGAAGGTCAACTGCACAGACATTTAATGATTGCAAAAACATTTTACTAAATGCAAAAATATATATATATATTTATATATATTATGAACACATCAAAAACATTTTACTTACTGCAGAAAAGAAAACTACAGCGAATGATATTTCACCTGCAAAAATAAGTGTCAACTGCAATAAGATATTTAGCCCCTTCCTTTACTAGTACTTTTTTCATTGTTAAAGATCAAGCTTTATTTATTTGTAATATTATTTTGACTATTCAAATAATTAAAAATCTGATTGGTGTTCATTCACAATGCTAACACAAAGTGTTGCATTTTTATTCTGTAATATTCCCCCTCCTCTCCTTGTTGTTGTTTTCATGTGTGTGCAGGTTCCAGTAAAGATGTTACGAGGTCACAGCGACACTGTCACCGCAGCTCGACTCTGCTTCGACAACAGCCGCGTCCTGAGCTGCTCCTCAGACCGCAGTGCCATCCTCTGGGTAAACTATGGATTCATACTTTGTCTCTGCAGCCCTCTAGTCTGAAAACACTGTCTCAATCCTCTCTGGCTGTGTTAAGTAGGTGATTAAATAACAGCTCTTTAACACCTCAGTAGTTGTCTGTTCTCCATGTGGATGAGTTCAGCAGATGTTGGTTGCAAAGTGATTATAAAATATTTTAATGACGGTAAGCTGTAGCATGTCCTGTTGACATCTTTGACCTGTGCAGGATGTTGAGAGCTGCAGACCTCTGAAGGTTTTCGATGGACTTCATGGTAGGACCATCTCTGAGTGCACTCTCATCCCAAACAGCAACAGGTGGGTCCTGTAAGACAAAAACAATAACCAAATCAATGCAAAAAGTTCAATCTTGACACTCTACTGTACATAGCATTTCTAAAGTAAACTCATTTTACTATCATTGATATACATAACTAAATCCAACATGAGAAACAAACTCTTCAAGAGAACATATTATCCCCCTTGTCCACCTTTTCAAACAGTCCCCCTGTGGTCTAAATGAAACATCTGTGCTGTGCGTTGGTCAAAATATAGCATGAATCAAGCACCAGAGGAGGTTTGTGACCCTGTATAAAGCAGCTCTCTCAGAACGCTCCGTGTTGGTGTGTGTGTCTCTTTAAATGCAATGAGCCCCCCCCCCTGAGTTTTCCTGGTAGACATCACTCCTCTGTAGGGAGAATAAAAATGACAGAGATACCAGGGGAGGGAAGAGGATCGTTTTCTGCCAATAATTGAATTGACAGTTTGGAGGAGAAAGAATAATGATGTTTAGGATAATTAATTGTTGTGTCAAGTGTTTGGTCAGACAGTAAAGTGACCGTACTGTGTGTGTGTCTGTCAGGATGGTTACAGTCTCCTGGGATAAAAAGATGGTGGTCACAGATCTGGAGACTGGACAGACTCTGGTAACTCTTCTTCCTCTTCTTTTGTAATGCACACATCTTCCTTAAAGCTCCTGAGAGGATATTTTTGTGTTGACTTTGGCGCCCTCCTGTGGACAAACCGGTACCTCTCATACTCTGTGCGGATTTTGTCCTTGTGTAAGCAGTTTTTTTAACCATATCTCATCCTGCTCTTTTTTTAAGAGTCAAGTAAAACACTCAAAAAGAACCTTTCAGCAGTGTCTTTTTTATCTCTTCCCCTGACACATTTACCCCACCGCAGAAGTTTAAGATATTTAAAATAACTCCTCAGACATTTAAATTATCTCCTCACAGGAGCTTTAAGTAAAAGTATTTGTACCTTTGGGTAAATGTACTCTTCTACATATGAACAATTTGATTTGCAGTGGCAGTGCAAACTGGGCGGCCTGCTGACCTCCTGCAGCTCTTCGTCTGATGGCCGGCTGCTCGTCTGTACAGCAGATCCAAAGAGCAGCGTTTCCATCATCGACTCAGAGGACGGAAAGATACTGCACCACATCAGCGGTGCGACACCACACAGCCTGGTAACACATTGTCTGGATTCTTAACACTGTTTTTAAGCTGCGTTTGTTTTGCTCTCACAGATCATCACCGCTCTACCATCACGCGGTGTCGGTTTGACCCTCAGAGCCAACGGGTGGCCACAGTGTCTGCAGACCGGGGCATCAAACTGTGGGACATGAAGACCCGGGGAACCACCGTTTCAATCAACAGGTGTCCAACACTCCAGACTCAAAGAACCTCCACAAAACTTTTTTCTCTTCTGTTATTACCGCCTGCTTCTGCTGGTCATAGTCAACATTAAAATTGAGTCAATCACTGCGATCTGGGTAACTTTAGCACACCAGAGGACCCCTGGAACCCACTGAACCTCAATGATACTGATAATTCTGTACAGACATCTGGCAAATCTTGATTTAAAAATTAGCATATTCACTTTATCTCTGAGAGTTCAAACCAGCCCCACTCTCTTTTCTATTTGCTGAATGAGAAGCTCCAGCTAGCACCTTCTTATCTTAGCTTAGCTTAGTTTAGCTTAGCATAAAGGCTAGGGAAAGGGGAAAACAGAAAGCCCACCTCTGTCCAAAGTTTAAAATGCACCTTGAGCTGATTGTTCAATATGTTCATACTGTAGTTTGTTCTGTTACCAAACTGTTAAACTGTCTATTTGTTTATTTGGGGTGTTAGATGGGGCGTCTTGTCAGTCAGGTAAAAAACATTTCTTGAGGAAAATCTACCTGTTCAAGAAACTGTAACAAACTAAAGGTTATTACTATATTTCTCTAAATGTTGGAACTACTTAAAGCAGAAACAAACTCAGTGAAATGCACAATGTAAACACAAGATGATAAAGGTTATTTTTACTCAGCAGGTCATACGGTCTTCATCATTGTTTTTATTGATGTAATTATCAATCAATCTTTATTTATAAAAACAAATATTATCTCGATACACTTTACAAACAGAGCAGGTCTAGACCGTTACTGACAGACGTGTGGGTATTTGCTGATCAGGCTTGATGATCATAAGAATGAAGATAAGGACGATGATGATGATTGAGTATCTGAGAAAAAGATTTTAAAAAAAGCAAATCATCATTTGATTGTTTTTCTCATTCTGTCTTCATGTGTTGATATTTTGTTTTGTTTTCCCGTCTCTCTCAGTAACCACAACAACGTTGTTTCTGACTGCTGCTTCACCAACAACGGACACTTTCTGTGCACTGCATCATGGGATAAAAGCTTGAAGCTGTGGGACCTCCAAGCGGGAGGATTTCGCTCTCACGGCGGACTCTGCTGCAGAGCGGCCACGAAGGCAGCGTGAGCTCCTGCAGCTTCTCTGTTGACGGTGAGCAGGGCAGCTGCTGTGATGTTTGGGTTGACTGTGTGAGCGGCTTTATTATTAACTCTTATATTTATAAACTGATCATCTCTGAACATGATGTACACGTTTATCCACAGCACACCTGCTTGTGTCTGGCTCCTACGACCGGACTGTTGCACTCTGGGATATGTCCACCTCTGCCAGACTCTCATTCTGAAGGTGTTTAAACACTATGAGCTGTACTCGCTGTGTTTTTAATCATTCTTAAATTTAAGGCTTCTGTTTATTTTTGTATTGTGTTTGTTGCCTTCATCACAGGGCCACAGTGATTGGGTAACAGACGTGTCGGTCTCGGCTGACAGGAAGTTGGTGGCCTCTGCCTCCAAGGTACCTAATTTTTATAATCAAATATATATATGTTAAAGTCAGCTACTCTGCTGTGATGATTCAACTGTTTTCATTTTAAGTTTAAAAACATTTTCAGTTGGTTCTTCTAATGCTAACCTGTTCAACTTTCTGTAGGGTTTTCACATCCTCTTGTGGGGCTGACATTTAGCTATGGGATCTATTTAGGACCAGGAAATATCCCTTGTCCTGACATCTATGCTCCTGAAAAAAAGTGTCTCTGTAACATGTCAATCAGACAAGTTAGAGCATATTTGGGGTGAACTTCCTCTCGGCTTTAGTCTCCGACATTGTTCGGTTTGTTCTCAGTTATGCTTATTTTGATAAAGAGTGTTTCTGGCTCTGAAAGAGGGAGGAGGCCCAGAGAAACTTGGGGTTTGTTGAAGAAAACATGCTCGTGACCAGGTAAGGTTCACAGACTCAGTTACCATAGTAAGTGAGAGTGACCTCTCTTTCTGAAACAGAAAACCCCAGTTTCCTGGCTTATTCAAACCAGGTCTTCTCTGGATTTGTTGGACAGTTTTTCAATCAAGTCAATCTTTAAAGACTAATATATGTTTTCAGATCAAGTCTCTGCCTGGTTATGACATCACTTAGGTGTCATCACAGAGGCTTACATATTTAAACATCTTTAGCTTGTTTTGAAAAAGTTTCTTCTGTAGGCTCTACAGTCCTACGTGCCTCTACATGCAGATTCTCAAAAACTCTGTTCCTCTGTCTGCCTTTTTTTGTTTTCTACAGGACAAAACTGTCAGATTGTGGAACTTAGAGAACATGGAGGAAATCCCAGAAGTCCTGGAGAAGATTGCAGCTGAGGGAACAGGAGTTCAAATCCTCAAAGTGAGAAAATATCTCAACATCATGTGTTTCTTTTGGTTCCACTTTTGTTTAATTGTATCAGATACTAAAACTCTAAGATTCATAAGACGCTCAGACTTTGACTTTAAGTACTTTTTTCCCAGTGTGAGCAGTGTGGAAAGCCGTTTCCTGTGTCCAGACTACAGACCTCAGATCTGCTGACACAGTGCGTCTTCTGCCGACTGAAATCCCCCTCCAGATACCGACCACAGCCTCCACCTCTCCTGTGACTCCTGCCAGGGAAGACGGTCGTCAGCCACAGAGCAGCAGCTGGTAGGGATGCAACATCTTGCCAAAGACGATTGTAACAATTACGTCCATATAATACTGAAAAAGACATTTGAATTCAAACTTAATTTTATTTCTATTTTACATCAAGTACATTTGTTAACTATTCACACATTCTTCATTCAGAGTTTCACATTAAAAAAAAACAGTCTAGATCCAGCATTGAGTCCTGTAAGACCTCTGTGAATATGGAGGGACAGTGAACGAAGCACAGACTCACCTGATTTCATAACAAACACTGAATTAACTGACTGCACAGACACTGCCCTATCCCACGCTCATAACAGGCAGTGAACTAAATGCAAACACTCACCTCTTCTGTTTTTATTACGGCCTCTGAACTTGTGCCGGGCGATATGACCTGAGATTCACATCACTGTTTTTTTTTTTTGCTTTTTGCAGTAACTGTATTATGTCGAGGTGTTACAGCATTAAAAAGGATTGTTCATATGAACACATTATTCAGGCACTACAACCCCCCCCCCCTCCTTCTCCCCCTCAAAGAAGCCTTTGGGAAAGCTGGGAAAAAGGTGTTCAACAAGGTTTTAATTTCTTTGCTCATGCATGACATCAGCAGATTCTCTGGGTCAAGCTTCTCAAATGTGAGATTGTTGGTTTTATCTGATTTGTATGGTGACCTGCTCCGTCTGACAGAAAGTCACTTTGGCAGTTTTTCCCCTATCTTAGACACTCAATGATTAAACAATCAAAAAAGATGGATTATTTGTAAGTAAAATGATTGTTAGTGTTGGTTAAATTCGGTGTCAGATTTGAGATGGAGTCCTTACAGACTGCTGGAAATTTTAACCTGAGCAGTGATGAAAATATGTCGACACCACTGACAGTTGAAACACACCACTGTTTAAAGACCTGCTTATTGTTCAGTGACAAACTACGTCCTGCCTGAGAGACACAGGTGCACACCCTGCAACCTTTACATTTAGGATGATCCTAGAGGAAAGGAAAAAGTCTCTACAACAGATTAAGTTCTTCATGAAGGCAGCATGAAATTCACGACTATCTAGCCTTTGGGTTTTGGCATTTCTAGTGTCCTAGTTTAAATGCAGTCCAGAGGACAGAGTCTGGAGGGTCAAGGGACCATGATTGTCCTTCAGTCTGAGCAGTGTTTTGTGTTGTGGGGCAAACTGTTGGATGGACTCTGTTGTCCTGTCACCATCTGTCAGTGGAGCGGATCCTCTGCGACCACGAGGAGTCCGAGCTGTGCATCAGCCCCCTTAGATCTTGCTGATCAGACCCCTCCGTTCTCTGGAGATGCCTAGGTTTTATTCAGCATGGGGCCTACGCTGCATCAGAAGGTGCTCTGCAGCAGACAGTGGCAGCCGCAGCCAGCCGGGCACTCGTCCTGTCGGCGGAACCAGTCCATCATGTGACTGGTGTGTCCTCCGTGACCACAGCTCAGGCAGAAGTTGGAGGAGCCGCGCACAGCCACGTGACAGATGGCGCACTGGAAAGTGAGACGCTTGCAGACGGCACACTGAGTTCCCCTGGCCTGACTGCGACAGTGACAGCAGTACACTCCAAACTCTGCAGACAGACAGAGAGAAACAGGGTTAGCATTAGCAACACAGTGTGTATTAGAACAATCAGTGACACTCAGGTTGATCTGTTGGCTGATAGTTATGTTTAAGTGAACTAACTAAGAGAGGCAGCGGTGTGTGTGAAATGTTTTGGATGTTTTGGTAGCAGAAACAAACAAACACAGGGGGCTTGAGATAAAACTAGGAGTTGCTGGTCTGCAGCTGCCTGGTTTAGTTACATGATTGTACAAAAACATAAAGATGCAAACATAGAGTCCAAGATAAAAAATAGAGGAATATCCCCTTTTCAGTTAAAGTATTAACTATTCTTTAAAGAAGATAGGGGGCGAGAGAGTGGGGATTACATGCACCAAACAAGGTCAGGATAGGGGGTCAAACCTGTGACCAGTGCAACTGTAGCCTGTACATGGGGCGCATGCTTTTAGCTGCTCTTTGTAAAGTGTCTCGAGATAACATTTGTAATAAAGCTGGATAAAAAGAAGCTTCCTTATTGGCTAAAAACTCTGCTAAACAGGCAGGGATGGTATTAGAACATCTTGACATCAAACAGGAGGGAAAGTTTGGAGATAAATGTACGTACCGATGCCTTTGTGAGGTTCAGGCGGGCAGGAGGCAAACTTGAGAACATCGGCTCTTTTCTCCCTCAGTCCCCAGCGGTACAGAATTTCACCGTAACATATCTTAAAGTCATCAAACTGCAGCATGTTGGCCGGGTCCAGCAGCCTGCAGGGGGGGAGGGGGGTTGTGTTATAGAAACAGAAAGCATGTCACAACATCCTACCAACGGTCATCTGTCCTTCTACATCACCTCTTGTTCATATCGTGCTGCTCCCGCTCCCGTTCCCGTGGATCACTGTAACCCTGGTTACTATAGCGATAATCATCAGGGGAGGACTCACCCCAGGGGTTAGGGTGTTCAGGCTCTCTACCTGTTAACAACAAGAAAACAAATGCATGTATAAATCTATAGAAGGTAAAGAGAGTGATGAAGTAGTACAGCAGCTGGCCTGTAGGCGGCGCTGTGGAGTCTCACCTGTGTTCCAGTTGGTGGTTGTGATGGAGTCAGAGGTACTGGAGCATGAGCCCGAGGTGACGGAGCTGGATGTGAAGCTGGGCTGAAACATTAGTACATCACTTTATTATTACATCACTTCCTGCAGCCTAAAAGCCCCTAGCATGCCTTTATTAAAACATCAGGAATTAACCTTCCTTTTCATTACACATTAAACAGAATCAAGAGAACTGAAGGCAGCATGGATGCTTTGGTGAAACTGAAACAACTGTATCTCAGATTTCTTTTTTGTTTGTGTTTGTGTATGTATAAATAACAAAATAATTACTTTTCTTAGACTTAAACTGTTCTATTATAATATTTGTCCACATTTACTGACTACATATTTTCGACTTTTTATAGGTCCTGTTTATTTCTCTTGTCCTTTTGGTTCATTAGCTGCTTTGTTCTTGAAAAACTGACAACATGAGAATACAGACTTATAGCAGCATGTTTGAAAAATAGCTAAGAGTGAATACATTTGAATTAGACTGACTTTATTGGAGCTGGACTCTGAAATACACCAAGTGTACTGAAGTCAGCATGAACTCTGAACCAATCAGACAACAAGCCAGAAATTAATTTTATCAGAGCTGCAATGGACAATATGTTTCAATAATTAATATTTGAGTAGCCAGTTGATAGTCTAAATGGATACAAGATTCATGAGAAATCACAAACATTAGATTGTAAAAAATCTTGTGTTGTTCGACCAACAGTTCATGAATGACTACAGAATTAATGAAGCTGAGTACTTCCACTGGAATAATTGCTACTGAAGAAAGTTTGTGAAATGTGTATTTTTTTTGTATTTTGGGTGAGCAGGGACTTACATATCTTGAGTGGTGTGGGGGGAACATGGAGGAGCGTGATGGGTGGTGTCCATACAGAGAGTAAGAGTCTGCAGGAGCAGCCTGAGCTCTGAACACGCTGCACAGCATGGCCAGAGTCTGAACGTCGCTCATCTGACTGTAGTGATCCAAACTGTCGGATGTTTCATCAAACACAAACATACACAGCTTTTAGTCACACATGGATCCTCAGTTTGATCCTGTTCTCCCACATTGATTTTTCTGTCCAGATATTTCTATCCTGCCTCGGCTAACATCGTCCCTCCTTACACTATTCTCTTCTCTACAAAGCAAACATTTAGAGCTTTGTTCCTGATGAAACTTTGACTGGAGGAAACAAATAAACTCACAGGGTCTCCAGCAGCTGGCGTCCAAACGGGTGTCTGGCCCAGGGGGTCTCTGTGTCGGGGTCTGAGTCTGGACTCAAATCCTGATTGGTTGCTGCAGATGCCAGAGCCCACACCTGCAAAATCACACACACAAACAAATATGACAGAGTTACTGTTTATCAGACACGGGACAACTGAGAAGCTTCAGCCTGAGCATTTAGAAAAAAGTCATATAAATATGTGTTCTTGCTATAGCTGTTTTCTTTAAGGAAAGGAAGGTAACTTCAAAAGAAAACATACATTTAATCAGCGACACTTTTTACCTTTGCTACGTCTCTGCGTCCAACTGTCAGCGCCGCTGCTGCGTTCTTCTGACACGTTTCCTGGATGTCATTCATGTTCAGACTGAACAAGACAGAAAAAAACAGCAGTTATTAAAATGACTTCATTTAAATGCTGTACAAAAAAAGTATAATTTTATACAACTGACTTTAGTGCACTATCCAAGAAAACAAAGTCTTAAGGTTAAACCACTAATGGATTGTTTTTTCTGCAATAGGAAGCAGCTGAATGTTCACACAGGGAACTAAAGATAGATTAATGATTCAGTATTTACCCTAATTCAGACTGCTAAAATGTCATTTTGCAATATCTTTTCCCAAATTCCCCCCTTTTTTGGGGAAAAAAGTCCCCCTAATTCAATCGATTAACTTGCAACTTTTTGTGAGATCTAACAGTTTTTTGTGGAAACATTCTGCAAAGTTCAGAACCCTCCTTTGACCCTCCCATTCCAAGGTGAGGTTTTTATACAGATAGTTTGGAGTTCTCACATGTAGCTCTCTCCCAGAGCCTTGTGGACGGGCAGCAGACAGGAGATCTCCTGGATGATGACCTTTCCTGCCAGTTTGATGGGACGGTTCCCGTAGTCTGTCCCCTCTCGCTTCGTCTTGAACCGCCGAGATTTCTGACAGACGGACAAACAGACAGACAGACAGACACACAGACGGGAGGAGGGGGGAGACGGCAAACCCAGAGGAGACAAAAAAAGCACCACTTAATTAAAAGTGGTCTCGATGACAAATTACTGTTAGAGACGGTTCACACTGCGAGACACTGACTGATGGTGGACGAGGCCTTAGAGCCGACTGTTTCTGCAACATAGGGCTGCTGTTACTGTCCCTTTAAGAGGGTCAGAGACTTCATGGCGTTATCAAATGTGTGTTGTTATGTCTGTTACTCAAAGAATAGGCTGAATGTTTGGGATTTCTTTGACCAATTTAAGATTCTTCAGTGAGATATTTCAGACGCCCCTCTCCTATGAAGGGATACAGAGGATATCTGAAGAGTTCTGGATCTCATACTAGTTGGGGTTCCAGAAAACCTCCACTTGACTCTGTGTTTCTCGCAGAGTGAACACACAGTTAGTGTACAGATTATTATGAACTAACTCATATGTAGCCTGAAAAGCCAAATTACGTTAAAAATGGTTTAAATTAAGGGTAAAAACACAGACATGAATTCTTCTGGTGATCACAGAAACGCTCCTGTTGTTGTTATCGTTAAATGTTAGTGAACGTTAAAAGCTTTAGACTCAGTTAAAGAGCAGACAAGAAGTCAAAAAGCGTGGTTATATGTTCTGAGTTTGAATTTTGCCTCCACTGGTTGACACTTTGTCGGCTTTAAGATGCCATGCTAATCAGCTGTGCTAAATGCTGCAGCACTAACAGCTTCAATGGTCGACTGGAGACGGGTGGGAAATGTACGGCTTTCTGCAAACACTCTGAGTTAATGATACAACGGGACCTGTTTTGTTTCTTTATTCACAGTTGAAGAGAGAATATGGATTTCTGATTGATTGATTTATCTACAGAGCTGCAGTCAGGATGAAGTTAGCTCAGTGTAGCACTATTTAGAGGCGGCTGTGGCTCAGTGGTAGAGTCAGATGTCACCCAACTGGAAGGTCAGGGATTTGATCCCCAGCTCCTGAAGACACATGTCGAGCAAGAGACTGAACCCCAAGTTGTTGTTGTTGCTGCGTCAGTTGGGTATGAATGTGCATAAATGGGATTAATTAATACTGATGGACACTTTACATAGCAGCCTCTACCATCAGTGTTTGAATGTGTTGTGAGTAAATGTAAGGGTGAGCTGCGTGGGTAAAACGCACGTCGAGTAGTCAGAAGACTTTAAAAGTGTTGTGCAAGCTCAAGTCCATTTAGCATTTCCATTCATCATTATCACTAGAAGAGATGTGTTTTAAGGTTTGTTTAATCTAACACACACAGAGATGAGGAAATGTTTCCAGTTCTCTTCAACTGACTTCCTTGTTACCGTCTTATGACTTGTTACCGTTGCTGACAGACTTGCATCAAAATTCAAATTTGGAACAAACAACGTTATTTCACTTTGTCAGTGGCTCAGCTGTAAGGACGTTAGCAGCGATGTGCAAAGAAAAGGTTAACATTTCATAACGGGAAACTGAGAAGAGCGAGAGAGAAGGAAATGAAGGAGGTGATGGATGGTTTCATGAAGGACAGAGCTCAATACCGGCCAATCATGAAGGGTTTGGACAGACCAGCGACGGGAGGCAGAGATTGGGAGCTTCTGATTGGAGGAGAATAGGAAGAAGGCGTGGCCCACAGCAGCATGGGGGCAGGTGATTGGCCAGAGAAAATAAATAAAGGGAAAATAACGAAGAAAAAAAAACACATAGTAACCCATCAGGGAGACAGCCAGAGGGGGGGGGCTGACTTTGTTTGAAAAAAGTAACAAAAGTGAAGTCCTCAGATGTAAGCCTCTGCTGCAACCTCATTGGCTGCTGAAACAATACCCACAGGCTCAGTGTATTTGCAGAGACTGTGGTCAGTAACGAGGCAAAACCACCAAGTAGAATGCAAGTATGTTGAAGTCATAAGAGATGGTTGTTCATTTGATCTGGACTCCTAATCACAAAAAATACAAGCCAAGGACAAGAGTGACTCGAATTATCTCAGTATTCAGAACTGTTCAGGCCAAGTTCACATAAATACATTTGTGTTGTGCAACATGTCTTTAACCATAACCCACACTACTCTGGTATTTTAGAACCAAAGACTTTGAGATATTTTAGAGAGACTTGTGACCCTTTTTCAGTTTGAAAACTCCCAGGGTCTTTGTTGTACATTCAGGCAGTAACCATGACACTATGAGTCAAGCTAGCATGCTAATATGGCAACACTTTCCTTCCACATCCCATGAATTATGACTGATCTGGGGTCAGGTCTGTTTTGTGCTGACTCAACCGATTTGGCTTGAATAAACTTTCATAGAAACATCTCTTTATATGTAGAGAAAGGGTTAATAAGACTGTAGTGGCAATTTCTTCTTGTGTGTAATATAAAAATTGTCACTTGTGTCATAGGAGCCAACCTGTTCGTTCCTGATGCGTGTCCACTTAAATATACTCACAGATCTGTTGTTTCACTTGATTTCTTATTTTATTCGTAATTCCACTTGTTTCCAGAACAGATCCAAAACGAATATATCAAAACTCATAACAAAAGGTCCCGATCAAAAAACATTTGCTGCGTGGCTCCTAGACCTCCACCACCAAACAAAACAATCTTTTTTTTTGTCTCACCACCTGTCCATCGCACCCAAATTAACTAACTGGGCTCCACCCATAACACAAATACCTGCCAAAATAATTCACCATAAAGGTTTCCATGTCAAATCAAGTGCTTCTCATAAATGAATACTTATTTCTAACAACACAAAAAATATACTCTATTAACACAAACTTAAATCATACTTCTGAAACTAAAGTTAACATGATTAAAATGGCCTCTACAAAGACAATGCTCACAAAAAAAAACATCTTTAGTGCCCATTAATTTAGACAGACCCACAACTTCAGCTGAGCATTTGTGTGTCATCGAGTGTGTGTCTTACCCGTTCTTTGTAGTAGAAGGAGGAGATGGAGACGGTGTCTTTGTCGGAGCGGGTCGGGCTGCCACTGTACAAGCGCAGAGTGCTCTGAGACTCTGAACGCATCTTCATCGGAGTCAGCACTCCGCTGTGATAGGCCGACAGAGCTGACAGCGACCTGAACACACAAACACACACACACACAGGCAATGTCAATTCATTATTTATCAAATAGGAAAGCTACAATGGCATTTTCGGATTGCAGGAACTGTGGGAACCCTCCCCCTTTTTTTGTGACATCCATGTAAAAGGCAAACACCTGTGTGTGTTTTTACCTGGGAGTGGGTTCAGTGGGTGGGACAGAGCGGTGCATCGTGATTGGTCGGGTGAAGTAAACAAGGCAGCCGGTACCACAGAAACGAGCTCCAGAGGTCCGAGGGAACGGGATGTTTGCATCCTGGAAAGAAGAGGATTATTCTCTGAATGCACAGTTTGATCGAGATAAAACTTCTCTCCTGTTTTCTGTTAAACGTCTCAGCATGCAGCAGAGTCGATGTGTTTTGTTACCTGATAGGAGCCGTATGTGTTGGTGACTCGGGGGAACGCCTGCAGGGCCGGAGTGACGGGGTTGGACAGCACAAAGGGGCTGGAGGTCGGACCATCCTCCTGAATCTGTGGGAGAAAATACACATCATGAGGACGGACCTGTAAGAGTAAACTTTGACCTCTGGTCCTACAGCAATGAAGTCAATGAAAGTAGCATTAAAAAATAATTCGAATAAACACAGCAATAAAACAATTTCTTAAGAGTTGGGAAATATTTAAAAGTTTTGTTTGGTCTCTAACTTTGAAAAGGAGAAGAAGAGGCAGCAGCTGAGAAGTGGGAGAAGATAGGGAGGGGAAAAGGAGTGACCCACCATGTCCGACTCCAGACAGGAAACCAGCTGTCGTACGCACGGCTCTAGACAGTTCTGGTTCCTTTTCACTTTCTGCAGGGATGTGTCAGTCAGAATCTGAATGCAAAGAAAAAAACAAAGAATAAAGATCCCCCTTTATTTTGAGAAGATAAAAAAATCATGTATAGTTGTTTTTAAAAGTTGAAATTACAGGTAAAAACTAGATGAACTAAACAGGGTGTTGTGGTGCGTTCAGGAGCATCCGTACCTTCTGGATCTTTATCTTCATGACAGACGGGATGGTTGTTGGGGAGACAAACTGGAAGGTTGGCGCGGCGTTGTTGGGATACTGAGCAGGAAACTTCACAACCAGGTGAACCTGATGGCTGCCGAAGTGAGCTGACACCACACAGCTGCGGTTCACTGCGTCCATCTGCACAGAAAACATCTCAGTCTGATGTCACCTCATTAAGAGAGATACACACACTGACTGCTGAATATTTAAATAAGGTCTCCTTTATAATAAATCATTATATTATAGATACATATATGCAAAGGTTAAATTGACAGTAAATGTCACATTCTCACCTCCACGTTGACGTTTCTGATCTGCAGGTTGACCAAAGAAAACTCCTGCTGCAGAGTCTGAGGGACACCTGAACCCCCCGCTGAGTCGTGACGACCTCCAGAGTCCGGATCTGAAAGATGACAGAGCAGGAAACAACAGGTGCAGCTTTAACCAGGAGGAGAAACATGATGCAAAGACTCCAACGGACAACGTTAATTTGATATAAAACTGACAGTATTATGGTTGTCTATCTGTCGGAGAGTTGGTCTGCTTCCTGTTGGACATGCAGTAGCTTGCAGTGTAGGTATAGCAGGAAATGTACACACTATGTCCTGCAGTGAGTGCGCACCTCTAGGAGCGTTGTGCCCAGAAGGAGGGGCCCAGATTGAATGTAGTGTTCAAAAGCTGCAGAAAACATTTCTACTGACTCCACCTTTAAGGCACCGTCATTACCCAATAAGGTTTAAGAAAAGACAGTGGCTTGGGTTAAGAAAATAGTTCATTGTGAACTAAACACAAAAAGGTCTCACATATTCCTGGGTGAAAAAGCCTTCAAGTACAAAGAGGTCAACATTTAGGCCAGGAATAATTCTGCATATCAGGACAGTAATGCAAGATGAGGGTTTGAACCCCTTTAGGAAAACTGTTACACATTTTAATCAGTCAGAGGAACTGTATGCTTGTAAGGTTCAAACTCAAAAACACACTGCATTCACGAGATGTTTAACAATGTGACATGTGAGTTCTCCTGCCACATGGATGTAGAAAATGAAGTAAAAATCTTCATATTTATCATTTAGCTTGGGAACAAGTTACAAAACATTGTTAACAAACACTTTTGACCGCATCCTTTTCCTATGGCCTCTAAATTTAGTGCAGGCTAAATAAGTAGCCAGTATACTTTATTTTGAAAAGTGAACAGTTAGCTTCACTGGAAGTATTTAACGGTTTTCCTTTAACAGTAAGGAGGAGACACCGGTACAGCCAATTAGATTCAAAACTTTCAAGTTATCTTAATAAAATTGAGTATGTATTTCCAATCAGCTCACAGCTTGTCTAATTGTGTTAATTTTATTATAAATAATCAACAGAAGACCTAAAAATAAAAGTTTGTAAAGTTTAATTTGTGACTGAATGTCTCGTTGACACTTTTCTCACCGTGCAGGTTTTCAGCGGCGAGGCCGATGCCGTGCTGGCTCTCCGGCTCATGAGACGACAGAGACTTCTCCGACTCAACGGTGAGCGACATCCCCTCCATCAGGTCGTCCACGTCACTGACACACAGCTACACAACGACAGCAACACACAGACATCAGGCTGGACGAGAGGAAGGTAGACAAACAACGACAGGCATCTCTCTCTCTGAGGTTTCACACTGACCTTCTGCAGCTGAGGATCCACCCTCCAGATCCTCAGAGTCTGGTCTCTGGACCAGGTGACCAGCTGGTAATCCTTTGAGCCTATAGAGTCCACAAACAACATGAAAACACTGTAAACAACAACAACAACACTTTACATGTGTTTACAAAATAATTAAAGTGATTATGTACAACGTTTGAGCTAGAGAGATCAGGAAACAGAATACGTCATTACTAGTTACACTGAATATGTTTGAGTCAGTACAAAATAAATTGTCTGATAAGAGTCTCTGACAGTCAGTCTGAAACGTGGTCTTTGTGGATATTGTTAGAAATGACACCGTCAGCATAAAAAAGCAGTTTTAGTAGCACAAGTATGATGGGGATTCAAACCATTTGAACGATCGGACGACCACTTTTTTTTATTGTTTTCTGGGACTTTTAACTGAAGCTGCTTGAGGGGATTTAAAAGTTACTTGAAGAATAAGTGTGTGAACTTCTCAACGTGTCACTGGTCACCTTCTTTCTGCGGCCTCCACTGGAACTCTAGCACCACGTCATCGTGTCCGACAAAGGCGTGGACGGGATTGTTGAGGTCGAGCGTGCTCCAAAGTAACAGACTGTTCTCTCTCCTCAGCTGAGGAACCATCACTGTGACCAGACCGTTTGAGAACGGCTGTGACACACACACACATGAAATACCATTTTAATGGTTACTCCAGGTCATTTTTATACAGCTGTGTTTTTTCTGTTTTCATTCACTTATTTAGTATTTTATAAATCTGACATTAGAAGATAATCTGTGTGTCGGATGTTCTTTTCATAATCAGCTCAGGAAAATGAAAAATGATTTGTTTATTTTTTTAACAACATTGTCGTATATATATTAACCAAAAAAAGGGAAATAGCAAATCATGGTTAGTTTTTGTAACATGTATTTAATCCCAGTGAATATTCTTCTCTGTACAGACATGCTCTTGTGTCAGTGTAAACTTTAAATTCCCTCTCAGGATAAATTAAGATGCTTTGATACTCACCGTGTACCGGGCCTTCCACACCGGCACCTGGCAGGACAGGATGTTCAGATACTTCCTGGGCTGTCTGTAATCCCAAAACTAAACACACACACACACACACTTTTTATTTAAGGATATTCCTAAGCGGAGGGTTTCAAGTGATATTCCTGTATTTTGTGTGACCAGTCGTAGTCAGATGATCTCTTTCCTTTTTCTCTTTGTGGATTCTGGTTGGATCTTTGACTCCCTGATTTAAACTGTTATAATAATTCCACTATAACTGTTGTGTTTAAGGCTGCTTGTTTCTCTCACCCTCACTGAGTTGTCCTGGCTCGACGTGGCAAAGATGAACTCGTTTTCCGGATGCCAGTCGAGGCCGTGGATCTTAGAAAGGTGAGCCGCCACGTACTCCACCGCCGTGTTTGGCTTCTGCTCACAGAGAATCAGAGGGTACACTTGTATTCCGCTCAGAGACACAAACAGCTCACTGTGCATCGAAGGTACCACACATGGACTCTGCTTACTCTTTTATCCCAGATTCGAACGTCTCCATCATGACTGGACGCCAGCAGGTACTGGTTCTTCCTGTTCCACTTCACCTGAGACGCTCCGGCTGGAGACGAGAGACAAGATGTGTAAAGGGGTGAGGACGCTGGTTATTAGTTCAATTGTTATGTTAAGTTATTAGTTACTATTTAGTTATGTTCCTCCTGAAAATACACAAGTCTTCTTCATTTTATTTTTATGAAATTTCCTCAGGCAGACACATTTAACCAAAACCAAAAACTATGAAGAAACAACACTTCATCGCGGTGCATTCAAGGACCCTCCAACTAACAAGCTCTGTTTAATGGACACTAAAGTAGGCATACATGTTGCATTTCTTAGTGATTCTCTTTGGGTATACTTCTAAATACACTCTTAAATTTAAGTCATTCATCTTGTGTGCATTAAGTTTTTTACTTTATAAATTATAATCAAATGTAGGAAACTCAGGTGTGCCAGCAGCCCATGTACGGAGGCTGAAGTCCTTTAAGCAGGCGGCCCGGGCTCGAATCCGACCTGTGGCTCCTTTCCTGCATGTCTGTCCCCACTCTCTCTCCCCCCAATTTTCGACTCTATCCACTGACAATAAAGGCAGAAAAATACCTGAATGTAGGAAACTCTAAAAAACATCCAGATACATCTTCTTTGATGGACTGACACAGAAGCTCACAGACATGTGGTGACGTTAAAATGATTGAAGTTTCCTGCATCATTTAAAACCCTTTATCCCAACGGCCACAAGGCACAACATCATTGTAAATCTGATTTTAAAATAAAGCTTAACAGTAAAGGTTAAACTCTCAATTTAAGTTGATTTTCAACTGACACTCAAAGAAGGAAGATCAACCAACAAACTGAGAAACGCCTTTAAACACTCACCGACAGCAGACAGCGCCACAGTGGGTTTCCGAGTGTCTCTGTAGAGTCGAACACAGAAACACTGATGATGAGTTCAAATGTCAAACTGAATGACATCCCAAAGATTATTCTCATTGTGTTGATCAGAACAATCTGCTGATGAGACTTAAAGACAACTGTCTCCTCTCACCTGGTGTCCCAGATGTAGATGTAAGTGTCCACCGAGCTGGTGACCAGGAACTCAGGTTCAAACCAGGACCAGTCCAGATCACTGGGGACAAAACCAGATCAAACACAGAGTCCTTGAACACATCACAGAGTCCGAGTAAATATGACAAGTCTTTAAATGCACCACATTCGGACCAGGAACACCTCACAGAGAGTCCATGAACACATCACAGAAAGTTCACATGAACACGTCCCGGCGGGTCGTCTGCTGTTACCTGATGACTCGGGTGTGAGCCTGCAGGGAGGTGTGAACTTCTCCACAGCCTTCCTTCCACGAGTACAGATCCACACGCTGGTTACTCTGCAGACGACACAAACTCTCAGTGACACAGGTGGGTTTGTTTATTTCCAGAGCAGATTTTCTTCATACATGTTTTTCTTTATAAATAAATATTAAATAAATAAAGAACTCACCGAGGCAGCGAAGATGTGAGACTCTGAGCGGTGAGGATTCCACTGGACCGTTCCCACGTCCCATTTACTCTGTCGACCAATTTTCCTTGGAGGCTCAGACGGAGCCTCGAGGTTCACCATGTAGAGGAAACGTCTCCTGGAAAACATTTAAGGAAGAAAACAGTTTGTGATGTTTTACATTTTAGTCGTCTGATGAGTGCTGACAGACTGATGAAGAAGACCAACCAGACATAATTAATCAAACAACATCGTCTCTGCCACATGATGCTCATGAACGTGGGTCTGCATAGTGTAAATATTCAGCCAGTGTGTGCAGCGTGTCTCAGTAACAGAGTGCAAATGTAATTTCCCCTCATGGGAATCATAAAGGATATCATCTTCTTCTTCTTTAGAGAGCTCAAAATCTCCTACTTCAACTCAAAGAACTTCACTGTGTCCGACCGATTTTTGTTCTTAACTCAAATAAAAAACTGTATTTCTGTCCCGCTGTGAGTTCAGGGGATTTGAACTTACCCGGACAGCACGGCGTGTGAGCCCAGACAGTCCACTGACATGGCGGTGGCCTGAAAGAAGAAGGAGAGGTTGATAATCTAACAGGTGACGGTATCTTTCTAGCTTTTTTTAAGAGTCTATAGTCTGACAAAAACTGGACTTTGTGATATCAGTACTACTAATAATAATAGTTTTAGGAGTTTGAAAGTGATTTATTAGAGAAACTTTGTTTTGAACATGATCATTTTGGGGCGCAGATGGTCTAGCGGCTAGGTCATGCCCCATGTACGGAGGTTGTAGTCCTCCAGCCAAGCGGCCCGAGTTCGAGTTCGAGTTCGAGTCCGACCTGTGGCTCCTCTTCCGCACGTCATTCCCCACTCTCACTCTACCCGGTTTCCTACTCTTTCCACTGGCCAATCAGATAAAGGCAAATAGCCCAAAAATAAATCTCTAAAAAAGAAGATAATTTTAAAGAGCATCTTTGCGATACAACACTACTAAACTATTCAATTTAATTTATCCTCACTTAGCTCATACATACAATGAAAGGCACCAATGACTTCAGGAGTAACCATTTAATTATTTTATTTTCAACCCACCAGAGAGGACAAACTATGTTCGACGTAATAACATTTCAAGGATACTTTTACTGGGATTTGAATATTTCCTGTAAAAGTTTTGGTCTATGATTGAAAATATTTCCCTCTACTCTGTATGTGATGCCTCAAAGGATATACGCTGCCTCTATTTGATTATTACTCACTAGAAGTTTAACACTGCTTTGCAATTCAATAAAAAAATTGATACAAATATGGACAATTTAAAACGATTTGACAGAAAGATATGTTGCAATACTCTTTTTAAACCAGCAGAGGGCGCCATTTTTTGGCTTCTCTCGTTCGAGGTCAGTAGCATGGATAAAGAAATATTTTAATCATCAGATCATTTAAATAATAGAACCTTATTTAACTATAAATCTAATTTCTTTGTTAAAATGTATAATTCATGATAAAATCGTATGGTAAACTAAGTATCTTAACGTGTCTTGTATTGTGAATTGGGTGTTTCATTACGTCACTGCTCGCTGTAGCTATACATTTACAACCCATAAAATAATCTCATTTTTTAAGCCTTATTTAACAGCAATATTTATAAGTACTCCAATTTTATGAACTTAACTAGGAATTAATTAAGAAACTAATTAAGAATTTAACTTTTTCAAAGACAAAAGAAATGTGATTTATCAATTTGAAGAGCTCATCTACAGTAACTCCTGTTTTATAAATAGCCTTTATATTTTCCATGTTTACACCTCTTTTAAAGTCATGTTTGTCTGACCAGCAGTCAAAAACTGAAAACTTTTTAGTTTGTCAACAAAGAAAAGTTAAAGTCAACCAGCTGATTGTTGGAGGTTTGAGCAATTTATTAACTTTTGTCTGACTTTACTGATTTTAAGACCCTGATTCTTTGTAGAAAGTGTTCCTGATGTGTGAATCCTTTGTGAAGCAGCCGTAAACTCCATTTAATCATCTTATCACAGAAATTAAAGAAAGTAAATAAAAGATTTTTTGTGTTAAATTTGACTGTGTGTTTCTTTTCCCGGCGCTGTTTCCCTCCGTTCAACTTTTCCTGACAGTTTTAAACCGTCCACCTGAGCTGACGGCTCTCGTTTCACACCTGAGCTGTCTCACTGTCTCACCTGAGCATCCCGAAACTCAACCACCACATTCTCACTGCTCCAGCGGGCCGCCATCTTTCTCCGTCTCCTACCGTCAACAAAACATCACGTGACCTGAATGAGACGACGCTGCGTTCACGGCTACTGAAACGGTGGGAGAACACAGATTTTCCCCCGAGGATTCTGTATCAATCACTGCTACAGCTACATTGTGGTCCAAACTTAAATGCTTTCTTGGCATTAAGACATTTGTATTTCTGTTTACTTTATATCTTATCTCTGTATTTCTTTTGGATCTTATTTATCTATTTATTTTTTTAAATATATTTTCTCTGATTAGAATTTTAATACGACTTTTAACTATAACTCTGCACTGTAAATATTTTATTAATAATAATAATAATAATAATAACTTTATTTATATAGCACCTTTTAAAAACACAGGTTTACAAAGTGCTTTGACAAACAGCAAGAACAAAGCAAACTAAACCAAACACAGAAAAACATTAACAACAGTAAGAATATAACAGATGCAAAATACCAAAAATAATTAAATACAATTCAACAGAAAAGAACCCAAAGTGCACGATACACAACCAGACATATATAACCCAACCATCATAAGAACCATTATAATAACCATCATAAGAACCCAACAACATGACTTTTAACTTCTTATTTAACTACCTTTTTTTCCTATTTTATTTAAATTTATTTTGATGAATTATTATAACAAATTCTAGGCATTCCGTGTTGCAATTGGTGAGAGTTGGGCTGTGTAGGATGTTATTTTCGCTTAATGTCATATTTCTGTATTCCTTTGTGGATCTTATTTATTTAAAATATTTTCATATTTAATCTCTGTGATTGTTTATTGTTTTTTAAAGGATTTTAAGTTTTCTATCTTCTGTTCCTCTTGTCGTGATGCGTTTAATGTCCTGTGTGCAGCTCTATGAAATGCGATGTTGCTGAAATGTGCTATAGAAATAAACTTGCTTTGCCTTTACAGAGTGAACACATTTCAATCTTTAATGTTTATCCCTTTTTTTGTTCAACATTAAACAAAATGCTCAAGGTCTGAAGCCAGTTTAAGGCATCTTATTTAATTGTTTTTAATGTGAAGTTGTCATATTTCCGACTACAAAAAAAAAGATGTCGCGAGACTCTTCCCCAGTCCTCTGATTGGTCGCTTCACATGTTGGTCTCCAATCCAACATGGCGCCTACCATAGTGGAGCATGTTGTCGCAGATGCAGGAGCGTTTTTAAAGAAAGCCCCTCTCCAGGTGAGATTTTACTCAAGTTTTGAAGGACGCACAGGCTTTCAGGAAAAGCTAATAACAGACAGTCCTCGTGTTGCCTTCAGGGTCGTCCGTTAATCAGAGTATAGGGAGCGTTCATCACACTGTCAGGCCCGTAGCTGCGCACACAGAAAGCCAGCCTAGAGACGTGATGCGCAACTAAAACTAAAACTAATCTTTTTATATTGAGACTAACAGACCTGTCTTTTATATTATATTCCAAGTTTACATTTTAGTCAGTGATGGTAAATTTTCTCTATTTACTCTGTTTGATTACACAATTAATTATTTAAATCAATATTGTTTTTATTTCTCTGGTTGGAGTCCTTTGATAAGTGTGACAATTATAATATCTACAATTTTCTCATTTTCTTTTACACTTCTGTCCACTTTGACACAAACTGAGCTCGTACGAAGGGATTTAAATAGTAAATTATCTGACTGCATTGTGGGTATTAAATTAAGAGAATATGACTCTACAGAGGGGGAGAGGGATGTAACCACACACTCAGCTCACATATGATACAGAATAGATACCATTTTCTCTTTTTTTATGAGGACTTGAGGCTGAAGACAAATGAATTCCCTGACAGACTGGGACACCGATAGTTCACCTTTGAGGAGTCAATGAATGTCTCAAGGTGTGAAGATGGAGGAGCTTCATTCTTTAGCAGAATGGCAGTCTGAAAAGGAGCTATAGAGACAAACAATAAGGTTCTTCCCTGATCTTAACTTGGTCGTTCTGACACTTGGTTTGTGTTTGTTTGTGTTGCAGGATATCGGTAAGACCATCTACACACTGAAAGATGTGGTGGATGAGATCAGAGACAAACCCACCAGGAGGAGTCTGTCCTTCCTGCCGTACCAGCTGAACTTTAAAGAGCCACATCCTGAACACATCAGACTGGGTAAACTACACCTAACCTTAAATCCATCAGTCAGGTCGGGGCTTGATAGCCTTCATAAGTATTGAGTTATATTTCCACTTGATCATGTGTGTGTGGTACCTGCATCTTACCTGACATGTTGGCAGCTCGGTGAGGTTTGTTGTGTCCAACGTGTGGATTTCCTCTAAAGAAACTGTTATCTCTCGTCTCAGTGACCGAGTTCTCCAAGAAGACCGGAGATTACCCGAGTCTGTCAGCCACCGACATCAAAGTCCTGGCTCTGACCTACCAGCTGGAACTGGAGCACGTCGGCTCCCAGCACCTGAAGAAAGAGCCGGAGATCAAGGTACCTGAGAGACCCCGGATCACTACTTTTAAGTGTGTGACCCCCAAAGACTGGAGAATAAGCTTTACCTGCTGTCATCTCAAGCAGCCAATCAAAGCTATAAATCTACAACAAGAGGGAAGGGAGAGCAGCAGCAGTAACATGTTCTTTGAAGAATAGTTTTTTTTAGGAATTCAGTTCAAATTTCAACTAAATTGAAAACTTTGACATTTTGATTCTTCAGGGTAAATACATCCAATATAGATATTTGTTGGTGTGTGTTGTTTTTTTGTGTTTTTTTTTCCTTTTGTTTACATTAAAGGTCAAAGGTTAAAGGTGTTTATCAAAGTACAATGTAAAGAGAAACAACTTAACCCTTTACCACCTAGGTGACAGTAAACACACTTCTTTAGCAAAGTGACCTGAGAGGCTAACGACAAGATGAACTTTCAAAACACTTTGACACATTATTCAGCTTGTTGACTGTCGTGTCAGCACAGAGTAAGAGCTGAATGGTTTCTGATTTCAGGTGAATATTCAGAGCACACAGCGCCACCCAGAGACTCCAATCAATGTTGCAGGATTCCACTTCCCCTCCAAGGTAAAACCCTCTTTGATAACATCTCCCCGGAGAGTATAAACCAACAAGTGTCCAGATGTGCAGTGAGTCTCTAAACATCTTGATTTCCAGTCAAACAGTTTGAACGTCAAACAGACTCCAAGAGAAACGAGAACGGAGAGGCCCAAACCTGCCGACGGCGACGAGTACAACGCCTTTCACTTCTGGAGAACGCCACTGCAGTCCATCGACAGCGAGCTGCTGGAGTTACTGGTGAGTCTTCACTCAGATCAAACAACCAGGAGCTTCACGTGTGGCTTCCATCCCTGCAGTTTGTGCAGGAGAAAGTGTCCGAGGCAGAAAGGGTTTTGTTGTGGTGCTGGAGGAGGTTTGTACATAAAGAAGCAGTTTGCACTCTGTGTACACATGAGCAGAAATCCCTTTTCCCATTTTCTTGTTCACAAAGATAGAAAGTCTCAGACATTCTTTTCAACAACATCAGCCTAATAGATCATTGTTTGAAAATGTGCCTGATGAATATTAAAAAAGAAAACACAAGAGTAGAGGAGACCCCCCCCTCCTCTAACTGATAGTCCTAATGATTAAATGACATTATCCAACAAGTTGTTGCCATAGGAAATGTAATCTTTTTAGGGCAGAGTATTTGTTCCTTTAAACACTTAATAGTTTTTGACTTTTTCTTAATCTGTGATGTGCGTGTGTTGGGAGGTATTTTTCCTGTTTCTTGATCTTTTTCATCACATCTCAGAAAGTTGTCACTAATAACGATAATGATGGGCTAAATCCTTTTCTGTTTATAATTTACAGGCAAAGCTGTTATCAAGAAAGGAGATTAACATAAAATACAAAATTAAATTTAAAAAAAGAAGTTATTTGTCAAATATTTATGGTATAACAATAATGTCAATGTATAAATTAAATACGCAAATTAAAAAATAAAATAAGAACAAGTTTCACCTGCATTGCTGCACACACCACATTTACAAAATAAAACAGGATAAAGAAATGTGTGTGACACAACCTCCCTCAAGTTCATGACGTCCTGCTTCCTGTTAATGTTCCCGTTTTCCGTGTATTTTTCAGGATAACGTCGATGCTTTGAATTCAAACAACATACAGAAACAGACTGAAACACAAACAGAAAAACAAACAGACACACAGACGTCTTCTGACAGCGACACGTTCAACAGCTTCCACTTCTGGAGGGAGCCGCTGCAGTCCATCGAGGACAGCCTGCTGGACTTACTGGTGAGTTTAAAAAAAAAACCTTTCAGACTCACCGACTGGTGTGTCGTTGTTTTGAGCCTGTGATGAAGTTTTTCTGTTTATTTGGCAGAAAGTGGACCGAGTGTCCACATCAGGGAGCGGGTCACTGCAGACAAACGAGCAGGAGGACCAATCAGACGACGAGGATGAAGATAAAGAAGAGGAGGAGGATGATGATGATGATGGAGGTGGTTGGATCACTCCCAGTAACATCAAACAGCTGAAGATGGACTCTGGTGATTGGACAGCTCCTGCTGATGTCAAAGTCGGATGTCTGACCACCGACTTCGCCATGCAGGTAACAGAACACCTCTCAGGAAGGTCACCTGGACCTGATGGAGCACACGCACCCTGAAGACGACTTCTGGTCTCTTTAAACATGGGCCCTGTTTTTAGTTATTTTAGGATCTAAACGACGGAGAGGTACAAACAGCTTTGAAGCTCCTGCAGAAGGAAACCTCAGACAGCAAACAGGACAGAGGCAGTGGTGGATGCTACATAATCCTGTGGTGTACACCCGCTTGATCAAAGTTCGACCAATCAGAGCTCTTATAGGGAACTTTCAGTTGTTTCGATTTCGGCACCAACTGTGGACAAAGTGATGCTTCTCATCTCTCTGATGATCTTGTCCTGTACATGTGTAGCTAGTGTTCTCACACTGCTCTTTATCGACATTCAGATGCTCACTTCATTGTTAATATTTACTCTGGAAATTTAAAGAAAGGTCGTTTCTTCAGCGTGCTGTAAATCTACTCATCTGACACCTACGGGCATTAAAGATAACTTTATAGAAATAAACAATCTTTTCTCTTACCCGCTTCCATCGCTGCAGCACCTGTTGGTTTGACCTGATAACTGCTCTCATATCTGGCAAACCGAGGGGCGTCCAAAACGGCTGTTTGGGGGTCGCCTAAAAACCGCCAACCTTCTCTGGTCCAAAGAAATCCAGAGCATTCAGAACCAGAATCTAAAGTTAGAAGGAGCACATACTGGCTGCTGCATTGTTGTCAGAGAAGCCAGCACTTCAACAGAGCATGTTTCCTTAATGTCTGATCTTATAGTCATTTACATATCGCTCCTTTAAACATGAAGTCTATAAACTGCTGAAATGTTTCTATGCAGCAAAATCTTAATTTTTGTGTTTTCTCAGTTTAAAGATGATGTCATAACCTTTAAAAATGCTGTGGTAATCTGTGCTGATTGTGTTTCTGTAAATCAACATCTAAATGATCTATTGATTGATTTGAATGTTTTGGTTTATTGTCCTCGCAGAACGTTCTCATTCAGATCGGACTCCATGTTCTCTCGGTGAACGGGATGCTGATCAAACAGGCGAGGAACTACATCCTGAGGTGTCACGCCTGCTTCAAGTGAGTTACTTCAGTCTGTGAATACAAACACATCGAGCCCTGATACTGCCCTCTACACAACCAAAGACCGCTAGCTTTGTACTTTGAGTGAAGATCTGGAGAGACAGATAAAGAGGTTTTCTTTTTAAAAAAGTGGTTCAATTAAATGTGTTTAATTAGCTGTTTTTAAAATCGAATGTTTTGAACTTTCAGGACGTCGAGCAACATGACCAGAGTGTTCTGTCCTCACTGTGGAAACAAAACTCTGAAGAAGGTGGCGGTGACCATCAACGAGGACGGCAGCAAGCAGATGCACTTCTCCAAAAACCCCAAAGTGCTGAACTCAAAGGGACTGAGGGTGAGACACACACACACACACACACACACACACACACACACACACACACACACACACACACACACACACACACACACACACACACACACACACACACACACACACACACACACACACACACACACACACACACACACACACACACACACACACACACACACACAGGACACCCAGGACAGGAAGGTGGAGTGTAACTATGAGGGGATGTATTCACATGATTATTAGTGACCCCCCCCTCTGTGTGTGTTTTGTTCCAGCACTCGCTGCCTCTGCCTCAGGGAGGGAAACACGGAAACAACCCCCAGCTGGTGGAGGATCAGCGTTTCCCCCAGCAGAGACTCTCCCGCAAAGCTCGCCAGAAAACCGACGTCTTCAACCCGGACTACGTGGCTGGATCTTCGCCCTTCAGTGAGAACGACATCTACAGCCGATCCGCCAACCTGCACATCAAGGACGGCCAGTGTGGCGGGGGCAGGAGACGAGCCAACCCCAACGCCGTCCACAAGAAGTTTGTGAAGAAGAAGTGAAGGGGAACATGTGGACACTTCAGAACACGACGTCAGTGGACTTTTTTGGACATTAAATTAAACGACCATATAGGAGGAGTGTAGTGGTGGAGTCTTGGTCCTTCAAATACAAAACCAGCACCCCCCCCCCCAGCTGTCATGTTAATCTGACTCTTCAACGTAATGTATCACAATAAATTTTTAAACTTAATCTGCAGAATCAACGACTTAGTTAATTTTCTTCCACTTTGTTTGAATATAAAGATGCACATTTATGTTTCTCTCACCATCCCTTCATTTAGATCCTCTAAAGAAATGCATCATACTAATCACTCAGGCTGTTTTCTAAACCGCCTGCTACACTTATTTGGATTTGGCCAAAATACCAAATGCATGAAGATACTGCGAGATCGGCAGCATGCCAAAAAAACCCGGACGTCGTACTGATTCAGGAAAAATCAGCAGTATGCATTACGGCTGTGCTCAAAAATTCAATGTGGTAATATGTTGTCATTTGTATCGATGAGGACGTTACAGAATCCAGCCACTAGGCTACTGGAAGCCCATGATACTATGATTTATATCTTACTTAAAGTGATAACGTTTCTGCGCATTAGTGTCTCCCATGCTGAACAATGAAAGGTGTTAAACCTGTTCAGTCAGCCAGCATGAACGCAGTGGGGGTGTGTATGTAGGGAGAGGGTGAAATGGAGAGTGGTCTGAGAAAGGCCCTTTGACTAGTTGGAAGGTGGAGGCTTGCAGTTTCCTCCTGCGCTAAGTCCTTGTGCTAAGCTAGGCAGCAGCTCCTTCACAAAGTTTGTCCAAGCTTGAAGGAATGTTTGAGGGGCCGCAGGATGAACCAAATTCTCCCTGCAGAGATTAAACAAGTCTGTCACAGCCGTCGATTTAACCAACAGCTGAAGTATTTACATCCTGTGTGTGCGTGCGTGCGTGCGTGCGTGCGCGCGTGCGCGTGTGCGCGCGTGTGTGTGCGCTAAACAAACACTGACAATTCAGACTGAATCCTCCTTCAGACGTGTCTGTCTTTACTGCATTATATTTAATATTCAACATACATGTTAGGACTACAACTCCCAGCTGTATCCATGAAGGCACTTGAAAAGATGAGAATGAAAAATTGAAGTTATTCATTAAAAAGAAGTTTAGAGGTCAAAGATGCAAATTGTTTAGTTTGCTGTAAAGATGGTTTAATACCTTCTCTTCATTCACCTGATACACCTGGATCATTTTACTGATGTCATATTTTCAACACTGCAGTGTCTGTGCACACTGTAATAAATTACCGTAAAACTTCTTTTAATAGCCCGGGCGGCTTTTATTTGTGACAGGCATCAATACGAATGAATTTTTTTGAATGAGTACATAGTTCAGGATCTCCTCCAGTCATCTGTGAGCCTGGCTGAATTTATTGCTGCTCCATTTAACATTCTACTGAGTTAAAGAGCTAGCATTAGCACTTAGCAGGGAGTGACTGAAGCCAAAATAAAAAGAAAACTTTTGGAAGTTATGAATCTATTTAAAATCTCAGAAGATGAGAATCTTGATTTTTACATAAATCTATTTTTTTCCCACCTCTACGAGACGGGTCTTTAATTATTTTTAATCAAAACTCGTGCACGGCAAAGATGGTAAAGACTATGAAATTGTAGATAAAAACCAGGAAGAATATTCAACGGTGTACAAAATTAGGATTTCAATAAACAAAATGAATATCACTGATTTGTTTTGCCTGTAAAGCAGCATGCGAACCTGCTTCACAGCCTCCATACGAGCACAATTCTGTCTCTCTTGGACAGATGTCGAAGTTCATCTTTATTTTCTGTTGTGCTGTACAACTATTTCAACACTAAATGCACAGGCACCTCAGAAACCCGCCTCTATTTGTCAAAACATACGTCAACACCAGGCTAGTAAAATGGACTGGGCCTTAAATTAGGATGTGCTTTTATTTGAAGTTTTACGGTATTTTACTGCAGTAAAGGACCTAAATACTTCCTCTGAGTAAACACAGGTTCATTATTAGTCCAAACAGTGTTGTGTTTTTATTACTTTGAGTTCTCAACTCTTTTCAGACAGAGGTTGAAATATGTGACAGTGAAACATCTGGTCATTGTTTCCTAATCGACTCATGTCTTTAACTCAGGGCTGCTTTGGTTTGATCCATTTCATTCATTTTGAAGATTCAGTTAGAGAAAGTTTACCGTCATCCTGTACCTTGAAGCATAAAGTTTATTATTTAAATGTCCACAAAAGATATATAATCCTGTCCCAAGAGCCCAAAATCATCCGTCAAACTTCTCATTCAGTTCCACAAAACCCCAAAAAATATTCAGCAGTGGAACCTGAAACTGCAGAAACAAGTCAATAAATCTCCACCAGCTCTTCATCCCGTCACTCCAAAGAAAACTCTTCGTCCAGCATCGTCTCTTCATCTTGTTCCTCGGTCTTCGTCTCCGTCAGTTCAGACTCTACAGATCCGCTTGGTGCTGGGTCGGGAGGTCCCGCCTCTACTCTGAGGTCAGGGTCCGTTACTGTGTCTGTCGGCTGGGTCTCAAACGACAGGCTGCCCAGTTCTGAGGAGATGTCGAACTCTGGCGCGGGTGCTGCATCCGGTATTGTTATCCTCTCAGGGAGCACAAAGTCCAGCGGCTCGAGGACGGCGGGGAGGTCGATGCAGCCCAGACCATCGTACTTGTGCAGCTGAGTCACAGGAACACCTGCAGGAGCAGCGAGGAACCAAATCAGAGATCAAGTTACTGTACCTCCAAGTACAAACCTAACTGTCTGTCGGCTGGGTCTCAAACGACAGGCTGCCCAGTTCTGAGGAGATGTCGAACTCTGGCGCGGGTGCTGCATCCGGTATTGTTATCCTCTCAGGGAGCACAAAGTCCAGCGGCTCGAGGACGGCGGGGAGGTCGATGCAGCCCAGACCATCGTACTTGTGCAGCTGAGTCACAGGAACACCTGCAGGAGCAGCAGGAACCAAATCAGAGATCAAGTTACTGTACCTCCAAGTACAAACCTAACAATTAGATATAAACAAAACATTTTGAAACTGCTCCAGGAGATCTGTTTTTGCTGACAAATGTGAAAGAGGCTTTTAATGGTCGCAATGTCATCGTTACAGCTGCCGGTGCCATACTGACTTTCCACTGACAGGCTCATATTGTAATTGTGAGTGTCGGACACGATTCTTACATTGACAACAACAGCTGCCTCAGTTGGTTAGTTTGTGCTATAGTGTGTCTTTGTTTTTTTCTTCTTCTGATCTAAAAAATGTATCTGTGACACACAATATAACATGAATACTCTAAATTGACCCCTCTCAACACGTGGGGGTCTACTGCTGCCTCAATTTTTAATGAATAGAAAAAGCAGAGAGAGAGCAAGAGAAAGAAGAAGAAGTCGTCCTCACCCAGAATGAGAGCCAGCTGAGCCGGAGGAAACAGGACCTGCAGACAGCGGTTGAGGAACGGCAGCAGGTCTTCAGCGTACCCACAGCAGAACTGAACAAACAGCTCCTTCTCTCTGCTGCTGAAGGCCGACTCCTCCGCCCGGTGAAACACCAGAATGTTACGGGTCACCTAACGGGGAACAAGACCAAAGGAGTCAATACGCCTGCCAACACGGACTGAATCGTGTCGTTACTCGTGGATTTAACACGCTCACTCCTGGGCAGTCTGAGAAATCTACAGTTCTTTGAGCCTGTTTTCAAACAGACTGTGCACGGATTTACAGCATTTGAACTTCCCACCCTGAAGGAGACAGCCACATCACAATCAGAGTGGTAAATAAAAATCATGACTGGACCAGGGTCAAGAGATTTTCTCCTAATATTATAATTAGATGTGTACTTGTTTAGTCTAGATACATTTAAAGGTGACATATTCTCCTCCTCTTCAACCAGTTAAATAAGCTCCTCCAAAACATGTGTGTGAAGTTTCTTGTTCTAAATCCACTCTGATCCTGTATTTGATCATGTCTATAAACCCCTGTATTTCAGCCCTGCTCAGAACAGGCTGTTTCTGTGTCTGTACCTTTAAATATGTAAATGCTGTGTCTGACCACGCCCCCTCTCTGGAAGGGCTTGGGTGTCTCGGTCTTTCTCGCTCCATGTCCTATTGTTTACAGTGAGAAGGCAGACTCAGAGGGCAGAACAAACACCTAGCTGTGGGAGTGTCACCCACCTGGGGAGGGGTTACTGCCCTTTGTGATGTCATGAAGGGAAAATGAGTGAATATTACATGTGACCTTTAATGTGCTTCAATAATTTGTTTTAAAAAGATATTTGTTTCTTAATTCCGATGTAGAAAAAATACCAATTTGGATTTAATTATTTATCTTTATAGAAACTGCCTCCTAAAGCAACTGATAGAAACCATTTGAACGGCGGCGTACCAGCTTGAGTGCGTCTTCGAGGCATTTGGTGACGTCCTGAGCCAGTCCCACGGGGCAGCAGAGCCGGAGGTCATTGAAGGCGGTCAGGATGTTGTTGAGGAAGCACGCCAGCGGCTGAAAGTCCAGCAGGGACATGGGCGGCTGCAGGGATCCGGGCTGGGTGCTGGGGGCCACAGGGGGGATTGTTCCTCCCAGCACTGAAGGCAGAGAGATGAGCGTGTACCGGTTCATGTCCTCCTGAAACTTCTCCACCGCCTCCTTCACGGCAACGCGAAACGTCTCCGCCGCCACCCGCTGGAACATGGGCGCCAGCTGCCCGCGGAAGTCCGCCCCCACCCTGCTGAAGGAGAGGCCAAAGTACATGCACTGACCCAGCAGGGAGTCCAAGCGGCCGCCCACACCTCGCTGCAGGTCCCTGTCTAGAGTATCCAGGAACTCAGCCACCTTCTGCACCACCCAGCCGTGAAAGATGGCCGCCTCGTTCACCACCACCTGCCCACCTGCAGGGGGCAGCAGAGGGTCCTCATCGGAGAAGATGGCTCTGTACTGGGTGATGATGTCAAACAGATGGACTCTGCAGGCCTCGATGGTTTTGGTGATGTGGAAGTAGGGGTCGTCTTCAGGGATGGCGGTGAGGATGGAGGTCAGCCAGGTGCCACGGGCCTGCAGGAACTTCACCCGCAGCTCCGCCTCCGTGAACACGTCCATCCTGCGCAGGTAGCCGATGACTCGCAGGCAGACGGGAAGCTGCGAGTTGATGCGCAGCTGCTGCAGGAGCTGGTTGAGCATCAGCTGAGTGGACTGACGTACTTCACGTACAATACCCTGAAGACACAGACGTAGAAGAAGATTATTTGATTAAATCGACATGCAGTTGTTAGTTTTCAGGTGAAAAAAAAAAAAAAAAAAAAAGGTTAATAACATTTTCCGGTTGACCCGGACTCACCTGGATGACCGGCAGTGACGAGTGCTTCCTCTCCAGCCTCTTGACGTAAGCTGCCAGCTCCAGAGCTTCCTCGTAGTATCCGTTTCGGACGCAGGTATCCATGAGCTGAGGTATCTCCAGGATCTCCAGGATCTCTGTGTGACGGTTCAAAGTGAGGCTGTTCATCCGTCGGCTGGCCCCGATCTCCTCCGCCTCCTTCATGAACCCCCTATGAACAAAAACACACACACACACACACACAATGAATGACAGTTTATCCAGTGACCTGATCCGGGATTTTAGTATTGAGAAGATGTCGGGGAACGTCTAGTCTCGAGGGTTTTAAAAAAGGCCACAATTGTCTCTCTGTTACATGTGGCCCTGTTCCTCTCCCTCTCTGGTTCTCTGGTCTCCCTCCTCCCTCTGTACCTGCCCACTCAGGGAGGAGGAGGGGGATTTAGAGGAGCAGGGAGGAGAGACTTTGAGAAACACTTCGGTCAACGTGTGGTGAGGAGCTTTGTTTCTCTATTTTCATCTTTTCCCCAATCCAAGTATTTGTTCCCCCTACGCATGTTTAGATTGCTTTGTTTTTTGTTATTGCAGTTTGGTGCTGGAGATCATTTGTCGTCCTGTTTTCCGGTCTTTTATTTTTTCTTTGGTACTTTTAGGAGGTTCTGAGAGCGGAGGTCCATTACATCATTGGCTCAGCAACTTCCAATCTCTTGTTCTTTTTAGTACGGGTCTGCAGTCCCTTTTGCTTTCTTTGGATTATTCTTTATCTTTTACGCATTTGGGTGAAATGCATGTTAAGTAAAGCTCTGGATTTTATTTTCAAACTTGTGTGGCGTCCCTATATGTTTTCAGTCTTCATATTTTGATCCTTGATTTAATTTGGTTAGAGACGCCATAACAGCCTCCAACACTTTTCATACTTCGATACAAAATCTATCATCATATCATGTTGCAAAATGTCATCAATGGACAGACAATCGTTTAGCATTGATACTGTCACATTTATATTGCAAATTATACCACTCAAACACTGCAATACTTTATCATGATACTCAGGAAAACTAAAAGTTGTTATAATACGGTGTTGTTCTTAATGGACAATAAAGGGTTGTTTTGATTTTCAATGTCTGTAGGAGTTCAGATGAAGTTTTTGAGAGCTGATGTCAATGAAACTCAGCGTACATGAGACTTTTGATATGGTCTCATGTCGATCCCAGGCTGTTGAATTCAACGGACAATGATAATCTGAATTCTCTCCTTCTTTGTGAATCAGAAAATATGGCAGAAATCAAATGATCGTGATGTAATCCTCTACACTGCCCTACAAAGGCAAAAGGCAGTAACTTCAATTTTTTCAAAAAGGAGTTTTTTGTCATTTTTGGAACATTACAGATGTGCTTTATCATGAGGACAGATATCTTGAGTCAATTGTGTGTTTGTTGTTGTTGTTGTTTTGAGAAAATAGTAGGTTGTATTTGCCTTAACTTCCAAAAGCCCTCAAGAAACAAAAGCAGAGTCCATTAACTTCACTCATCAGGGTCTTTGCCTCAAACTGAGTTCAGGTCTTCTGTCTTTGTTTTGCTGCGGATCAAAGTGAAGTCACTGTTTCACTGCAGTGGAGTTCAGGTGTTATATCTTTGTTTTAATATCTGTCATCAAGCACTTCTGACACACACACACACACACACACACACACACACACACACACACACACACACACGGCAGCCTGACTAAAGTGTAGCAAAGAAACAGTGTTTGGTTGTGTTATTTTAACAATGCAACAAAGTGAAACACAGTAACAAATGGAAGTTAATGCCTTTTGCCTTGACCTCGTTATTATTATACAGGCAATGCAAAGGCAGAGTGCCTTAACTTCCCAAATAAGGGTCAAAGGTCATATTTAAGCTCAAGATTTTTTTTTATGAACATTAATAACCTCTGGGGATCAATAAAGTATTATCCTATCCTATAACCTCATTAAAAAGACAAAGAATTGCCACATTTCCAATTATTCTGCCTGCAACTCATTTGGCTGCACAACAAAAAAAAACCTCCCTCTCACCTGCATCTTTCAGCACTCACCTGCATCTTTCAGCACTCACCTGCATCTTTCCCCGAAGCTGGGCAGCTTGTCCAGCAGCCGGGACACGCTGCTCTCCACCCGGCCGAAGTCCCGGTAGATGTGCTCGGTGCAGTCGGCGGTCCGGATGAAGGTCTGGTAGTTGGAGAAGGCCAGCTCTCGGGTCTGCTGCAGGATCTGAGCCCGCTCCTCCGACAGCCTCTCCGGCTCCCGGCTCAGCTTCTCCACCCCGAAGGAGCTCAGCTCGGACAGGTAGGCCGTGAAGTCCGGGTTGTCCCTCCAGCTGTCCGGGAAGCTGTCCTTAAAGATCGACGCCAGGATACTCTCGTCCTCCACGTCTACCGCCGCCATGTTGTGACCGCCGCGATTTCAAATGTAAACGCTGCTTCTTGCTGGCGACGTGTCAGCGGTATGCTCTCATTTAAAAGATCAGAAATAAGATTGTTAATGCATAAGCTGCTTAGTAAAGTCAGCCGGGTTCTCAAAACAGGAATTCAAGCTTGACAGTTCAGTGTTGACAACCACTTCTGGCATCTTCTTCTTCTCTCACACTTTGCGGATTTGAAGTGATGAATCATAAAGTAATATACCGCCACCTAGTGTGAGTTTGTAGAGTTTCAATTATCAATCTTCATAAATGTTATCTCAAGACACAAAAATGCAGGTGAAAGACATTACTCTTAGTTATATGTTACTAAAGAGCAGGTAAAAGACATTACTCTTAGTTATATGTTACTAAAGAGCAGGTAAAAGACATTACTCTTAGTTATATGTTACTAAAGAGCAGGTGAAAGACATTACTCTTAGTTATATGTTACTAAAGAGCAGGTGAAAGACATTACTCTTAGTTATATGTTACTAAAGAGCAGGTGAAAGACATTACTCTTAGTTATATGTTACTAAAGAGCAGGTGAAAGACATTACTCTTAGTTATATGTTACTAAAGAGCAGGTAAAAGACATTACTCTTAGTCAGGGATGGGCAACTTTGGTCACAGCAAGGGGCCACATTCATTTAATTCTGACTGCCAGGGGGCCAAATTGTAGAATACAAAAACGATTACAGTCGATTATGTCTCAAATTTAACTCAACATGTAACAGTGATCACATTTTATGATGGACATATTTCTGGTTTTCATGATTTCATGGCTGATTCTGTCATGTTTTCTTCATGTTTCCAATTAATTGATGTGTAAAAATTGACCTGAGGGCCACGTTGAGAGTTGACGGGGCCGCATGTGGCCACCCCTGCTCTTAGTTATATGTTACAAAAGAGCAGGTGAAAGACATTACTCTTTTGTAAAGCAAAGTGAGCTGACCTGTAGTTAAATCCTTTTAAAATAAAATTGTTATTGCTATTGCTTAACTCTTTTACACAGTATTAAGATAAGATAAGATAATCCTTTATTTATCCCACAATGGGGAAATTTACAAAAAATGTATTAAAGGGAAGACGTGAATTTAAAACATGATTAACATTTTAAATTTGCATAATTATTTCTAAACAAAATATTAAAAGGATGCCACTTATTGTGTATTTGTAATTTTCCTATTTGTTGTTTTCTATTATTATTTTTGTATTTAATTAGGATAGTGAACATTAATCAACATATCAACAAATAGCATCCATGTAAATATGCCTAAATCAGTTTATGTACAGGGACTACCAAAAAATAAATAAAGTTGTTTTGAAAAAAATAGTGGGTCGATGACATCAGCGGAAGTCCGCGGTTTGTCCCTCAGTTGCTAAGCTGCAGCCGAGGAGAGACCAGGCTGTCAACAAGTTGTCATCATGAGCTGCTAAAACAGCTTAGCCGCCGACGGTTTCACGTTTAAACTTTGACCCCCCCCTCCCCCCCGTTCAGATGATTACCGGCAGACAGACCAAGGTAACCGGACAGCGACGTGTTTGTTGTTTGTTTTGTTTTTGTTTTGCACCGAAACCGCTCAGATTACAACTAGCATTAATTAGCTAACCCTGTACTTACGCTGCTAGCTCACGTTAGCTGTCGGCCCCAAACAAGAGGGCTGAAGAAATACTTTAAAGTGTCCAGGGAACCTTAATATTTATATATATTGTTATCTTATTCAAAGTGAGCTGTCTTTAATGTCTTTTCAGTCACTTGAGTCTTTTAGTGTCTTCTCTTTAGCTCATCTTCAGTGTTTATCAGAGGAGGTTTGGTAAACTACTTAAGATGTGTATCTTAATAAGATTACTAAACATTAACTAAACATTAACTAAACATTAACTAAACATTAACTAAACATGAACAAAGCTGAAGTTAGATACCTGATTATGGTGTTCCCCCTGTGGTAGAGATGTGACCTGAGGGGGAGTTTTGATTGAACTGTTTCTTGATTTGAAGTTGTGACTGTATATAATGATGATAATAATAATAATAATGATGATAATAATAATAATAATTATTATTATTATTATAATAATAATGATGATAATAATAATAATGATGATGATGATAATAATGATGATGATAATAATGATGATGATAATAATAATAATAATGATAATAATAATAATAATAATAATGATGATAATAATAATAATGATAATAATAATAATGATGATAATAATGATGATGATAATAATAATAATGATAATAATAATAATGATGATAATAATGATGATGATAATAATAATAATGATAATAATAATAATGATGATAATAATGATGATAATAATAATAATAATGATAATAATAGTGATGATGATAATAATAATGATAATAATAATAATAATAATAATAATAATGATGATAATAATAATAATGATAATAATAATAATGATGATAATAATGATAATAATAATAATTATAATAATAATACTAATAATTATAATAGTAATGATAATAATAATAATAATAATAATGATGATGATAATAATAATACATTTAATTTATAAGTGCTTTTGTAAACTCAAAGACATTTTACATGTGTTAGAAAAGACAGAAGGAACAGAACAGTAAGGACAAACTAACAGACATTGCAACATCAAATCATAAAAACAACAACATATAAGATAAAGCTACAGATAAACTAAACAACACATCACAATCATACATTAAAAGCTTGTTTGTCTTGATCAGTGATTTTAATGTAATCAGCATTTTATTTATACAACACCTTTAAAAACAGATGATCACAAAGTGCTTTGACGAACAAAGAAATATAACGTATTAAACAAACAGGTTATTATTGTTATCGATTATGGAAAAAAAATCATACATACATTGTTTTAATTGATATTGAGATCATGATTTTTAAAAACAATGAGATAAAAAAGTGAACTGAAGTCAAAAAATATAAATATATAAGAGTGACCCCCCCTAACCAAATGAGCACATCAGCACAGCATGCTGCACTGTCATAATTTAATCTCAATTATCTTTTGTTTTCAAAGAAACATGTTGGGGGCTTTTGCCTGTATTAGATAGGACAGTGCATAGAGAAGGAAACTGCAGAGATGGATAGAATGGGGAATTACATTAGAGAAGGTAAGTCAGTAGCCACATGTTGGACTTGAACCCGCTTGCAGGACTACAGCTTCCAAGCGCGACCTAACCTCTAGGTCAAGTACATTTAAGGATATCAGTCATCTACTGAAATGCTCTGGAAGTATAAAATGTTGAACATTTAAAATAAACTCTGCTAAACACAATGTTCACTTGATTAGCTATTTCCTGACCTTTTGGCCGTATTCCCCAAGTCTTCTTGAGAAGGTGAAACCTGCTGAGGTGTATCCTTTGACAACCTTTGACATCATATCATTATTAACTTCTTTAAGCTGCACTGACTTAAAAAGATGAGGAGCAGAAAAGTGTTTCTTGTTTTAAAAATACCAATCAATAAAAATCTAACCGTTAATAGGCAAATTCTCCCCAGTTTAGAACCAACAATAAAACAATAAAAAAAAGGCCTCATACAAAAGACCCTATAAAGATGTTTAACACGAGGTAGCCATCATTAAAATGCTGTTATTGAGATGGGATATAAAGTGCTTCTTTGTAAAGTTCAGTCTCCAGGAATGCAACGTAAAAGCTAAAATAATCAGCTTTAGTATTGGAGTACGACCTCAAGCCCAACATGTTATAGAGCCCCTCTTTATCTTCTTAAAGGCACCACACTGAGACCATTCACATCCCCCTTCCTCCACTGTGGACTCTACTGAAGTGCTGTTGTCCAAGCTTTGTGTTGTTGCTTTTATATGCATGTGTTGCTGCTGTATGTGTTGTTGTTTATACTGCATGTGTTGAGTTTATTTTGCCTGTGTTGTTGCATTTTCACAGAATCGCGAATACACCTTTCTACAAACCTGCTGTGTTTGACAACTTGTCTCTTGTTGTAGTACGTTACATTACATTAAGAGGTACCTGTAATACTGCAGTCCAATAATTAGGACCCGGAAGACCGATCAGAGTTAATTATAATAGATTTGGAGAGTACACAGCTTCCCTAAGGCCAGCAGGCCAGTGAGAAACTCTGTGACACGGCGTATTTGCGGTGCTTCTATTATACCCTTCTTAATATGAGATTTTTCTCACACTGTAGATGAAGTAGTGAAAACAGAAAACTGGTAATTATCATGCATACCTGATATATGTCAATTCTTACAGCATGGAAATGATTACATTACATCTACTTTTTTGTGAGTCTGAGTTTGTAACCTGATATTTAGACATCAATGATTTGTTCAAGTTGAAGTTGATATCAAGACTTGTCAAATAATATGAGAGTCAAAATTGATAGAAAAGCTAATTTCTTCTTCCTTTTTCCTACTTCACTGTTCCAACAAGGGTAAAAGTTTGGCCAGTAACTTTATATACCACTACTGTAATTTTAGTGGTTGTTGATTTTGGGAACATTCTCTAGGACGGCACTCAGGTGGTATCAAAACAACCACAGATCCTGATTCAGAGCCTGATTTAACAGACGATGCTACATGGACAGTCGGCAGATCAATGAGTGACAACAGGCTTATGTACTTGTGTTGCAGGACGCTCGACGCAGCGAGTGATTGAGAAGCTGATGTCTGTCCTCGGCGGTCTTGACTCAACTTGATGAATTAACCTCACAGTGGTCGAGGATTTCAAACAAAGCAACCTGGTGTCCCAGTGTGACCAGTATGGCTGCTGCCAACACCACCAAGATCTCATGGAGACTACGTGAGTCAAACCTTTAAACGTTTTCTTTGTAATTGACTGAAAACACTGCTGGAACTTCACCTGCATCAGTGCAACACTAATACAGATTCTTTAAACCTGACATTCTTTGTTAATTTGTGATTACCATTTGCTGCCACTCGTCTTCATGAATCGACTTCGACTTTGAAGGGCCATTAAGCCCTGAGTCGGCTTCTCCAGCGTCACCAGCAGCCTCTTTACAAACAGAACCAAACTTAATTTGTCCCTCCTGTATTGTTGTACAGAGGAGTTCGAGGCTCACTCCCGCAGTGTCTCCTGTTTGGCTCTGGCCAAAAGCTCCGGCCGACTGCTGGCCACAGGAGGAGAGGACTGCACCGTCAACATCTGGGCTGTCAGCAAGGCCAACTGCATCATGGTGAGACATCCTCACTGCAACATCCTCTGCCTGATCACCTGCACATACCTGTTACTGCTCTACTTTGACAACAATCTGTCTGTTTCCTGACCTTTTGTGTGTGTGTGTTTTTTTTAATTGTCTCTCAGAGTTTGACTGGTCACAAGAACCCAGTGGAGTGTGTCCTGTTCAACATGTCAGAAGAGCAGGTCGTCGCCGGGTCCAGGTCTGGTTCGGTACGAATCTGGGACCTGGAGGCTGCCAAGAGTGAGATCTAGTTTGTTCTCTTTTTGTGTTTGTGTGGTGAAAATAACTTCTTCTGTAATCTGAGACTTCTGCTCACAGGTTGACATGAAATGATAGAAACATTGTTGTAAAAACTCTCAGAAGTTAATTTATGTTCCACCGAGTTGTAATATCAGTGAGCAATCATGATCAGCTTCCTGTTGTTTTCAGGTTTAAGGACTCTGATGGGACACAAAGCCAACATCACCAGTTTGGGCTTCCATCCGTTTGGAGACTTTCTTGCCTCAAGCTCTATGGACACAAACATCAAGGTAAGTGTGGAGGTTTATTGGTATCCAATTTTTTCAGGATGAAAACTGAGTTTTTTTTTTCCACATTGTGAGGACTTCTGCATTCTTAGTAAAACCATGCATTTGAGAATATGGCTGTGTATACTCACTATCTGCATTAACAACATGATTTCTCTTTTTTGAATGTCTCTGTCGGTCCCTCTATCAGCTGTGGGACGTGCGGAGGAAAGGATACGTGTTCAGATACAAGGTGAGATGTGTGTGTGATTTTGGAAATCAAACATTTATTTTTAGTAAAATTAGACTGTTCAAAGTGCGTTTACTCAGAGTGTCTTCTGTCTCACAAAGAAATCACATCTTTTAGTGGATTCTCTTCATATCTAAAGTTAACTTCATGTGCAACACAAGGATCTAGTGTGTGTTTTAGGATGCATCTTGCACAGTGCCTTTTTCATACCTGAAATACCTGTTTGTGTTGCAGGGTCACACTCAGGCAGTGAGGAGTCTGGCCTTCAGTCCAGATGGGAAGTGGTTGGCCTCAGCCAGTGACGACTGCACCGTCAAGGTAACAAACTGACCTCATAGCGCTGATACATTAAAACCACGTGGTTTTAAAAGCTACTCTGTTTTTCATAGCCAAACGTGTTTCTCCTCTTCCCTTTTTCTTTCAGCTGTGGGACCTCACTCAGGGGAAGACAATCACAGAGTTTAAGTCTCACACTGCAGCCGTCAACATCGTTCAGTTTCACCCTAACGAGTACCTGTTGGCTTCAGGCAGCTCCGACAGGTACGACACCACAACCTGAGAACCTTTTTCAAACCCCTGAGGGGGGATTGTTGTCATTGTTTAGTCAGGTCTTTGTTTCAGCTACAGTCCACAGTGCTACTGAAAAGAACTTAGTGGTTTACATGTTGACTGGAAATTAATTATAGCGCAGAAAGTTAATCAGTTTGTGGTAGAATTTACTGGCTCGGGAAATAATGTTGCATGAACCATGTCAGCAGCTGATGTTTGTCTCTTGAGTTGTAGCAACTTAATGCTGTAGTCTAGTACACCTAAGTACTTATTCAGAGAATAGTTTTTTATTAGGCAGAAGAAATCACCTGTTGGAAACACTCTGACTTGTTTTTATGTTCAAACATGAGAGAAAATGTTGGCATTGTAGGAGTCTTACACCAAACAAGTATAGCTATTATAAACAAAGGATTTTTACAGTCGCTGCATCAATATTTATCCCCTTGTTGAAGCTGTGTAATTACAAGTTCTGACTAAACATGTACTGTTACTGTATGTGACCATCCCAGTGTTTTAAGCTGCATTATTTTGAACCAAGTCCCGGATCTTAACGTATGTGTATATACAGTATGTATGATCTGAGTGTGTTTTTTATCTTTCTTGTTTCTGTGTTTGTTCATGCTGTTCACAGGACTATCAAGCTGTGGGATCTGGAGAAGTTCAGGATGATTGGCTCGTTGGAGGGGGACACGACCCCCGTCAGGTCTATATGTTTCAGCCCGGACGGCAGCTGTCTGTACAGCGGTGCCACAGACTCTCTGCGGGTTTTCGGCTGGGAGCCTGACCGCTGCTTCGACGTGGTGCCAGTGGGCTGGGGAAAAGTAGCTGACCTGGCAGTCTGCAACCAGCAGCTGGTGTGTAGCTCCTCCTACAGATTATTTATTTAAAAAACAAACTAACATGAAAACTGTCCACTCAAAAATATCACCTCAAACCTCTTTGTCTGGTTAGATCGGTGTGTCTCATGAGCTCTCCAGTGTGTCCTCCTACGTTGTGGATCTGAAGCGGGTGAAGAAGAGCGGCGGCTCTGTGATCCAGGGAATCATTAAGGACAACCAGCCGCTCGCAGAGCCGAAAGATCCCAAAGGAGCTGCACTGCGCAAGAACTACGAGAGACCCACGACCACCTGCAGCTCACAGAGGTTTGACCCACCATCACATTTACTTTATACAGCTTACCTGCTACGGATGAGACACAGAGAGACGGTGCTATTTATAATCAGTTTTACCCGACGATTACCAACCTGTTAATCATGTCAACAAGAAGTTACATACATTTCTCGGTTGTAGTTGAAGTGTCTTGTAGAATAAACAATCGCTAGATGTCAATTTCTTTTTCAATATAACTGTAACATAAATGTATTCTGGATCATTTCATAACATCATGACTTACTTATTGTATGAATCTGACTCAGCTGGTGCTGGCTGAACCTCCTGTGTGCAGGAAAAAACACACAGACTACACAGACCATAACCCTGAATCAGTGGCCCAGGCTGAAAAAGGGACTGAGCTGCGTGGAGAGTAATTCATAAAAACATTAATCAGCTTCTGGAAGTTATCCAGAATACCTGTAGCCGCTACGAGATGAAAACACTTCTTTGGAAACGATCCCCATATCATGTCTTCCTATTAGTTATAAAGTTTCCCACTGTCAGCACATTGGAATGTGTTTGTTTTAATAAACATGCTGAAGGAACGGCAGAAAACAGCCACATGAATCACTTTATACAAAACATTGAATACCTTACCTTAAAATCTGTGGGGGAACGTCATTTCCCCACCAACCTTTACGTCATGCATACCCCCATTCGGGCCCCTGGAGACAGGAGTGTTTGGTCACGTCAGTAGCTTTAACTGTAAAAGGGGCTTTCAAAAAGGAGGGGGGGGGGGGAATTGTGCTTAATCACAGTACGGGATAACTTTGCCTAGTGTGAGTGCGCCCTAAATGTCTGCTCCTCAACAACTTTGCTTCAGTAAAAACAGTTTTCTCAGTCATGCTGTGATGTCACTCGGTTAAATGTTGTGGTGATGTCATCAGGTTAAAGCAGAGTTCAGATGCTGATAGGCGGAGCCCTGAAGGTGAGAGGCGGAGCCCCAGTGAGGACGAGGCGGAAGAGAAATTGTCATCAGCCGAAATCCACAATGCAGAAGATTACAAAGAGATCTTCCAGCCAAAGACCGCCATCTGTAGGTCAACCATCAGCTGATCCATTAATGACTTACCTTAAATTAGGACAATGATCTATTATATACATGTCAAAATTATAACTTCCATTTGTGTTTCTTTGATTTTTGGTTAAAAAAAAAATACTTTTGTTGGACTTAAAAACAACTTTAAATATCTGACATGTTCTAGTGATTAATTAGTCTTACAGGATGTTTTTTTTAAATTAATTTCACTAACGGTCTGCTGAATTGTTAGATTATCTCAGTTTGATTTACTGACTCATTTTTCTTGACTTCCAGCACGTACTCCTCCCAAAATGTCCGAGCCCTTCCCCGCTCCTCCAGAAGACGGTGAGTCCATCAGAGGTTCATCACAAGCAGGATCTCACACTGAAGGTTTCTATTGTGTCGCTGTAAAACACAAACACCAGCAGGAATTAGTCACGATAACAAGACACCACATGAATGATCATGTTTTTCCAGAAATGTAACATCTTTATGAGATTATAACAAACATGTTCACAGCTTGTTCTACTTCCCCAAAGATGCTAAAACAGTGGTTAGGGCGGGTAGGATAATGTGATTGCACTACTCAAAGTATTAATTACCATTTGGTGCTATTCATAGTGTGTGAGTATTCTTCCACCACCTGCTGGTCTGTTGAGGTTCTTCGATTTGTCTTTAGTTTTCAACAGACTGTGAATGTTATCTCCAGGCTCAGTTTTAAAGCTCTGTTGTGGGGACAGAATTTAACATCTTAAAGGGAAGTAAGGCGTTTTAAAGGTACAGTTTGGTAAACTCTGTGTAATAATACTTATGTGTCATGTAATAATTGGAGGATACTGATGAATGTTTGATTTTCCTTCTTCTTAGAGACGATATTAGCGATCGGCCGTCAGCTGAAGGACATGATCTCTCCTTTACCTGACAAGCAGCAGGTCAGTGGACGCAGCAGCTTCTTTTCAGTGGGATCATTTGATATGTTTTGTAATAGTTTTTAAATAAAGGTGTTGATGTGTTGCAGGCTGCTCCACTGGCCTCCTCCACACCGGTCCAGAGGGTGGAGCCTACAGTGGTCTCCTGTGCTAAGCGCCCTGTCCCCTCAGCCGTTATCCCAATACCCTCAAACCCCCCCTCTTTAGGCCCGCCTCCTCCCTCTCAGCCTCCAATCATCACAGCGAAGTCTAAACAGCAACCTAAAATCATCCTCAGCACCAGGAACGAGCCAATCGGACTCAACGTGGCTGACTTCCTGCCGGTAAAAACTTCAAACATTTTATATCTAAACTTTTTGGACTTTCATTAACTCATGACTTAAATACTGATGTCCTACCTACATTTACCTCAGTCTCCTCCAAACAACCGAGCCGTCGCTCTGAGCGATGAGGAGGCGCTGTCTCAGATCAAGAAGGGTCACGACACTATGTGTGTGATGCTGAGCAGCCGACACAAGAACCTGCAGACGGTCCGAGCCGTGTGGGCCCGAGAGGACATCAAGGTGAGATCTGAGACTCTACGCATTACTCTATAAACCAATGAAAAAGCAGCTGTGATATGTGGTGCTCTTCCTCTCTTGCAGAGCGCTCTGGATGCTGCCGTCTCCATGAATGACCTGTCGATTGTGGTGGACATCCTCAACATTATTAACCTCCAACCGTGAGTGACACAAATGTACCACTAATCATTTCACGATACCTGACATCACATTCTAGAGCCGTCTTTATGACACTTCTATAAACGGAAATGTTGTTGATATACCAGAAATGACACTTGATTTATTTCATGATATAATGAAACGCTTGATATGGGCTGCACAGTGGTGCTCTGGTTAGCGCTGCTGCCTCTGAGCGAGGAGGTTCCTGGTCCCGTCTGACCGGAGCCTCTGTGTGGAGTTTGCATGTTCTCCCTGTGCATGTGTGGGTTCTCTCTGGCTTCCTCCCACAGTCCAAAGACATGCTCGTTAGGTTAACTGGTGACTCTAAATTGCCGGTGAATGCTTATTAATTAACTCTTTGACCTCATGTTTGACATGATGTTTCAAACAATTCATATTTCAGGTCTCTGTGGAAGCTGGACCTGTGTACAACCATTCTTCCTCAGATTGACAAACTGCTGCAGAGTAAATATGAGAGGTGAGTGTTCCTGATCACACTTCACTCGTTCTACTCTTCTTTAGACTCAACAATTAAGTGACTTGATTTAAATTTAATCTGGGAAGTGTCAGAAAGGTCAACTACTTGGTAAACAACTGACAACTTTTAGTTTTAGCCATAAAAATGTTAAAGGAGCAATATGTAACTCTGACACTTTTAAAATACTGCAGTCCAAATTCAAAACATTATAGAGAGCTGTCTCCCCCCGCCCCCCTCCTCTCTAGACTCGATGCTCACGCAGGTTTCCATGTGGTGGACACTGAAGCTTCAGTGTTTAGCCAGCTCTGCATTAATGTATTTTTCAAAAGCATCAACAATATTGATCCTAGTTTGACAAATTTGTAGCTTAAACATTTAAAAGAGAAGTGTGTCTGAATGTGTGCGTTTGTGTATTTGTGTGATCAGCTACATGCAGACCGGCTGCACGTCTCTGAAGCTGGTCATGAAACACTTCTGGATGCTGATCTCCGACACGCTGAAGGCGACGCCGTCTGTGGGAGTCGACATCACACGAGAAGAGCGGTGAGTCCCAGCAGTCAGAGGATCTGTGTCATCCTGTTGTCCAGGGTGAAGATACTTCACTTCACACAATAAAAGACTCAGGAGACTCAGATGGCTCGAGTTGAAGTTGTTTATATTTGACTCGTCTAGAGAAATGACATTAACAGCACACATTTAATAGCTCAGGTGATCTCCCTGTTGACCATACACTGAACTGATGATGTGTTGTGTTTCAGACACCAGAAGTGCCGAGCGTGCTGCAGGCAGCTGAAGAACCTGAGCAACGTGGTGAAGAACAAAGCGGCGCAGGTCGGTCGTCACGGCAGCGCCTTCAAAGAGCTGCAGCTGCTCATGGCGCCGCTCGACGACGCTCTCTGAGAGTGACTGAACTCAACCCTCCGTTTTCCCAGACTACGGATCTGACTGAGATAACAAGGAGTCAGCTGACACTTCAGGAGCTCATCAACAGCTTCACCTGGTTGAACATTTCTGCACTTTGAGTCTCAACGTGGTCCTGGGACACCGACCCTCCAGAAGCCTCTGTCACGCCCGGTGTAGGGAGAAGAACTATGTGGATGAAAAGTGTTATTTCATCCTCTTCAACTCAAAGGAACACACCGACATTTGAGCTATATCTCGCTACAATCAGAGACGAAGACGAGCTGCAGTTTGATGAGCAGCCTGCAGGCTACAGTCTGAATCTCTCTGACCGTAGAGCAGACACTTCTCCACAGAGTCGGCATCTCCTACAGGTTGAAGAGCTCCAAACACAAAGGCATCATGAACACCTGAGCTCCCAACAAGCTGATAGAGCTCAGTGTCAGTCAGCTCTCCTCCCTGAGAAAAATGACAATCAGAAAACATTTGAGTGTGAACAACATTTATTCCTGAAAAAATCCAAATTTAATCGAAATAAATTTTCCTACAATAATTGATCGATACAAAACTTTTCTGAGGTGTCTGTCCGGTCAACAGAAGTTACAGCCAGCTGTCGGTTAGCTTAGCCTAGCATTATGACTGGAAACGGGAATATCTAGTGGACCAAAATCTGTCTTTACCCCCGCACATTTCACTAATGAACACATTCCGTTGTTGAACACTAGTGTCATCATCGCGAGGTCATTCAGACTTCAGCTCACAGCTTTGAAATAGATCGACACACAGAATCACTGAACGTGGATTTGTTGTTTTTACACTTTGAGCTCTAACAATCAGATCACTTTGTTCCACCTGATGTGGATTTGTTTGTTTTTTTACACGGACTGTCTGAGATGACGTTGTGGTTCTCAGGTTCTGAAGATAATCGACCGACTTTCATAACAAACTGAGAAGTTCACCTGAGGGGAGAACCGAACAGAACCACGTTCATAAACACTGAAGATGTTCAAATGTTTTCACGCTCCTTTTCTACTTTCTCGACTTTTCTCACTGTTAGAGCCACTCTTGACTGTTTTAAATGTACAGTTGTGTTTATTTAAATAAAGTGTTCATGTTGGGAAGAAGAATGAAGAGAATTCACTTTCTGAGACAAACCAAAATGATCTTCATGAATGGATCATTTGTCTAGTCTTTTCTGATAATAATTGTTAAAGTGGGCTTATTATCCCTTTTTCCACCGTTTCAAACAGTCCCCCTGTGGTCTAAACATCTGTGCTGTGCTTTGGTCAAAATATAACATGACTCAAGCACCAGAGGAGGTTTGTGACCTTGTATAAACCAGCTCGCTCAGAACGCTCCGTTTTGGTGTGTGTGTCTCTTTAAATGAAATGAGGCCTCCTGAGTTTTCCTGGTAGACATCACTCCTCTGTAGAGAGAATAAAAATGGTGGACCTGTGTAAAAGTTTTGCACTAGGCTGGAGGTGGAGTCCATGGGTGGAGATACCAGGGGACGGGAGGGTATTCTTTTTACCAGAATCCCATTGTGACATCACAAGGAGAGCATATTTGAAACAGAGCATTTTTCTCTGTGTTGTAAGACTTATACAGACCACAAACAAAGAACTGGATTGGTTTTATTTCACATGTTGTGGGTCAGTAGACACTCAGGTTATCCAAATATATGTTCAAAAACACTGTGAAAGTGGATTTTTATAATATGTCCCCTTTAAGTTAGTTAAACCATCTTCTGAACAGGATATAAAACTGTTAAATTACGGTGTGCTGACCTAAAGTGCCTTTGTTTACATTTGAACAGTTAGTGGTACGTTTGACTCTTTAAATTCCAGAGGACTTTTTACATATGAACTACAGAATCAGCAGAGTGATGAGTTTTAGCGCTTCGTCCACAGGAGGTCACTCAACGATATCAACACCAGGTCTAAATGACCCAGAACAGTGAGATCACTGATCATTTAAAGTCTTAAAAATGATTTCTATAACGATGTTATAAATGGTACAAACTACTAATCTATATCTGACTAAATCATGTTATTATAAACAGTAAGATTTATGAAATATCTATGATCTGAACTAGCACAAAATATATTGTCTATCTCGATAAAAACGTTTTCATTTTTTAAATGTATGCAAACCTTTAAGTATGATACAAAATATTTATATTGATTCAAACTTGCAATGATATAAACAATGAACTATAATGAAAAAAAACTCTACAATTAACATACTTTATAGAAGTGTTTTTTTATAACCAAATACACTTAATAAAAAATCATATTTTTGGAGTTAATGATCTAAACTGAGGGGAAGTCTAAGAAGCAAATTGAAATAAACATATAAATAGCTATAAAGTTTATAAATTCCACCACCTCATGCCCAGCCTCCATCTTTTTATTTCAGGGTTGTTGTCCCGACTTGAGCAGGCGTTCATGTGCATTTTACAACTCAGAAAGTCGTTTTCCCGATGTGTCTGACAGTACTTGAATGCACCTTTAATTGGGAGATGGTGTTAGTTTCAGCCTGACTTTTTCAGGTTATCCTGGCTTTCTTAAACTACGTTGATGGAATTCCCAATATGTTAGATTCTCCTGAGTGAAACATGGACACACAGTAACACGTTTTTATCTTTCAGATTGTTTATTAAAAAGGGAATACAAAAAAAACTAACTGTAGAAATCTACAGCGACACGAAGCAAGCAGACGATTTGATCATCAGGTCAACAACACACAGCAGCTCATCGCCTTTTAAGCATTCCTGTTACTACGACTACAGCTAACTATCAGCTCCACCTGCTTCACGTCACACTCAGCACCAGGTCATCAGCTACAGGTCTTCGCTTCTGTCAGAGGTCAGAGGTCACCTGTGGTGTATTTTTAAAGCAGTTTATTTTTTCTTCACAGAGGTGACTGGACGACAGCAGGAGAAACACCGAGGAGAAGATACGAGCGTCTCTGAAGAAAAGACGACGCTCTATCAGCATCGGAAAAAACAAACAATCCACAGGAAGAGGAGAGGAAAACAACAATCATGTACACGGGAGGTTTCCTCGTATTGCTCGCGTCTCATTGGACAGCTTGGTATCAAGTGGCGTACCCTGATTGGTTCAAGGGGGACCGCGAGGACACAGACAGCCTCGGTTGGAAAATGACACAACATGGGGGGATAGAATTAATTTAATCTGAAGCTACCGAGATTTCAGCGAGAAATCATCCAATTAAACGTCAGAAGAAATGTTCAGGTGGTGTGCATCCTCGACAAAAGAAAAAAAAAAAGGAGTAAACTCTAAATAAAACGTGCTACAAAGTTAAAGCATGTCAAACATAAATATAGAACCATTTTATGCATATATTAGAATCGACCACATCTGGAGCTGTGGGTTAGAAAATAATCTAGAAGGTTAAAGTGCAACTTTACAAAGAAACAATAAAAAGAAATACTGTGATTGGAAAGTGTATACTGTTAGAGAGACTCTGCGAGGAGGATTTCTGTCCAGGTGGGAGGAGCTTGTGAACGTTTGGGCTTCAGCGGTCGAGTCTTTTAAAAGTCCGTCATCGGCCTCAGAAAAAAAAGCTTCAGAAATCAGAATGTTTGGCCACTCCGCAGAGATAAGAGTCTGATATTCGCCTGTTAAGTTCCCATGAGTCTTTGCTTCTTCTTCTTCATCCTGCTCCTGTCGGAGGTCGAGGAGCGGGATGAATCCAGTGAGGGCAGATTGCAGTCGTTGATGTCCCAGCAGGAAGACGCCTCAGGGTGTTGGCAGGCACCCTGTGGGCGTCTCCGTCTCTCTCAGGCTGTCAGCTTCAGTCGTCCTGCAGAAAGAAAGAAAAAACAAAAAACATCCCATCAGTCAGCCGCCATGTGAGCCGTCACACCATGTCCACACTGCTGCTCATAAATGTGAAAACTCTATCAGCGGGGGACCGACCAGCATCAAACTTTGGGGATCCTCTGACTTTATCTTTCCTGATGACATATTCAGTTCAACATAGTTCTTAATATGTCTTAAAGAACACCTGTAACAAAGCTACTCTCCTGCCTCACCTGTTTTCTACCTGTGGTGTGAAATGTATCAGCATCACGGAGCCTTAACGCTGCAGCATGCATGAACTAAAGTCTGTAAAAGCTCCTTATTGGTCCTGATGATACATGAACTCTGAGAGTATCTGCCGTGTTGTGATGTATTTCTGACTGATATGGGATTCAACCAATCACAAGACAGGAGGTGGGACACAACGTTTGGATGAATTTGATTGGTAGAAAGGTGAGTGAGCTCTCCTGAGTGCAGGACGAGTCATCAGACATTTGAAACTCTTCACAGGAAGAGGAAATACAGTTACTTAGATGTAAAATACTCAGACCATGCTTTATTTAAATATATTTGGCATATCAAATTTAACATTTAACACCAGGTATAAAACCTGGAGAGTGTATTTTCCCTCTTCGTGGAGACTTGAAAACATCGTAGAGGAATGAAGAAGGCAGGGCTCACTTGTTTCCTTTCACAGACTATTAGGAGTTATCTGATCATGTAAAGCAAATTAACACTGACTGAAGGAGTTCAACATCAAAAACAAGGGCTCGTTTTTAAGAGCTCGGCTTGTATTCAGGTTAGGATTACTTCTGTTTTCAATTTGTCAAGTTTTTTTTCTGTGATCTGTAGAATGACCCTCCTCTCTAAATTAAACAACATATGTTATTTAAACAGATAAAAACACTTTAAAATTAAGTGTAAGGTTGATGTTCTTTTTTCTTGCTGCCCCTCGACGAGTTAAAACAGACACTTTAAGTTTAACCTCATTGGGTTGAATTAGTTTTTATTCTTATATTTGGTTGTTATAAGATGTATCTGACATGATACATACATTGATGTTGAAGACCTATTCTCTTACAGAAGAGAACTGATGATAATAATAATCACTAGTTGATCTGCAGCGCCCCCCTCCAGCCACCTCTATGTTTACATATCTGAAGCGTCAGCGCTGTTGTCATGGTTACCTGCAGTTTAACTCACTCTGTGTTCGACATTAGACGAGCAGTTAAAACGAGTTTGTCCTGTTAAAACTATTCAAACAAAGACCAGCAGATGTTTTCAGATTTATCAGTGTGGACATGGAGCCATATATCCCACAATCCTCAGCTCATCAGCAGGTCGCCCAGGCCACAGAGCAGCAGCAACAAGAGAGGCGGGAGAGGGGAGGGGAGGGGGGGGGGGGGGAGGCTGGGGACACCAAAGGACACCAACTCACTCGTAACACCCGCACACACTGAAGTCACAAGGAACAGACTCGTGGTTTCAATAAGAAGTTACATTAAAGCACCGGCACAGTTTAAACCTGTGTGTCCAATACAGAGCTCCAGGCTTTGTTTAGCATAGCTTAGCATAAAGAATGGAAGCAGAGGGAAACTGCTAGCCTAGCTACACTTAACGCCAAAAATAAGACAAAAAAATGTCAAACTCCAACTCTTTTCAATTGTAATGTTTGTTGTGTATTCAACAGGTTTAGGAACAGGAGCATAACAAGAACATCAGAGCTGACTAGTGTAATAAAAACAAATATATATACAAATATATATATATATAGAGGCTTAGACAAAGGCCTTGAGATATTTTTACAAACCCTTAATTCTGCAAAATCATTGTGGAAATGCTCCTTTTCATTCAAGCTCAAATGCAGCTGATAAACACTCTGCTGTCAGCGGTCATTGAACGCAGCATCTGAACTGGTACAGTGCTCGAAACATCTTCAGACAGATTTAAGCTCGGCCAGCATCCCCTCTGCTTCCATTCTCTGAGTTTCTCTTTGATTAACAACGTCCTCTGTCTCTCTCGATTTAGGACACACAGATTAAACTGTTATTCTAAAACTTTTATTCTAAAAAAAAAAAAGCTCCCTCTGTTTTCTTTAAGGCTGTGATCTTAAGACAATGAATTAGTTTCCTTGTGACATGAACTCAAATCTGCACAGAAGTTTAGATTCAACGAGATTAAGACTCCAGCATTCAAACAGGCGACACAAACAACAGGATCCGCTGCACACAGGAGGCCTGTGGGCTGCGTGGGCCCTGCTCACGGCCCAGCAGGCGCACAGACAGAAGCCAGGTGGAGCTCTGTGGTTAGAGGTAGGGGTGTGTTAGATGGATGTGGGGAGGGGGGAGGGGGGGGCACCATGCCATGCTGAGCGCTTCCATGCCAAGCTATCCACCAATCAGCATACTCCCCCAACCTACCTGCCCACCGTCCCCAACCAATGGGCTGGCTCTGTCTACCTGTCTGTCTGTGAACCAACCAATGAGATCACAGAATGAGGAGACAGAAGAGGAAGAAGAAGGTCTGTAAAAAGTCCTGCCTCACTCTCATAGTTCACACGTGTGATTTTCAGGAGCTTGAATTTGTCTGCTTTAGTGTCAGCTACTTGTTTCCTATATTTCCCAAAATGCCGTTGGTTTGTCTCCAGTGGAATTTGGGTATTTTACAAACATTTACTGTCAAAATACAAAAATGGCTCAACAGTGCTGAAATCTCTTCGAGAAAATCCCTTGAGCCAGCAGCAGCAGAACACATGTTGAGAACCACTGCTCTAAAGATATATAAGATCTATTACTTTTAACAAATGTGTCGTTCTCTGAGGGGATCTGTTCAGTAATATTTGACATAAAACAGTTAAATAATAGTAAATGTAAACAATTTTCTGGCCAATGTAGTCACACATATTCTGGTGTTCTTCGTCTTATGTGGGTGAGATAACAGAAACGGATAAAAGTTGCTGTTCCACGTGTAATCACCTAAAATGAAACTAGTCAAGCTACAGTCCACACACCATAACTAACTCTGTAGTCCTGCAGGTGTGTCACATTACAAACCCAGAGCGTTAACGGGAGTTTAAGACTAAAACCAGTGAAGAAGAGAGGAGGCAGAGAAACTCTGAGTCAAAACAGTGATCGTTAACTCGAGGAAGATGTCAATGAGATGTCTCTGTTGTAGTGATGAAGTTAAGGCTGCTGGAAAAGATCAGTATTACACACACAAACACAAACACTCACACACTCACACACACACTGAGGTAAACATGGAGTTTGTTTGTAACAGTTAATTAAAAAAGGAAATCAGAAATGTTGCTCTCTAATATCAAACTACAACCTGCTTCTCTCTGCAGTTTACTGGAGGTCCCTGAAGGCATCATATCTGTATATGTTGTGAATGATTATGTTATAAATTAGTTTAGTGAATTGAAAGCATCATAACTATATTCTTGTTCATTTTGAGGGTGTGTTAGCATAATGATAAAACAACACATCAGATAAAATAAATCATACTCTATATACCTGTGGAGAGCTGGGACTGGGACCTCCTCCGGGATATACTGGGAGTTCTGGAGGCGGAGGAGAGGGTGGAGCCCGCGCTGCTTGCGCGAGAGATAGGGAGGGGGACGGGGGTCACCGGGGGGGAGTCCAGCTGAGCAGAGGACACATTTTGAAAAGTCTTAGAGATCATTGACACTAAAGGGTAAAGTCTCGTTACATTTCTGTTGTAAGTGTTGAATGTGAGCTTCTGTACAATTTCAAACTTTATTTGAATATAATACAATAATATAAATAAATGAAGCTTTATTGTACATAGTTTAAATTAGACGTGATACTTGTGTATGGTATACTTTTTTTTGTTCATTTCATTATAATGTAATATAAAATGTCAAAAAAAAAATGAACAACAATAAATGTAATATCACTATTTCATATTCTAATCAAAATAAAAAATAAACAGTTTATGAAAGACTAATGATGTAGCGGACTCATGCTTCAGCGACTGTGCTGTGTGTGTGTGTGTGTGTGTGTGTGTGTGTTACCTCAACGCTATCGTGTGTTGGCGAGGACGAGGTGGACGAGTTCTCGTGTCTTCTAGAGAACGAGGAGGAGAGACTCAACTCGACGCTTCGAACACGCTGAGCAAACTTGAGCGAGCAGACCGACTCGCTCATGTTGTTAGGAAGGGGAGACACCTGAACACAACACAAGTATTATTTTACATTATTTCAAGTTTGATCAAAAGTCCATTAAAGTTTGTTTGTTTAAGCTAACATTGAAAAAATCAGAGTAATTAATAATGTCTGATCTGGTCTCACCTGCACCATCATGAGGGTCTTGCTGTCTCCGTTCAGAGAGTCTTGCAGCAGGTAGGTGAGGCGGGAGTTTCTAAACGGGACATGGGAGTGTTTGCCCCGCAGCGCGTTGATGACATCACCAAGAGCCGACAGAGATTTGTTGATGCACTGGGCTTCTCTGAGGCGACTGCCCTCCGCCCCTGATTTAGCGATCCTCTCTGAGCCTGCCAGGTCCACCAGGTTCAACTTACCTGCAACCAAAAGAGACCAAAAACCTCAGTACTGACTCCTCTGATACAGGCAAGGTCAAAATACCTAATACACAATACACAATTTTTGCATTGAACTCATATCAAGATCTTAGTTTTGAAGATAGTGATTAGCAGTGGTTTCATTTTGACATCACATCATTGATGTTTAATAAAGGAAGTTGATTTCTGGCAATGAGGAAGTACCAAAAGTGTCTGCGCTGGGTCCTGATACTCTACACAGAATTATAATCTACACTTATGCAAGCTGCAAAAAAACACTTATTGACAATTTATATTCTCTATATAAATATTTTATCACTCATGCATAGACTTAAAATGTATCCTTTTATGCAAATATCTCTTCAATGAAGATAATACAATCTTATTTTTGATGATTCCGCCACACAATTGATACAATCTTGTTTGTAAATTACTCCTTTATGCAGACGATACAATGTTGTATTTAAAATATTCCTCTATGCAGATGACACAATGTTTTACGTGAAATACTCCTCTATGCAGACGATACAATGTTGTATGTGAAATACTCCTCTGTGCAGACAATACAATGTTTGATGTGAAATACTCCTCTATGCAGACAACACAATGTTGTATGATAAATACTCCTCTATGCAGACAACACAATGTTGTATGATAAATACTCCTCTATGCAGACAACACAATGTTGTATGATAAATACTCCTCTATGCAGACAACACAATGTTGTATGATAAATACTCCTCTATTCAGATGATACAATATTGTATGCCAATATTCATAATTTAAAGCTACTATCATGTATACGCATAACAATAACAGTGATAAATTGCTATAGTGTAGCCGATATAATTTTACCATGGTTAGAGTAGCCTGTGATGGCACTGTGATAAAACTTCATTAGTTTTGCAGGTCATTTGTCAAGAACCAAAGTAGTGTGCACATTCAAATGTTGATCATGAATATCTGAACCACAATTCATCGAAATACATTTGTTGTTGGTACCTTGTGTGCGGTTTCCAGTCGAAGCATTGAATCCAGACACGGTGATGATGAGCAGAGCGTGAGAGCGAGAGCTGTGCTCGTTTAGGTTGGTGCACGCTGTTGCTCTGTTCATATGACCCAACTCAAACACCTGAGGGCAGGTTACACACAAACACACACGATCAAAATCAGAGGTCAATGTAGAGGACTATTTAAATACTTTCTGTTGAGCTGTAACAAACTATTATTTACATCATCATGACATCTGAAATGTAATTAATCCATCATTTTTATTTATTATCATTATTTTCTTTTTTAACCAAAGGTTCAAAGATTTCCAGTTTTCTCATTTAAGGAAAACAAAGCCAGCAAATAGTCACATGTAAGAAGCACAAGCCATTAATTCATCCACTTATTGTTTCAGCTGATTCCCTCAAAATCTGAAGAAAAACAGGAGATTGACAAACATCTAGGAGCTTCTTTTCTGATATTTCAGGGTTTATAGGCCAGGAAGAAGTTATTATCTGTAAATGAATGAATGCAGCAGGAAATCCTCACCTTATTGATGTCCTCCGGGCTCTGCACAACGAACTCGGTCAGTCCGGGGACGTAGAGCTGTCCGCTGCCGTCAGGGTTCATCTTAATGTCCAGCTTGTCGGTGGGATTCTCTCCCAGCAGGTTCCTGATTAACAACAGATGTGTTTACAACCTGCAGACTATGACTCAGGGCTCACAGAACACCTCACAACACAAACTAGAGAGAGCGACAGTTAACTAAACCCCTCCCCTCAAGCAGTGATATTACAGCATAGGAATGTGTGACAGCAGGTATGTCAGTGTTTTAACCTGGCTCTGTTTATTTTAGCCACATGCAGGTCGCTTTAACCTTGATTCTGTCAGCTTTAGCCCTGGTTCGTTAGCGTGTTAGCACATATCATAGAGTGTATAACATGGACATTTTACACGGGTTCAAGACAGAAACAGCACTTTAAAACATCCTGTGAAGCTAACTTTAGCGTAACCTGTTCCCAGTGATGGTAGACATCTCAATAAATGATGATACTCAGCAGGAGCTGAAGCAGTGAGATTAATTTTCCACATTTGCTGATTTAAAAAAATACTTTCTGTATAAAAATAAACTGCTTTAAACTGTCCTGATCTGTCTGATAATCTGAGTGTTTAATCCGATACACGTTCTCTGAATTCTGAACCTTTTCGCCAAAAACTGTCCCTCCAGCGCACAGATGTTCTGTTACACAACAGCTGGACCGGCGGAGATAAACAGATGGCATTTAATATGATCCTCTTTATATAACTTCTCAGAAACTGCAGGAAACCTGGCACAATGTTTCTTAAGTGTCCTCATCAGGACGTGATCTTCACTACACACGAGGAAGGCATTCATGAAAATAGAGAATTTAACTCGTCTTCTATCTTTACCACTGGAGGGAGCTCACGGGGGATTTTGACCTGATGATGTCATACCCTCTGTATGAAGGTCTTTCAGGACTCTGCATTTACTGCATCTGCCAAGGTTACATTTATGAGGCTCACCTTTACTTACAATATCATGCAAACATTTTCAAACCATCATTAGTGCTTATGATCTCCTCACAGGTTTATTATCACACTCCTGCAACCACTAAGAAAAACGATAAATTGATGCTGCAGAACCAAAGACATCCCACTTTTTAACCTTTTTACATGCCAGAATTTAACATGTAGCTCTAACTTTTTAGCGCGCCATTTTAGGTTGTTTTGTGTAAACATTAGCATGCTATGCTAACATTAAAATCAATGCACAGCCCATCATAAAGGAATGTGGTCTTTTATTCTGATCCCATTTACTTCAAAGTTGTTAAAATCACCCTCCATCACTTTTTGTGATTATAGTGAACATGATAAATAATTCATTTTGTTGATCTACAGTAGTTCATGAATCTTTTCATGGAAGCTCTCCGGTGTGAAAAGGTCGAACCACAGATGGATTTTGTCTTGTCTTCATTTAAATCACTTTTATCTAAAGTTCAGATTTTTAACCTTTTCATCCAAACCCTGAGTTTAAACTGACTAACATCCCTGCAGTCATGAGGACTCCTCCTCTGATCACCATGACAACCAGGATCATCGTGTGTGTGTGTGTGTCGGTCTCACCGCAGCGTCTCGTTGTAGATCTCCACCATGCTGACGGTGATCTTGTAGTCCCAGTCTGGAGCTTTCTCCGTCACCTCAGAGAAGAGGAGGCGGAGCGCTCGCTGGTTGATGCCGGGGTCGTCCAACACGCCCTGGAAACACAAATATGAATAATCGTTATATTGAATGAGGGATGGGAGACTATGGACACTAAACCTGAGCAGCGTTGTGGAAACACGTTAAAGTTGTTTTATTGTCACCTCCATGGTGTACGTTTTCCCCGAACCGGTCTGTCCGTAGGCGAAGATGCAGACGTTGAAGCCGTCGATACAGGAAGTGACTAGAGACTGGACCTCCTGAAACACCTGAAGGACCAATCAGAGGACACAGAATATTTAGTCCCTTTAAGATATTTAAAACTCCAAGTATGAGCTGGTGACAGGAACAAAAACAAACAAAGCTACGTGTGATTACATTATATTTTCATACGGAGCGTGCATACAAATAATTCCTGCCTCGTAAGGGAAGCAAAAAAAACCAAACTAAAACTAAAACAAATTAAATAAAATCACCAGCTTGGAGGAAATGTAACAACTCAGTGTAGGGCAGAAGGGAAAGAAAAACTCTCTTAAAAATAAATTAGGATTCAAGTAAAATCAGGAGAGGATGATCAAGGTATGATACGTACACAACGCTACTTTGAGTTTCATTTAATTTCTATTTTCTTTTCCATTCTCGTTCAATGCGATTATTCAACATCCTGACAGCCTTATACTCATCACTTTTAATAAAACTCTCTCACCACAGATTACATGACAAATTTACATCATCTCCTGCAAGCTTGTGTTACATTATGTGCACTGACACACATCTGCTGCTGTTTTTTTAAGTTTTTGTTTCATTAATTCACTTTTAAAATGAAGCTAAGTGTTGCTTCTGTCCTTCTTTTCCAGGCTGCCAGAACAAGCCGTCATCGATTAAGAACACATTCAGTGAGCTGTAAAACCAATGCATAGCTTTTCTAAGTTAAATAAAAACACAGCAAGCTGGGCGTGATTAAGTAATGCAGGTATAAAGAAAAACTACAAGAGGAGAACTGGATTTGAAACATTGCTGCACAGTCTGCACAGTTTTTATCTTTCACATGTTTTCTGTTCCCACCTCTTCCTGAGTGGCCTGAGGAGAGAACACTTTGTCCAGCTCGAATGTCATGGTTTTGCCCTTGTTGGAGAGGTAGAGGATGGCGTCGTCTTCAGAGTCAAAGCTCAGCATTGTTTTGGAGTCGGCGGAGTCCTGCTCCTCCTGACTGACCGGCCGGACACGGCAGAAAACACGGATGTTACCTGAGGGACACAGAACTGGTTTTAATGGTTTTCAAGCGTTACGTTTGACTTTCACAACCTCCGTTTATCTGGCGTGGAGAAGCAAACAGCATGCAGCGCTTCACAGTGGAAAATAAACTAACACTGAAGTGTGTGGATCGAAGGAATGAATGATCCAAACCTGGCTTTAAGAACACCACAGAGAGTGTGTGAACAAACGAGAACTGGTTTTGGAAACATCAGATAAAAAGACATGAATGTGTTTCAGACCTTTGAGTCGCACCAGCTCGTTGTGACACTTCTTCCTCAGGTTCATCTCTCGCTTGTATTTCCGCAGAAGCTCCTGGTTAGTGCTGCTCACCTCACTGATCACCTGACAGATCTGACACACACACACACACACACACACACACAAACAGAAATATGATCTATGATAAAGGATTCATCTTAATAAAAGACCTAAAATTAAGTTCAAACTAAATAAAGCATATTCACATTGTTTTCCACAGTGAAATTTAAACTCACAGTGATGCAGACAATTAATTCAGTTTTTTTTAAATGTACACGTCCTCTAGGTCAAATAAGAAAACTGTTTCATATAAAAGAAGTCATGTTTGTTTTTATGCAGCATTTTTTAGATGGTGCATACACAACATTGGTATCAGGGCATGTCATTAATGGGATTAGATCCTCAGACAGGTTAATAATATCTAAGAGTCATGAACACTAAATCGACATCTACCGGCATGTCATATCTTCAGGAATGCTTTAAATCAACATCAATGTTGCAGCTCGTCTTTTAACTGTCAAACATGAGCACATCTTGTTTTAGCTTCAGCGGCTCCCTGTGCAGTTTAGGATTATATAAGTGATATCAATCTTTAGACATGCCGGCTCCTTCTTATCTCTCTGACATTTTAAATCTCAATCTGTCATCACAGACGTTCATTTTCACCGATCATTTGCTTCTGACCGTCACAAGGTCGAGGTTTAAAGCTCAGCGTTGACTGAGTTGTTTCAGCAGCAGCAGAGATCTGGACAGTCTGCATCCACACGTCGGTCTGTCCTCCACACTGCCTGCTTTTAAACTTGTCCTTCAAACTCACCTCTATGCCTCAGACACAATAAAATAACTATCAACTCAGCAAGCTATCAAGAAGCATTTCTTTTAGAGACAGGTTGTTTGTTTTTGTCAGAAGATAACTGTTTGTTTGTTTGTATTTTTGAGTTTGGACTGAGACTCTGCAGAAGGTGACTTCTGGGAAAAGGAGTCACACATTGGATCTGTTTTTTCTTGGGACATGTACTTCAGCTCAGGGACTCATTTATTCATCCAAGTCTTCTGAGCACGCTCACTCACCTCTCGCTTGGCCTCTGTGATCGCTTTGTCCAGCATGAAGGGGAAGTCCTGCACCTGCCTCTTCAGACAGTTGTAGTCGGAGGTGAGAGTCCTGAGGGCCGGCTGCAGGCTCAGCAGGTTCATCCGCACTCCTGGAACAACAAAAACAACAAACACAAACATTCAGCGGAGTCAAACACACTCTGACAGAAGTCACCAGAAAGCAAACAAGCGTCTGACCTGCCAGGTTCTCGTGGACCGCCTTCATCTCGCTCTCGGCTCTGATGAACGCCTCCTCGATCACGCGGTTCTTCTCCTCCTCCAGGTTCTGCATCTCGGCCTCCAGCTGACCCTGAGCTCGCTCCATCTCTCCCTCATAGACCAGGATCTGAAGGGGAGCAGAAAGACACGATCAGAGAGGAAGAACTCGAACAGAGACTGGCTGCGACCTGAACTAGAGATCCAGATCTACACTTCAGATGTTAGAGTCTAGAGTTTACTGATCAGATCCACTGTGATAACACACTAACAGGATGCTTTTTAAAGTCGTTTTTTGGGGGACTTTTTGCCTTTAGTGGATAGGAAAGCTGAAGAGAGATAGGAAATGTTGGGAGGAGAGAGAGTGGGGGGATGACAGGCAGCAAAGAGAGGTCGTATTCCAACCTGCCACCCCTGTGATGAAGACTACAGCCTCTGTTCATGAGGCACATGAAATAACCACTAGGCTATCAGCGCCCCAACAGGAGATCTTTTTACATTGTTGTTGTCTTATTTAATAAAAAGTTACAGAATGTTTTGTAGAGCTTGAAAAACAGAAATTTCCCATTTTTATAAAGTTCTTGTTTTTGCTGCTCACAGGCTCAGATTGTTATTCTTAGTGTGAGCAGCAATATACTTTTTTAATTTTTTTTAACCATAAATCCGCCTTTTCATTGCTATCTTCAAAGCCACCAGAGTCAAAAACAGGAAGTCTACCCTGCAGTAAAGGAGCTGCTGGTCAAGATCAGATCGCTCGTCCGTTGTTATTATTATCAATTTATTTTAAAGATTTATTTCAGCTTTTTATGCCTTTATCCTAGAGACAGGACAGTGGATAGAGTTAGGAATCAGGGAGAGAGAGAGAGAGTGGGGAATGAAATGCAGGAAAGGAGCCACAGGTCAGATTTGAACCTGGGCCGCCCGCTTAGAGGACTACAGCCTCCGTAAATGGGCCTTGCGCACTATCCACTAGGCTACTGACATCCTCCCTGTCCATGCTTCTTTTGTGATTTTGGAGTGTTGAACTGATTCACATAAAGAAACTACCCGAGCTAAGCAGCAGTAAATGAGAAACTCCTGATAAAACATGAATTTAATCTGAGAGATAAAACATCAGAACATTAAGAGAAGTTTGTATCTTGTGTATTTTTACTAAACCTAAAACTTCACTGATGTTCTGATGTGCCATGTTCTTATTAATCTCTACTAAAAACTACAAAACATTCATTATTTAGAAGGAGGACTACACATCCAGCCTAGAACCTGAGGAAACATCTACATCAGAAGCTCCCAACCCGATCCAACCGGGAACCTCTGATCTACATCACTAACTCATCATCAGCTGTAGCTACAATAATCCAGCTGGTACCACCACACACAGGTAAGCAGGTCACACAGGAGCACAAGGTTTCCTTAATGGTGTTAAGGGACACAGCTGGGTGCACTGGGAGGTTGATTTTTTTTACTGGGTTCACATCACGGACTGGGAGATCTGACAGAGTCTCACAGGGTCCAAAGGTCCCAGTAAAACCACATCACCTGGTGCCGACATCATGAAGTTAATCCTGTAAAGGTGCCTCACTTGATTCAGAACATTTGGGATTTTTTAAAAACTGTTCTTTAATTGTTTTATTTCAAATTTCTTTGTAGTCTCTCTGGATCACTTGAAAAAGAGACAACTAGTGTGTGCACATCCAATCAAAATGCATACAGGGGCAGGACAAAACTAAAGTTTCCTCTGCAGAAAAAAAAAGAGACAAAGGTCAGCACACTGTTCAGCTCCCAATGAGCCACACTGACCTGAAGAATGGTAGCCCTGTTTGAAATAAAGTAGCTCATTGGGAGCTGAACACTGTGCCGACCTTTCTCTCTTTCTCTGGAGCATTTTGAGATTTTTCTGTCCTGTGTTGTTCCTCTCAGGCTTTACCTGCAGACGCTTCTCAGGGCTACAAAACAGCCTATCAAAAATGTTTTCCAGGATCAACTTTTTAGTTTTTTCCTGACTCAACCCCCTGACCGTGGCCTCAAGTTATACTCACTCCCTCGTATTCAATCAAGGTCTTCTTACATAAATAGATTTAGCTCTTAAGGAGTTTTAGGAGGTATTTGCGGTTTTATTCGGCAGCTTTGGAGCCTGAACTCTCGGTCAGCAGAGAGGTTCACTCTGACTGTGAAATCTTTGAATTTCAGTGATGTAAAGAAGAGGGAGGGGGGGGGAGTGCTGCGCCAACCTTGGACAACCTGCGAACCAACTCGCTGTTTCGCCTGCCGAAGGCCTTGGAGAGGAGGCCGCACAGACGGCTTTGATCGGTGAGCAGCTGCAGCAGCATGCGTGCAGAGAGAAGAAGGTTAACGGAGGAGGTGGAAGGGGTGGGGGGGTTTAAAACTAACTTAAGTGTCACTGACACCATCTAACATCCTCACTTTAAACCTCATCGGCTGCTTCAACACAACTGAGGTTTGAATAAAACAACAGAACTACTACAGGATCAAAAGGGACAGTTAACATGAATATAATACGTTTCAATGAAAATGGATCTTAGCACACAGACGCATTAGCAGTCAGAGCAGCAGACACAGACAATCTCCACACAGAGAGCAGAAAGGTCAACAGACGGATGCGCAGGAGGCAGACACAGCAGCAAACTACCTGCTGGAGCAGACAATCGTCGGTGTTGGCGTTACCTGCGTCCTGAGCTGAGCGCAGCTCCTCTGGGACTCGTGCAGCTGTGTCTCCAGCTCTCTCAGCAGCTGCCTCTGCACAGACAGCTGCTCCTGCAGGCCGGCGTTCTTCACCTGCAGCTCAGCCAGAGCTTTCTGAGAGTCGGCCGACTCCACCTCCACCGTCTGAGTGACATACTGAAAAAAACAAAATACACACTAATTAGACGTCATATTCGACTTCACAGTCAGATTGTAGATCAACCCGGTTATTAAATCGTTTCTGTGACCATCTCCTCCTCACCTTGACTCTAGGGGGCGACGCTGCCTGCCTGGCCAGCTGGTCCTCGCACTCCTGCAGCCGGAGGGTGAGTTTATGCTCGGCCTCGCCCTGCCTCCTCCTCGACTCCTCCAGCTGCCTCCTGCTGTCCTCCAGCTGCCGGGTCGACTCGTCCAGCTGCCGGCGGAGACTCTCCACTCTGGAGGTTTTCTCCAGCAGCTCTCGCTCGAGCTCAGCCAGCCGCCGCTCCCTGTGCCGGGCCTGGCCCTCCCACCGAGACACCTCCCTCCGCAGAGACTCTGCATCCTGCACCACACAAGTTAGGTTTCATTCTAATTGAGTATTTTGAACTTTGGCTTTAAAAGATTCACTGATTAGCAAAATGTCAGATTTATGATGTGTTAGAATTACTTCCAAATAAGCTCATGTGGGAACCTTTAGGTTGCTGTGTTCATATACATGGCTGTGTGTTCATGTACCTGGTGGTGTGTTCATGCACCTGGTGGTGTGTTCATGTACCTGGTGGTGTGTTCATGTACCTGGTGGTGTGTTCATGTACCTGACTGTGTTTTTCATGTACCTGACTGTGTTTTTCATGTACCTGGTGGTGTGTTCATGTACCTGGTGGTGTGTTCATGTACCTGGTGGTGTGTTCATGTACCTGGAGGTGTGTTCATGTACCTGGAGGTGTGTTCATGTACCTGGTGGTGTGTTCATGTACCTGGAGGTGTGTTCATGTACCTGGTGGTGTGTTCATGTACCTGGTGGTGTGTTCATGTACCTGTGTGTATGTATATATACCTGACTGTGAGGGCAGTGGCTGCAGCTGCAGGTCTCTGCAGCAGCGTCGAGGTTCAGCAGCTCGGAGCTCTTGCATGACTTCAGCTCCTGCTTCAGACGCTGGTTCTCCACCACCAGCAGCTCCAGCTGCTTCTCCAGGTCTGTCGCCCCCTACAGGACACAATGAGGCATGCCATTTTAAATTGAATACTGTAAAATAAAAACGTAAAGGTAAATAACAGGGCTTTCAAAGGATAGGTAAAAACAATTGTGATGAATTGCCTTGTCTTAAAACGGAAAAAGGAACTTTTTAGGGAGTTAAAGTAGCTAAAGAGAACGTGAATGAAGTCAAATGTTTGATGTCATAAGGTGGATATTAGTTTTGACCCATCAAGGAGTCATTCAAAGGTGCACTTGTGTTCTTTTCCATCACCATGACTACAGGGAGAAGCTGCAGTGGCTTACCTACGGCGCGCCTAAAGGGACAAAATAGCAGGTGATTTATGAGACTTTATGAGAAATTAATGTGTTAACGCTGACAGCCCGAGTAAATACATTTTACACCGAGGTTACACAACAGAGCGATAACCTGTCTGGTATTATGTCGACTATTTGTCTTAGTGATACTTTATCTCTGCTCCTCTGTGTGACCTCACTCTCTCACCTAAACACAGGTACGTGTTCTTAAGTGTCTGAGTGTGTGTGTGGTTTTTCCCAGGGTTCCCTCAGGAATGTGATCCAACAGATTCTCACCAGTTCAGAGCGGAGTCTCTCCACCTCCTGAGTCTGATCCAACAGCTTCTTCTCCAGCTCCACCACCTGAAAAAAACCACAACGACACATGAAAAAAAGAATGACTCACTAAACACGTTTTTATTTATAAACACTTATTTTTTGAATACTATTTGTTTAACCAGGTGAAAAAAAATCCAAATATCTACAATAGGTTAAGAAAAAAATTAATTTACTGATCCTACTGGGTGGGATTTGCTGTTTTAAAAAAAAAATCTAATGTACATGTAGGATTTAATGTGGTAGGAAGAAGCAATTCAACACAGATCTTCTCCTTCAACTCTGCAGAAAAAACATGACTTCAGACCTGAATGACGGCAGCTGCTCAGCCTGAAGGATCAGTTTGAATCGTATAATAAATCTGTCAAAGTGGTTTCACAGGTGATGCTGACACATGCAGATCAGACTGACAGATGACGGCTAACGTGTGATTATGCACGTCAGGGAAAGTTTGTCAAAGCTGAGTGTGTGAACACAGATGACTGCGTCCTTTGACTCTACAAGACGACCTTCATCTTACACGTCAGACGTTTAACAAACAGAGAGATGTGGTGCAAAGACACTGAGTGAGGTTTGGAGGAACTGTTAATGAAGAATATATCACAAGACACTAAAAGGCTTAGAAGGAGAGACACACAGAGACGCACCGAAGACGTGGTGAAGAAGAGGATTAAAAAAAACCTACAGTATTTGTAGGAGCGCAGCGTTATGCAGAATGAGTGTTGTTGGTTTCACTTGATATATAGAACTTTATTTCCTGGAGCTTTGACTCTAATGGACACTACTGGACCATTTCAGAACATGCAGCCTGTTAAAGACTGGCTCCACAGCTGGATGGAAACAGCTGGATGGAAACAGCTGGATGGAAACAGCTGGGTTTCTCACCGTTGGGCACTGCAGACGTCTGAACTCCTCCGACACTGACGCCCGTCTTCTCGTAGACGCTCTGCTGCTGCAGCTGCTGGAGCAGCAGATGACGGGTGACTTCTTCAGAGCGAAGACGAGCCTGAAACTCGCTCACTTTGTCCTGTAGAGTCTGAACCCAAACACACACACAGGTCACATATTGATAGAGTTAGCATAACTTTGTAGTCATCTTGAGCTGATTCAAAGGAGAGAAAGCTGCAGAAACTGAGATTTGTCTTTTACACATCTACAGCTCTAACACATCTGTCAGGCAGTGAAACCATGCAGGAAGGGATAGAACAACGAGGAAGCTAAAGGTAATATGAAGAGGAAGAGGAGGGAAAAGAAAAGTAGTTCTTAGTCAAAACAGAAACTATGAGACATGAGAAGGTCAATGAAGGTTCTTTACGTTAGCAGGTGTCCACAAGTAGGACCAGGTGACATTCTGCAGACATGAACAGCGTGGAAAATGAAGGACAGCACAGCATGAGAGAGACGTGAGAACAGAGAGGCTGAGACAAGAGAAAGCTGCAGAAACTGAGATTTGTCTTTTACACATCTACAGCTCTAACACATCTGTCAGGCAGTGAAACCATGCAGGAAGGGATAGAACAACGAGGAAGCTAAAGGTAATATGAAGAGGAAGAGGAGGGAAAAGAAAAGTAGTTCTTAGTCAAAACAGAAACTATGAGACATGAGAAGGTCAATGAAGGTTCTTTACGTTAGCAGGTGTCCACAAGTAGGACCAGGTGACATTCTGCAGACATGAACAGCGTGGAAAATGAAGGACAGCACAGCATGAGAGGAGACGTGAGAACAGAGAGGCTGAGACAAGACAGACAATAAAACATCAGCACAAAGTGTCACATGCAAAATATTCAATGTTTATTCCAATGCAGATATCATCATCTAAAGGCCCACATACAGATCAGAACTAGTAAGTCCAGGCAAGTACACAAGTCAGTGTATCGATCTATTAACGTCATCTGTCAGCTAAATATCTGCTTTATTCCGCTTTCTGAAACCAAATGGTATTATGAAACCTGAAGTTCAACACCGACCGACATCTTCAGGAGGATTTAATTTGAGCTGAATTCAGCAAAAATGTTCCCTTCAATTTTGCTGTGAGCTAACCAGATGCAGCGTGTGTGTGTGTGTGTGTGTGTGTGTGTGTGTGTGTGTGTGTGAAGCATCATGCAGAGTGACAAAAACATCAGACTGGATCAACAATAATGTCAGAGATGTGATGAGCGGGTCGACAGGACGTCTCCTCCGAGGTGTAGACAGAGATAGAGTTTGTGCTGAGGTCAGCGATGACTCAGCGCTGGCCTTGTCACTCTCACACACACACACACACACCCACACACACACCCACACACACCTGTATGAGCAGCTGCTGGCTGGGTGCGTTTGTTTCGTTCAGCTCTGTGGTCAGAGAGGGGCGCTGTGAGAAGGCGGCGGTTGGCAGAGACAGGAAGGAGCCGTCGTCTTCACCATCACTCATCAGGAAGTCCACTGAGCTCGCTACGGACACAAGAAGGACAAAAACAGTTTGTCTTCATTTTATTTCTTTTTGAGGTTATAAAGCATTTTTAGTAGAACAGCTAAACATCTGTTCTATGAATTGATTAAAAAGTGAACAGTTACAGTTTGATGTTTCACTGCCTGGCTTTTCTTTTGAGACCGCGCCTGATCAGAGCCTCTTCATCCCACTGTTAGGGGGGGAAGCATGTGTGGACACTGCATTTGAGGAATCAATGCAATAAATGTATATATCTATATCTATATATATCTATATCTATATATATATATATATATATATATATATATCTGTTCAGGTCGAAGACAAATCTAAACAAAGATATCGTCATATATATCAGTGTCGATATCGGCCCCAAAAATCTCATATCAGTCGGGCCCTAGTTTTCATGTAAATAAAAGTTTAATGACTCAACGTCTGAATTAAAGGGTGAACACTACCTCAGCACACACTCACACCTTTGCAGAGTAAACATGAAGCGTTAAGTGCAGGTTTCTGCTCACACTCCTGTAGCTCAATGTTGAAACCTTCTTGAGTAAGAACTCCACATACCTTCCTCTCTGTGTGTGTGTGTGCACACGGGAAAAGTCTAAGTCCCTCAGGAGAACAAGGGTTCTCCAAATAAACTGAGTCCATGTAAGCAGATTTGTGATGACTGATTATTGAAGTTTGGCACCAAAAGGAGAAATAACCTGAATTCTTGTCCTGACTCAGCTCAGAAGTTCTCGCTCTGCCTGCTGCCGACTACACCTGCACTCGTCCTGAAAACCAGTCCGACCAGATAACAGGTGATAACAGCTCCGATACATTAACCTGCTCGAAACTATGAGTGTAACAGTGTGTGTGTGTGTGTGTGTGTGTGTGTGTGTGTGTGTGTGTGTGTGTGTGTGTGTGTGTGAGCATGTGTGTAGTCACAAGTTTTCTACAAGGCCTCCAATCTTATCAACCTGAGAACAATCTGCACTCTGTGTGAGAAATCTGAGCATTACACAGACTTACACACACACACACTTTAAACACCGAGCTGAACCGACACAGTGACTGACTAGAAAACAGGATTATAAACACATACACACACACACGTTCCTGCTGGAAAACCCTGTGTTTGCTTTGTCATGATGACTTCTGACAGTTTGTGCTGAAAAGGTTGGAAAATAAAGTCGAGATTTCTAGTCTGAAACGTCTGTGTGTTCCTATCGCAGCGTTTTTTAAATGTACATTAGAGAAGATTGAATCAGTGGAAAACAAACATTTATCAACATGTGTAGGAGGTAAGACCTTTTCTTTAAATCAGTAAACATCTTTAAATTACTCTCTTTACAGCCAGTTTCTGTTAAAAACAAATGCTGTACTGCATGGAAACATCGCTCAAACACCCAAAACAAGCAAGCTAACCCGTGGAGACAACAAGAGATCAGAGTCAGAAATACTTCATTCGTCCTCAGGGGGGAATTCAATTGTCACAGTTACTCTTAAAAACAACATAGCTGTAAAAATATTCAGAGAAATATGAGTAAAATAAGGAAGGTAAATAAGTTGTAAAGCAATAAGCACAAGAAATAGTGTTTGAAGAATTTTGCTATGCACAAGGGCTGTGCTCTAAAAAAAAAAAAAAAAATCTATACCGTCATGTGCTTCTTGTTAGTATGTATGGATGCAGATGTTACAGAGTTTAGCTGCAGAGCTGTGATGACAGATTTGAAAGGCCATCGACCGAGGGTGCAGTAGCCATAGGATTGACGTGGACATGGGATTCAAATGTTTGAATGTGTTTCTAGGATCTCTGAGGATCTGAAGTGAAGTGTTTGAAGTTGTAGGATCCTTAATACACCTCTGCTGTTATTCTCAACAATAAAGAACAGCTGTTGCAGTGGAGTCTGTGTAGGACGTGGTCATTATCCAAAATAAATCTTTATCACGACAACCCAAAATGTAAATAAAAAGGGACACAGTTTAAAAACACAAGCGACCCTTTGACAGTAAGAATAAAGGGTCTCTTCAACAGGCACCTCTAAGAGTCTGTGCAGACGATAACTATAATCCTGACTTTCACTCCGATTCAAATATCCAGCAGCAGTTTGAGTTTATTGATGTTAGCTTCAATGAGAATCATTTGATTCACATGCTGAAACTCCGCTAACAGACGTAGTCAAACATCACGGATAGAAAACAAAGACCGTTACCATGGCTACTCTGAGACGGTGATGCACAACTCAGGCATGTTTATAAGGTTGCATAACTTTTCTGAGTGAAGCTATGAAATTAGTCAGGACATGGAAAACATTTCCTAATTCATAAATTAGCTTTGAGTCGCGTCGGGACGGCAGGTACAAACAAGCTGCAACGCTAATTAGCTGGCAACAAACTGATGTTTGTGAGCACGCTACCTGAATGACCGCAGAAACAAAAAAAAACTAGCGGTGTGAATGAAACGCTGCGTCACTTTTAAAGTTAGTTTACATCCTGAAATGAGGTTCAGACACGGAAAATTCTGTTCCAACTCTGTTAACGGTGAATACAGATCTTTAAAGGCAGGATTCTTCATTTTCTCCAGATACACTTTTTAACATTTTGGTTGAAGATGTCTTTAGGTCCTGACAGACATTAATAACTCATGTTCTCTGAAAAAAGGAACAAAGAAAATCCATCATCAGTAGCCGTTGTAAGCCTGTAAAAACGTTGACCAATGTCTGCCACGAGGTACCAATCTGATGAACCAATCACACGCCTCCCTGCTCGCTCTCTTCCTGTTGTGTGCAATAAAAAAAACAAAAAAAAACACTTGGTCCGTAGGCTACATGTATCATGGTGAGAAAAGTATTTTTCAGCTCACTCCTGAACGTGTAGATGTTAAATTTCTCAAGAGCCGACAAAAAAAATCAGAATTAAATGAATTGTGAAGAGGCTCAAAAGGTTTTATTTCACTTTCATACAGAACTTTATGTTGGTTTTAAAAAGGCTTTTCATTAGTGTGGCATCATTTTGTTAGCAGCTCTGTTAAATAGGGACAGTCATACGTTGATTTTAAGCGAGAGCGTTGTTGTTTTATTAGTTCAAACTGTTTGTTTTGAATAGAGATGGGACTGATCTTATATCGGGTCTGATATTGAAGATATTCACAAATCGGATATCGTACTGACCGCGCCGATCCACCTCACTGATAAAGAAAGATGGTTGTTCACTTTAAACAGTCTCACTCTGAAGACGTTCAGACTGAACTGTAAGAAGACAACACAATGCAATTCTGGGTTTACTACTGCTTCGTGTAGCCTCACAGACAACACCAACAACATCATTAGTTATGATAATAAAAATATCGGAATCAGTCGGCTATCGTTATCGGATCTGAAAATGAGTGGATCTGTGCATCTCTAGTTTTGAATGAATTCGTGTGTCATGTAACTCTTGTGCTTCTATAATAGTTTCAATGTAACATAAACTGAGAAAAGATGTGCATCATTCAGCTCATTAATTATCAACGATTAATCGATTAATGATCGTTAAAGTGTTTGACAATCGGTTCAGAAAAATGACTCAAATTTGCAGCCTAATCACAACCATCGAGTGCCACGTGTTAGGTGAAAGTTTAAGCTGTCAGCATGCTATTCTCTTTTTAGTTTCATGATGTAAATTAAGTAAACTTACAATGAAAACATTGCAGGAGATTTTTACCTCAAATGTCTTTGATTGAATTCTCAGACGCCCAAAATAAAGTAAAGACCTGAGCACAGGAAACGTAGATGCTGATTATTCTGAGCAGCTCTGAACGTCAGAAACTTTTTTTAACAGATTCATTAACAAATAAATATGTTTGGATGCAGAACAGTTTAAAACTGAAGAAGAAACTCTGCCTGAGAAGGAAAAGAAAGAGAAACTTCTCTCTCACTCTCTCTCTCTCTCTCTCTCTCTCTCTCTCTGTGTCTGACAAAAGCTCCTGTGTTGTAAACCTGATCCAAGGTCTCTCCGGGGACTCGGACTGTAAACCGATCAGCTGAGAGAAACACTCAATAACATAACAAACACATCAATAAATAAATATGTTCAGCTCACCTGTTCGTCCCCCTCACTCACACACTCGGGTTTCCTCTGCCTCTCACTATCCAGCTCCATTCATTACTAACAGGTCTGACTCACCTCTCTGTACACACACACACCTACACACTCAACACACACACACACACACACACACACTCTCTGCTGTCATGCCAAAAAATGCAGCCACACTGCTGGAGGTTTTTTTTTTCTGTTTAAAGCTCCCTCCTCCGTCTGACTCACCGTCCAATGAGATGTCTTTTTTCCAAAGATCTTGCAGGCAGGGGGCGTGGCCGAGGTCCCAGGTCTTTCTTGTGCTGAACATGACCGCCGGGCTGAGCAGAGCGCTGGACCGCTGGACCGGCTGGAGACACAGGGAGGAAGAGTGTTGGACCTCTTTTTTTTTTTTTTTTTTTAAAGAATCAGAGAAACACAGAGAGCTGCCACTTTCCTCTGATATTAGGCTCAGGATGGAAAGATCAAATGTTGTGATGATTTGTTTATTGTACAAAGAAAATCAAGAAACTACAAATCAACTGAGTGAAAATCTGAAGAGAAACTCTGAAATAATTCACGTAAAAAAAACAAATCACACTTGCACAAAACTCTTGAAAAAGTCCTGATGTCTTTCAGGGTGAGCTGTATGTGTGAACCCGGTTTATCTCTCAGAGTTAATCTGGAGTTTCTCCTGCCAGCCCCCTGGTATTGTTTCTGCACAAAAAAAACCCTCACATATCAGCTATTTGATCTGACACAACATAGAGCAAGGTGTCACTTTGATCAAATCAGGGATACAGCCTCAGTCGTATTCTTTTCAGCCTTCATTAATTTAGTCAAACTGTCTCCATCGTCAGGTGCTTTCAGCTTTTAGAAGCCAACACAAGATTCAAAGATTGTTTCACCACTGCCTAAAAGAGATGATTCTTTATTATTTGAGATGATGAGATGAGATTCAACTTTATTGTCATTACACATATACAAGTATAGAGTAACGAAATGAGGTTTGGCATCTCACCAGAAGTGCAAATAAGCAGAAAGTGCAATAGTCTGTGCTATGTACAGTATTACAAAATTTACAGATGTAGACAAAAAAAGTGAATTATTAAGTATATCTGGATGGCTGGATTAATGGGATGCTATAAATATAAATAAATGCTATAAATAAGTAATGCTACAAAATAAGTGTAAGTGTATTCTTAGGAGCCCATTCTGTCTGAGCCCATCTAAGCATCAATCAATACTCTGATTTTTAAACGTACAGGATGTAGAATTTTAAGACGTTTACATCAAATATCTTCATTAAAAGCAGAGAGTAGCACAGAGAACTCCCATGATTCCCCGCCAGCCTCTACTGTAAGTCTTTTGATGCAGAATGTACAGATTGTGTTTTTAAGTACGTCAAAAAAGATCTGTGAGTATGCTCGATTCTATCTCCAATGAATGAAACAAAGTTTGAAGAGGGGAAATTCTTTTCTCTTTTTGGAATATTCCTGCAGGAGCAAAACACCAGTTATTCTCAACAGAACTCAATCGTACTCGCACACTTACGACACCTTGGGAAACTTTCTACCACTCAAAGATATCAAGTCTTAAATTTAGCGACCCTGCAATCTCCCAAACTTTGTAAAGTCTTGAAGATGGTGATTAAAATACCTTTAGAGGGTCTTTTCACAGTCTATGTGAGTGTTTGCTTACTGCATTAAGCCCTCCGTTCAGGACTCTGCACTCTAAGAAGTAAACACAACAGAGAACCAGAACATGTTCATAAACAGAGCCATCAAACTCACCACAGAGACTCAAGAGGATCAGAGGAGACCAAAGACTCCAGACACAGAACAGGCCGAGAGTAGAAGTGATCGAATCAGCTTCGATCTGAGCACACAGTCCACACTGACAGACCTCGACTCTTTCTACTTTGACCCTTCACATGCGGCCCTCACACACTTTCACACTGCACGCCTGTCCTCAGGTAAGTCTGTAAGGGGTTTAAACGCTCTGCATGTAGGTGGGAGGTCAGGATCTGCCTTTATGATCTTATGAACATCACTGATGTAGAACTTCCATGGTGAGATTGTTAGCATGCTAACACACTAATGTAACCCAAACCTGCTAAAAATTAGCATGTTGAAATTTTATTGTTAGCATGTTACAATGAACCAGGACGACGAAAGCTGCTAGCAAGGCTGATACCGAGCATTTAACTGCATATGAAAGCAAAGCAAGTCTGTCCTAAGTTCTAACCTGCGTTTTCAACAATCTTTCATTAAACAAAACAACAATAAATTCAGATTTACACAAAAAAAAATCCTGAGTAAGGTAAATCACATGTAGGGACATAAGGTGGCTAAATATGTGCAAACTAAGATTGTCATTATTTTACTGAGTCTATACTAGCGTGTGTTCTAAAATGATACATCTGTTATTTTATAAAGCGACAGAATCATATTTCATAGTCATATTTCTGATCAACAACTGCGGTGAGCGAAAGAGAGCGAGCAGTGTCTGAATGAAATGGCCTCATTAGTCTAGTGTCCAGCCTCACCTGTGGGACCCCGCTAATCCAACAACAGCCTCCCAAACCTGACCCTCTCTCTTCTTACCCGTCCATGTCCACAGCGAGGTGTCAGCTCTGACGGATGAACGTATCGCTCTCTGTCCAGCAGGCTCTTGTTGATCAGAGTTCCCACCCAGCCAAACATGCTGTCGTTCATTCCTCACATCCTCTGAACTGGTCCCAGTCAGTCCAGTCACACAGAACCACTGACCGGCCGCTGAGCTACGATAACTCCGTCTAGCCTGGAGTCAGTTAACCTGCCTGCAGTCTCTATCCTGGATAACGTCAGGATTATCAACATCTGATCTGAGACCAGCTGACGGGAGACGTTCCTGGGTAAAGATGAACTCAGAGCGAGTGTAATCTGTTAATCCGCGGAGCAGATGGTCTAGTTAACCCCTCGACTGACTGCAGGTTCAGACTGAGAGGTTAATGAGTGACTGGAACTCTCACTCTCCTGGTAGTAAAAACAAACACAACATGGCTACTCATGTACAAAAGCTACAGTCCTCAAAAACATTCAGCCCAGGTTCATGCCCAACCTGTGGCTCCTTTGCCACATGTCATTCCCCACTCTCGCTCCCTCCAAGAGTACTTCCGTCCATAGAAAGATGGATACATATCTATACTTAAAAGATCTTAAACTGGGAAAATATGGGGTAACAGCAACGAACAATGAACAATACAGAGTCAATTTAGACTGTCTGCAGGTTCACGTCTGAACACTCGGGCTAAATGTGGACACCTATTGCTTTTCTCAATAAGCCAGTTTAACCTGAAACAACCTACATACAACTTCATCTCAGTTTTCTTAGATCAAACTACTGCCAGACACGCTGCTCCTACAAGATGCGAACTGTTCTCTGTACTTGTTTACATCCAGGTAGTAGAGCCAGAAGAATGCCCACTGGTCCACAGCCCGTCTATGTAATGCCACAATGCAATCCTATACCCTATCAACACTCATCTAACAATGATTTAGCATTCATTATTGTCCAAATGTGCAAACAGGCGCAGCTAACAATCTGCTCTTAGACTTTGCCAATCAACAACAAATCCATTCTCACTTCCTACATTGTTAGTCAGTCAGTAAACGATGGCAACGCACAGAAAAAGTGGTTGGAAGTTGTTTATCGCAAACTGCTGGCTGCTCCAGAAATCCTGAAAACCAGGCCGTCACTCCCTGAAACTATAATCTAATTCCATGAAATGTCTTCTCATGCAATCATCAGGTCTTCTTTTAAACATCTAGTGTATATTATTATTTAATACCCGCAGAACATATGACATTCCTAAACTCATTTTAGCCCAATGCTAATCATCTACATATTAAAACTTGCAGTCCAAAATATATAAAATAGACTGTGTTTTCTGCTCCAAGCAATATTTCAGCACCAATTCTAACAAGCACATCAGCATTCCTTTGATATTTAAACCCTCAACAGAGGAAGGTCACACACACACCCACACACACACACCCACACACACACCCTCTCTCTAGATGCATTGTGAAAGTGGATTAAAGCTTAGAGTATGGAGTAAGATGCTTGAATGACACACACACATATACAGTATATGAGAGTATTATTAATGTTGACAGCTGCTGACATATTTCTCCCTGCAGACTGCAGAGCTCAGGTTAACCATTCAAACTGCCTGTTATCATACACACACACACACACAACCAAACACACATACACATATTCACACTCTGATTTTACCCTGGTCAGGTAAATGCAGAATACATTATTTGGACAGCTCTGACTGATTTTGTACACGTCTTTAGCAGGACCGGTTGTATGTTGCAGCACTGAGGTTCAGTTCAGTTGATCATTTCTTCCTGCAGTAAACGATGAACACGTGGAAGGCTGTGTTATTTTCCATCTACAGTTTCCATCCAGCAGTTTAAGGTTTCCTGGCTGTAAAAAAGTGGCAGAGAGACATGTGCTGCAGTCTGACACCTTCACAGTCCACACGTCTGTTCACACCAAGCAGCAACCTCCAGTGTTGAAAAATGAAGCCGACGCAGAAGCGCAAAATCCTGCAGTTCATCGAGTGTCCACTAGAGGCCGGCTGCAGAAGGACCAGAAGTCACATCCAGCTCTCAGTCTGTCGTTAGGTTGACTGAAAGTTAGGCTGAGACAGCTTTTCCAGCATGGAGACCACCACTGATGGGACTCTAGAGCCCACCACTGTAACAGATGGGTGACGTCACTCAGGCTTTGTCCATTAATATCAACAGTCTATTGTCTACACACACCTCAACACACAGACCCTGGATCAGTCTGACACACAATTTACTGATGGCTCATTACTGCTCACAGGTGGAAGTACACACTCAGATCTCTACGAAGAAATTAAACATGAAATGTTCCTTTAATTGAGTTTTCTTGTAAAGTAACGTCTCCTTTAACTCGTATGTTATTCAATGCAAGTCAAAATCACTAAAGGATATAAAATGAATGTCCTTATCCAATCTTAAGTACTGGTATTAAAGATGCTTAAGGCCTTTTTTCTTCATAGCTATATTCAGCATTATTCATGTGTGAGAGCAGAGACTGAGCCACGCCCATGATGACGACACACCATAAATAAAGTCAACTGCAGAACACAGGAGCTGCTCTTCTCCCACTGCGAAGAGAGTGGGACCTGAAAAAATATTTAAAATTCAAGACAATAAAAGTAAAAACATAGTACAAATGAAACTGAAGCGGCAGGAGAAGACCTGCAAAGCAGTGCGATGCAACAATTCATTTAAAAAAGATCTTAAATGAACATGAAGGTTCATCTTTTCAGATCATTTCTGTAATGCTTTCAGATGCTAAGAGTAAGAGCAGCCTGTGCTTTCAGGAGACGACAATGATCAGGTGTATTTCTCCCCAAGGATTAAATTACAGTCTTTACATCAGCAGTCTGAAGGTATTCACTGGTGTAATTTAAAAACTTTTGGTTTGGTTAGTCCACATTCCCCATGTACAGAGGCTAAAGTCCGTCAAGCGGGCAGCCTGGGTTCAAATATCGACCTGTGGCTCCTTTCCCCGCATTTCATTAACCTCTCTCTCTCTCTCTCCCTGGATGCGGACTCTATCCACCGTCCATTTCTGAAAAAAAAAAGACATAAAAAGCCCCAAATAAATCTTAATTTTTTTTTTGTCATTTTAAAGTCAGAGCCCCAGTTTAACAACATTGGAACTAGGGCGTTCCAGGTGACTTGTTTTTTAGCGTGTTAAAAGGAAATTTAAATTCACATTACGCGACTAGTCTAAAGCGAAGACAACACTCAGAAAAAAGTCAAAATTGAGAACTATTTCTTTGAAATGGTCTGCAAGCAAAAAATTGTAGCTTCCTCCTTGCCGGATCAGATCTGCATGCCGGTGCTAAATGTGGTTTACTTATTGCTGTGGTCGATATGCAATAGACCAAAATACTGCCAGAGGGGCTGCACCCACAAGACGCCAACCGTTCTCTGTTCTTGTTTACATCTCGGCAGCAGAGCCAGAAGAATGCAGATTAGCCACGTATGGCTTTGTTAGACCCACGTTGTGGATCAACAAATAAAAAATTAATAATTTTACAGAGCTTAGTCCAAGCTGCAGATGTGTTCTGACTCCCAGGAGTGACCTGGCTGACGCGCTATACCGTTTGCTCTATATGTTGCTTCAATAACACTTCTGCAGGCGTGCCTTTGGTTTGCAGAAAAACACAATCCATGTTATTGTAGCATCATGTGCAATGTGAATTCAGCGTCCAACAGTTTCCATTCATTGAGCAAACAAACAATACAGCTGTGGTTTCTCCATGCCGCCTGACGGACAGCGGTCAAAAACCACGTGCCCTTCCGGGGTCAGTACCTTTGACAAGTCATGTACCTATATACCTGCACACTAAGGAATAGGACAGCGACACAATAATCACTGAGTTTACAGCTTGACCCAAAAACATGAATATGGCTGTTACACATGTTTAATCGTCATGTAATTCTTCATGCAGAGACGGTGACATTTAACCATTTAATCAGCTAGTTACGCACATCCCTACATGAAACCATCTTAAAATGTTGAAATATTCATAAATATGCAGTCACCATATTAAAACACATCACACAAAAAAAATCACCAAATGTGCAGCACATCCTCTGTTTACCTCCCTCCAAGATACCCCCCCCCTCCTCCCCTAAAACTGGGTCAAATCATCTCTTTCTGTTTTCTCCATGTGCTCAGAGTCAAACCATGTTGGCTCACACACACACACAGAGCCTTTCTTACAACTGAACCACACTACAGATACTCTGCAGGACAGCTCCGTTATAAAAATTAAATCCAGATACTGAGACATCAATTAGATTAACGATGTGTTTAAGAGATCTGTCTTTCTGCATCAGCGTTTCCAGACACACATGAAACAATTGAAGTCATTGAAAGCATCCTGCAGCTTTGAAGTCACTCACTGAGCTAAAAATATCCTCCTGTAGTTTGGCCTACACATGCTGTCCGGCACGTTACCTTACAGAGACCCCGATGACTTCATAATTTTAGCGTGCAGACGACCTCCCTTATCCTCTGCTTCCTGATTTTGGGCCCTCACCTGCGGTTGGGTGTGAACACTATCCTGGTGTGAGGCTTGGCAGAGAGCGTTTTTCAGCAGGCTGCTTCGTTTTTAATTTTAAAAAAAATTAAAAAGAGGTAATTTTGTGATTATAAAAGCAAAAATCTGCTTTAGAGAACCACAGGAAAAAAAAAAAATTACATGTGGAACGCGCTGAGGCAGAAAAAAAAAAAAACGTAGGAGAGAGAAAACATTACCAGACAAAAGGAGGATTATCAGGGTGGGTGAGGGAATCCAAACAGATGAAAATAAAAGACAAAATGAAGCTGAAAGCTGCTCTCCTCTGAACATACGGAGAATATATCGAGGTCATCAGAGGGAATACGACACTCTGCATCAGGTTACAGTCAGACCTCCATCTCACTGGATTACCCTCCGTCTCTATTCAACATGTCTGTTCCCTGTGCAGCGTCTCTCCCCTCAGACCTCCATCTCTCCATCTTTGTGTCCGTCCGGTCGGTTCTCTTACCTCCCTCCCTGCGGCCTCCAGGTCCCCATCATTGCTGCATCTCGCTCCTTGCTGCAGCCTCACGCCAACACACAGCGACACACACGCACACACACACACACAGCAGGATCAGTGTCAAAGCCACCAGCCGACCCCCTCAGCACACACACCAACAGCTTCCTCCCTCTCTGTTCCCCTAGCAACAGCACAGCAGCATCACACCTCCTGAAGCCCGCCCCCTCTCCCTCCCTCCCTCTATCCCATCCATGGATAAATATTTCAGCCTCAACTGAAGCGTGAGGAGCTGCTCCTCCCCCCGCTGAAATATTAAACAGCCCAATGTGTGTGTGTTCACACATGTGTGTTTTTAGGAAAGTGAAAAATGGAAAAACATAATCACTAGAATGAACTATAGCTTCAGTTTGAGTTATTTAACCCTCTGTAATACTGTTTATTTTGATTAATTCTGCTCCACAAATGTTTTAAAGTTAACCATTTCATCATTTTTTTTCAATCAGTTTCATAATGAGGCTTTTGAAACAGTACCAGCTTCTGTCCTTTCTTAATAATCTTTCATGAATACATGCACAGGACTGAACTTAAAGGGGAACTTAACCCCGTCACCATCAGCCGCAACATCACACAGTGTGAGATAGACAAACACATCGACAGATTAGCACCTTTAGGTTTCTAGAAGCAGCAATGACACTTTTGTGACAGTTAGCAGAGGCAGCATGGTGGAGGACAGGGAGGAGGGCGTATCTGAATGACTTTAACATCTTTAAACAATTAGACCTGTTTTTTCACAGCAAGCCACTTACATTTCAGATACAATCATCAGCAAAAATTCTCTTAATCCACTTCAATCCCAATAGTTTTTTTAATTTAAAAAAAACAGGGGACGCATCATGACAATAAAACCTGCAGGAGGAGAGCCTATATTCTCCCGTCAGCGCTCAGCAGTCAGATTATCGTGGTCAGATGATGATAAATCTGTGGTTATATAACTCCTGATCTGACTGACAGAGGCTCGACCCAGAGCGCCGCAACATGTAACAGGATTTCAGCCATTAAAGTTTCCCGTCATGCCTTCCAACGCGTCACACGATCGAAGAATGTCACGCTGAGAACCGGACACACCAGATTTAACTGGAATGTACCAACACTGACATGTACATTAAGTCCCTGAACACAGCACGGAGGTGATGAAGCTTCAGGTGGCGTTCAGAAGGTAGAAAAGTCGGCATTAAAAGACATGAGAGACTAAAGAGGCTGGTCAGGGCTTGTCCTGCACTCTGGACCAACAAAAAGGCCTCATAAAGGTTTCTTACAAGACCTTTAAAAAGACTCTATAAAGTCCTGATAATGACCTGACTGTGGAAGGTCTACCCGTGGTGTTTTGTTTCCTGGGTTTTGAAGTCTGTTCATGACTTGACATGACTTCATACACACTGCATTGATTAAATTGGATGTGCACATGAAGGGGCGTGATAAACACAGTCTGAGTGTATTCAAATGGTAACATTACCTGCTCAGTTTTAATCAGAGTGGAGTCAATCAATCAGTCTATCAATACAGCAACGAATCAAAATGCTTTTGACTCCGAGATGAGGCTGAGACCGATTTGGAGTACTCCAACACTACAAAAGTGATCTCAGGACACAGACAGAACAAAAATGTGACCTCTAGACTGTAATAATAAATGTATTGATTTAAGAGACCTAACATTAATCCAATGATGTTCCTTATTCCATAGTTTAGTTAATGTTGTTACCTCTCACTTCCCATAGTTTCTTCCAAAAATAAAAGCAGGTTTGTATCCATACAAGAAGTACCCTTAGCTTAAGGTCAAAATAAAAGCATTACTAAAACCGTTTGCATGTTTTAACTTCCATTATTTTTGCGTTTTCAATTAATGTGAATAATTGTGATTACCTATTGGAAGTCAGCGACTAATCATGATTAAAAAATTAAAGTTTGAGAGCCGTACACACAACCCAGTTCCCGTACAGTGATGAGTATCCTTTCGGCAGATTCTCACCAATCGGAGCTCTGAAATAATGGACAGATGCTTGCTAGTTTACAGCGTACGGCTACAATGCAGTTGTCTGCGTTTGAAAAACAACTGCGGCAGCGGACTTCAATCAGATTTTAGGGGGGGCTTTAATGTGCCTTTGTTAAGGAGAGAGGGGAATGACACGCGGAAAATGAGCAACGGGTCGGATTCTAACCCGGGCTGGACGGTACATGGGCCAAACAAACTAAACAGTCGTCCATCGGTGCCCATTATTCTTCTCATCCCATATCTGTAACTCTTCAAGGCTGTTTCATCAAAAGGCTCACAACACAAGAAATGAAATGAACAAAACGGAGAAAACCTGAATCCAAGCTCAGAGTATTTGAATGTACTTCAAATTATTTTCCACTGTAGTACATCTTGTTCTTTTATGATTCTTGTTAGTTGGTTGTTACCTCTGCAGCCTGAACCTGATCTCCATCTCCTCACCTGAACTCGTTTCCTGCCGTCTGGGATGTTGCGCACGCCCCCTCCTCGCCTCCGCTTCCCTTCAGCTCTGCAGCCCCTCTGTCCTCCACAGTCCACACTCTTCATCCGACCTCCTCCAACCCCCTTAGACCTGGAAGCCCCCCATCCTCCACCCTCTGGACGACGTCCCTGCCCCCCAGCCTCCGAGCTCTGATCGGAATCCACCGCCTTGTTGGTCCAGCTCTTCACGAGGCTGTGGAGGGTCAAGACCGCCAAAGTGCACAGGACGTACATGACCCAGTCCCACAGATCCAGCTCAGCTCAGGAGGAAGGAGGTTTTTGGTGGGTGTTTTACTTCATCGTCTCTGAATCCAAAACGGTTAAAAACAAAAGTCCAGTCCTGTTCAGGTGGGAGCCGACGGGTGTCTCAATTACATCCTCAAAGTTTGTGAGAAGAAGGGGCTCTGTGGTCTTCAAAACGTTTCCCCGTCCAGGTGAACGCGGCTCATCAGGTCTGGTTTTACTTATTCGATCCTCCGACTCTCTGTCCTCGCTTTTGTTTCACCTCTGTCCTGAATCCCGCCCCTGTCACAGTCAACACCACATTTCCACAGAAGTGATAAACGCTGGTGGACCTTGTCCCGTCCTCTCTGCTGCCGCCGTCACAGCCACGTTATTATTCAGCCGACTGGTAACCAGAGTGTGCAGGCGGCAGCTTCAGTTTCTCAATGTAACTCAAGACACTCGACTCGACACACTCTCAGTACGAACGCCTTCACGACACCTCAACTATCAGCAGACTCGATGTCAAATTAAAGTCACTAAACTTCTCTAAGGTCCTTTTTTTGGCTTTTAAAGAGAGAGAGAGAATGGACGCTTATTTCATCACCAGCTTTGTGTTTAAAATCTGTCACACAAAGGAACAAATATAAAGTTTGAATGTGAGAGACTGGGACCAAAAACTTCCAGATAGTAACTTTTTATGGTGAGGATTAAAGCAAACAAGAAATTAAAAAAGATTACCTATACATCTGAGTTTAAACTCACTCTGCATGGCAGGAAAAAGACGTACTCGTTGGAAAAACAAAACAAAACAAAAATCTGCAAAAGACATTCAGACTCCAGATGAGTTTGAAGTTGTACCAGAATCTTTAGCCAAATGTTCCAATGGAAACTGAGTCTCTTACAGGAACTTTTCAAAATCTCTACTTGCTGTTCTGTCAACTCAACTTACTTTCTACTCTCTACGACTTGATCCAGAAATCCAACAACAAGGGTACGAGACACCGCAGACATTTTGAGGTTTATAATCCAGAGCGACAGGAAACATAAATGTCCAAACTCCTCTTTAACAGTTCACTTCACTTTCCTTCAGAGCTCCCCGACTGGAGAGTCGTCTCTTTCACGTTTTCTGCTTCGTTAGTTCAGTTTGCCTTTCCATTGGACGATCAGCGGGTCCAAGTCGGTCCGGGTGTCGACCCCGTACAGACCGGTCCGACTCATCTCTCCTTCCCATTATCCTCCATAACGCTCAAACAGATTAGAGCGGAGGCAGGTCGGGTCTTCACCTCCATCAGGGGATGACAAACCAACAGAGAGAGAGAGAGAGAGACAGAGAGAGAGAGAGAGAGAGAGAGAGCCCTACACTCAGTGTGCACCTCTCTCGCCCATCCCTCCCTCCCTCCCTCCCTCCCTGTCCTGGGGCCATCTGTCGTTGCTGCAGGATAAAACTCGCCGATGATGTAACACATGATGACCCTTCATGATGCATTTCTGGAGAAGTTCACCATCAACAGGTCAGACTTCACAAGCTTTAGCTTCATCATAAAATTCAAGTTTGCACCAATTTTTCAAGATTTTTTGTTATTTAAAAAAATGGAAATTGGAGAGTAAGTGGGGAATGACATGCGGGAAAGGAGCTACAGGTCGGACTAGAACTTGGCCATTTGCTTGGAGGAGTACAGCCTCCGTACATTAGGCCCAACCTAACCGCTAGGCCATCAGCGACCCTCAGATTTCACCACTTTGCTATCACACATGGGTTTGAACTTGAATACTAGTTTGTTTTGTAGATAGAGAATTTATTCTCATTGTGAGAATAAGAGCACAACAAAACTTTCCCGTACAGCAGCAGGACAAACTTTATTGGACTTGGTTTACATTTGAAGCTGTAATTTAGTTTATAGTCCATGTGAAGTGGACTGTTTGAATCTATCAAAGCAGTGGGCTGCTGTCTGCAGAGACACGAACCTCCCTCATGGAAGTTTGCATCTTCAGATTCGCACCACCGTTTCTTCTGCCACAACTTTACAGTCTTCATTTACTGAGGTCAAGAGTGCATGCGCTGGTCAAGTTACACTCAAGCGATTTTGCCTTGATCAAACTGCAGACCTCTTCAGACGACGCCCTGATGGACTGAATATTCTGAATTTGAACGGCTCATTACAGTTTGAACTTTCTCCCCCAAGTTCGAATGAATGCTCGAACTTTGCATAAAAAATGGCCGCCCTAATGCAGACGAGATGATGAGTGGAGATGAATCTATTAAAATACTTCCCCTTTGAATATTTCTTCTGCATGTATTTAAATTTTTAATGGATGTATATCACCATGTTTAAAGAGCCTGTCAGCCTCATGGAGAGCATATTCTTATTTCTGAGTGAGGACACGTTATGATTGTTAAAGGGTAAACGTTGATGCTTGAATTTTAGCACGTTAGCATAATGGTAGTGCCACTTTTCTCCTCCAGTTGGCGATGTTTTAAACATATGCTGCCTTTCCCTTTGTCTATAAAGTAAACATATGGATCTCTACTTGTGTCTTAACAGACAAGCTACAGTTATGTTAAAGTTTGAACGTCAGAGCAGGACATCAGAAATGTTTTTAAGATGGTTCTGGGTCGAGTGGTTTGACTCTTTCTCGCCCTCTTCCTCCTCACAATCACCCTCGTTGCTAACCGTGCTGGAAAACTCTTCCACTCCGTCCTGAACACAGTGACAGATTCTGGATCGTGGGAACTGGACTCAGTGGGAGCTGACAGTCTGAATCACAGCCAGTGAATTATGATGCATGTTTCTGTTTATGGACTCGCTGCGTCCAGTAGTGACCCGTCCTCAAACTGGACCGTTTCTGAAAAATGCTCTGGAGGAACAAAAGAGAACATTTCCAGTCCACCGACCACTTTCAGGGTCCTAATGAGGGGGGGGGGGGGGGGGGGTTGTCACAGCAGGAAACACTCGCAGGAAGCTCTCTCAGGATCACAGTTACTAGAAGGGGCACTCTAGATAGTAAACCAAACGTGACATGAAAATACATTTACTTTTTCACAGTCATTCATCAAATTTTTGAAGACATCATTTAAACCAAGGAGCAGCTGTACATGTGTAGTGTGTCCCAACTCTCTTTCTTCAATACTCACTCATGTTATTTTAAATGTAATAATGCATTTCCAACATTGGTACGTAAGGAAAAATGACTGAGCACATGGTGCTCAATTGAAGAAAACGTGTGAATTACTGAAAAATAATCATTCTCCCCTGCAGAAGTTGGGGCCCCATTGGGCAGCTAAAATATGAAATACATAAAGATGGCCGACTACCACATACTGAGGAGGAAGAAAGGCCTGAACACTCGCTTAAATGCCAAAACAAGTTGTAATTGATGCCAATGTTTCGATCAGAGGTCTTCTTCAGGTGTTCATTTATGTCTTTTTTTAATCACCTGAAGAAGACCTCTGGTCAAAACTTGCTTTTGACTACCTGCTTTTACTTCAACTCTACCACAGAGCCACAGAAGAAAGAAGACGGAGGGGAAAGAGGGGGAGAAGAGGAACAACAAGAACATAAACAAGATAAAGAAGATTGAGTATGTTGACATCATTATTTCACGTAACTATAAAATGGCCATGTTCAATGTAACATAACCACATTAAAATGTAAACAATGTGCAGCTCAGTAGAGTCTCAGACACACAGCTGAATGCTGAGACGATGAAAACTATTTAATGCACCAACTTGACTTATTTAGGTTTTTTGGCAGTTGTAATATAGAGCTGAGGCTGATTAGAAAATCAATATTTCTCTAAGTATCTGGTCCTAATCCAAATAAATGTTCACATTGAAATGTTGATCTCAACTGTTGAAGATTTCTAACTGAGCTGAAAAACGCAACATTTGTCTCTCCAGTCTCAAAGAAAAGTTTCACAAATAGATTTCATTTAGGTTCAACAGTCACCGCTCATAGAAACAAGCTGCAAAACTCTACCAAACAGTAACCAATCAAAAACAAAACAATAAAATGTTCCAGAGAATAAAATAATCTGCTGAGTTCAGTTTATGTCTCACAGAGAGATGAAGGTGTGTCAGTTATCAGTCAGAGTCAGACTGCAGGCCGAGAAAGAGGAAATGAGGGGAATATAAAACAAACTGGAGGTCGTCTGAGGGTCCTGCTGCAGGGGTGTGTGTGTTAGTGAAGGGGGGTATCAGGTGTGTTAGCGACAGTAAGAGGCTCACAGGCTCCAGATTAAAGCAGATTAATGGAAACTTGCTCCTCTATTCATTTAAGGAGCTTTTAATGACTCAGAGACGCTGCACTCTCTCTGCAGCTGAATACTGAATACATCCCCACAGGTTTACAGACCTCCACTGTTCATACTGCACCCATTTTATAAAGCTTTATGGAGACGTTTGGGCCATCCATAAAAGTAAAACATCAACGTTAGAGCTTTTCACACAGAGAGCAATATAACAAGAATAGTCTGAGCATCCACACGGTGTGTGTGCTCCAGCTGTGTCTCCAGGTGTGTCTGCAGCTTCAGATCATGAACAAAGAAGCAACAAGAAAACCAGAAAGCAAAGACGATGTACTGTTTTAATCCTCCATTTGTGTGTCTCTTTATAAAGCTGAGGAAATGGACTTGAGCTTGTATATTTCTTTTCTAGTCTTCCGACTACTCAAAGCGCTTTTACACCGCAGGTCACACCTACACATTGACACACTGATGGTAGAGACTGCTGTGCAAAGTGTCCATCAGAAGTAACTAATCCCATTCATACACCGCCAACTAAGCAGCAGGAGCAACTTGGGGTTAAATGTCTTGCCCAAGAACACATCGTACATGTTGCTGCAGGAGCTGGGGATCGAACCCTCGACCTTCCGGTTGAGAGACGACCGACTCTACCAACTGAGCCACAGCTGTCCTAGCCGAGTGTTTCCTAGTCTTATGTAGCGCAAAAGGCAAACTTGTCTGTTGTTGTCCCTTCCTCATGAAGAAAAGCTGAAAAGGGAATTAATTGCAAACATTAAAAAAGTGAAACAGTCTTTGGACAGAACATGTTTAACTCTAAAATCTTTAAACATAAATTACAAAAAGAAGTAACAACGCTGTTTTCAGATTATCCGACTGCACCTGAACTCACTGCAGCTTTGTTTAAGGAGAGAGGGAGAGAAGGAGGCGTTGTTTGGGTTTTAGCGGTTCCCAAAATGCATTGCACACACCCGTCTCAGCTCCACATCTGAGCTATTTCAGGAGGAAATTACAGAGTAAGCAGCAGCAGGGTGGAAACACACACTGAACCATGTAACATGGCTCCAACATGACATCAGTCATCTGGAGAAAAAAAAAAGAAAAGGAGACTAAA